CCGCAAGTCGTAGTACAGGGGTGCTGTGCCGTGTTGGGCAAAAATTCCCCCAGTTCACAATCCACGGGGCAGGGCTGCTTGTTGCACTCCAGGGTTCGCTCGCGCTCCGTCGGACACGCCGCGCCGTTGTGGGCCATGGCCTGTTGCACCGTCCTGCGCTGCACGAAGGTGCCGTTGCCGCAGCTGCTAGAGCAGACCCCGGGCTCCGTAATTTCTTGATACGCATCGCTTGGATCGACAAGCGGCAGCGTAGCGGCAGGGAGCCACTCGTTCATGATGCATATGGATTGTAAAAATGTCTGGGTCTGGAAGAATGGAAGGTCTGTCATGCTCTGCCAGCATGACCCCAAAGTCTGTCATGCACGTTACCCAAGAGCCCCCTTTTTTAGTCATGCAGAAACGCAGTTTGTCATGCAGAATAGGCAACACCTCGAAGCTCAGAAACTTGCCATGCTGAGCCAGCACTTGTGGCGGCCTCATGATACGCGAACCAGCATCACAAGTTTCCAGACCCAGACATTTTTACAGTTGATAATGCAGTCGATCGCGCAGAACGTGTTCTCGTTGCACGGCACGAACCGCTCCGTCTTCCCACAGGTTTGTATGACAGCGCACAACTCCCCCTCCCCCTCGTTTGTATAGCATGAACGGCAATACAAGCACCAGCAAGAATGCCGGTTTTGCATGACAAATTTACACTGGATTGTAGTGCTATTCGGGCTACCAGAACTTGTCATGCAAACAGTGCTAAGAGGCACAGTCTGGAATTGGCGTTTTGCATGAGAAATGAGAACGACGGGGAGTTGTGCACTCTCATAGTTTGCCCCACTCCCGACGGGGATTGTAGGATGGTCCGCACTTGCCGGATAACGGGGCTGTTGGGGTTTAGCGTGTCGGTGCAGCTCGCCGATATCGTCAGCAAAAATGTCCCCACACCAGAGCCAAGACGGGAAATCTGCTAAAGAAATCGCCCAGATTTTGCTGGTTCGCATGACAAGTTTGCCCTCATAGTGTAACCCGGTTTACCTACGTCAGCAGCATCACATATCTAGCATATCACGCTGGTTCGAGCATCACAAACTCCAAAACACGACTACAAAATGAAAATGCTTCTCTTGGGGCTCTGCATGAAAAACATTTTATTTAAGCATGCAGATTTGCATGACAACTCTGGGGTGGGGACGTTTTTGCTCAGCATATCCGAGCACTCAGCGCCCTCCGCGTTTGCCCAATCCGACATTTGGCAGTCGACGTTGCACTCTATCGAATGCAAATATGTCTGGGTCTGGAAGGTTGGAACTTGTGACGCTGCATTTGGATTCCAAAAAAATCTGTATTGCGTGAGCAGCAAAGAGAATGTAAATTTTGCTACGCGGAAAGGGCATTTGTCATGCTGAATAGGCATCAAGAAGCCCTCAAAAAATCTGTGATGCTAGGGCATGCATCACAGACATCATGGCTCATGCAAAACGTGCATGACACGTCTCGGAACCTTCCAGACCCAGACATATTTGCAAAGCATACACTCCTGCAGGTTGCACTCAACGGCGCGCGTCCGGGGCACGGGACAGGGAGGGGCGCCGTAATCTGGGGCCTGCAAAATCTCCCGCTCCTGCTGCTGCAATCCGCCGCCGCAGTCCGCATCTATGCATTGCAAATATGTGGTCTGGGTCTGGAAGCGTCAAAGTTTGTCATGCACATTTTGCATGACCCGTGAGGTCTGTGATGCAGGTCCTAGCATCACAGATTTTTTGAACGCGTCTACGTGGTCTTGATGCTTATCACGCATGAGAAAGTAATATGACCTCTCGCTCCGCGTGCCAAGAACTAAACTCCTCTAGCTGCTCATGCAACACAGATATTTTTAGATTCCCATTCCGCAGACAGCATTACAAGTTCCAGCACCCTTCCAGACCCAGACATATTTGCACTGCATAGCATCGCAGTCGCCGACATCCGTCCATTCCTCCGCCAACACGCAGGGGATCGGGCAGTGTTCCGGGACAAGCGGTGGATTCACGGCCCTGCAGTTGATCTGTCGCGTGGTCTCGTTGGGGCAAGCGGCTCCTCCGTAGTCGGGTGCGATCGCAACCGTCCGATACTGTTCGGCAGTCCCGTCGGAGCCGCAGGTCTTGGAACACTGGGGAACAATTGTCTCGTTCAGTTTCCAATCGGACATTTGACAATCCACGGGACAGGGCTGGTATCAAGATGAAAAAAACTGTGTTACTGTAGGTGTGATGGAGGGACAGCATGACAAACTTGCTCCGCATGACAGAGGAACCTTGTCATGCGCAACGAGTACGTGAAAACACACATGAAGAGAGGACGTCACTGTATGCATAAGGACTTCGGAATCAGATCGAACTGAGACCACGAATGAACTTGATCTCCTTAAAGTTTTCCACTAGGTTCCTAAAATTCATCAATACTCAAAGACCAGCACACTCTGCAAACTGATAAAATCTAATCTGTAACGCGCGAGATCTTGAAGGATCTATACGGCAGTTCTGTGCCGAGTGGCAAAATAGCATGACAGATTTGGATGAGGTTGCAGTTTGTATTGCATGGAGGAACCTTTTCAACGTAGCCACTTTGGCTCAAGGTTGAGCAAATTCCTACAGAGAATACGCGGAAGTTGCTAAGGAGAGCATACTATTTGAATCTATACCCATTGTATTTTGCACCCCTATGCCCATCGATGTTCTACAACTCGTTCATGCATTGTTTTTGGTTATACACGTTTATTTTCGTGTGCGTTAGTTCGGTCCGTGTCCAAGTAGTACTTTCGTACAACTGGTGCATCGCCGGACCTAGCCATAGGACCAAACTTTTAACATTTACGTACTACAAATTTTTGGGTGTCTGGCATGACAAAGGTATACTCTTTTGCATCTTCTGCATCACAGAACTAGTACACTTACACAGTTTTTCTCTTGGATAGCTGGTTGTTGCACGCAACCTGTTGCTCCAACAGGGTAGGACACGCGGTTCCACCGTGATCGGCCGGCGTCGTGATGTTTCTCCGCTGCATCTTCTGCCCCCCGTTGCAGGACAGCGTGCAATCCGAAGTGTCGAACCACTCGGTGACGACGCAGTGGATAGGACACGGTTCCCGGTTACACGGCACGTCTCGTGTCGTGCTGCCGTCGAGGCTGAACGGATCGACTTCCGCACAGGAAGCGCCGCCGTGCAGCGGATCCGTCTGGATGTCCCGGATCTGCGATTGCAGGCCCGCGTCGCCGCACGTCTCCGTGCAGTCCGTGTCTGGCTGGTTGCGCCACGGGCCGAGATCACAGTCGACCGGGCAATGCCGCAGAAAGCACGTCGTGGTGTTTGTGGGCTGGCCGCACGCGGTTCCCCCATTTGCATCGGGTACGACTACGGTCCGCGTAAACGTTTCTGTGCCCTGGCCGCAGGATATGACAGGGCACAACTCCCCCTGCTCCCCCTCATTCCTATAGCGTGAACGGGAATACGAGCATCAGCAAGAATGCCGGTTTTGCATGACAAATTTCCACTGGAGCGTAGTGCTATTTGAGCTGCTAGAACTTGTCATGCATATAGTGACAGGAGGGACACTTTGGAGTTGGTGCTTTGCATGAGAAATGAGAACGAGGGGGGGTTGTGCACTCTCATACAGGTCTTGCTGCAGCCGGTGGTGGTCCAGTCCGACATTACGCAGTCCACCGGAGATATCGCAAGAAAAAACTGTTTCACTGTGAACTTGTGATGCACAAAATGGAACACAGACCTATTTGGCTTGCTACACCCGCATAGAACATTGGAGTTTGAACCATGTTTTTCCCTATGGGAAATGCGCGCATGACAAATTTTCAGTGTCATGTGTAACAAACTTGTGATGCAGATCTTGCAAAATCATCACAGTGAAACACAAACAGTTTTTTCGTGGGATAGGACACCCGAGTACGGGGCAGTCCGTCACCTCTTGCAGCGCCCCACTGTTGCCGCTCTGGTCCACTTCGGCGCACGTTCGGCCGCCGTGCAGCATCGGCTGCTCCACCACGCGGTTCCGCGTCCGCGTCCGGTCATCGCCGCAGGAGGGCGCACAATCCGGAAACATGGGCGTCCATTCCGAGAGCCGGCAGTCCACGGGGCATTCCGGCAAGCCGCAGGGCATGGTTTTTTCCCGGACCGGGTCGCACTCTTCTCCCCACGGCGGATTGCCGGCCACCTCAACCTCCCGAAACACCGTCATGGTACTGGCAGACCCGCAACTGGCGCTGCAAATGGCTTTTCTCCCCTCGATCGTGTCTGGCACCAGCCAATCCGAGAGGACGCAGTCGACATCGCAGGGCCGCGCCGTGGCCTGAGGTTCCCATCCGGCCTCGGTCTGCCACAGGCAACCACGGGTTTCCAGTGGGTGGTCGCATGCGTTTCCTTCGTGAAGCTATCGTAAGTAAAAACGTCCCCACGACCCCAAAGTTGCAACGCAAATCTGCACGCTGAGAATGCTTCTCATGCGGAGATACCCCATGAGAAGCATTTTCTAGGTCGTGCTTCGGAATGTGTCATGCTCCGCTCAGCGTCAGAGGGTAGATCTGTGACGCTCCTGAAGGAGATAAACAGGACTACGCTAAGAGGCCTCCAGGCTTGTCATGCGCAACAACCAAAGCTGGGTGCTTTGTCTAGCAGATTTTTTCCCATCTACTTGACTATGAGGTGAGAACGTTTTTCTTGCCCAGGATAGGTCCGTATCAAATGTAAAAATGTCTGGGTCTGGAAGATTGCCGGGTTTGTCATGCATATTTTGCATGACTCCTCAAGTCTGTGATGCATGCCCTAGCATCACAGATTTTGAGAGGGCTTTCTGATGCCTATTCCGCATGACACATGCCCTTTTCGTGCTGCAAAATTTGCACTCTCTTTGCTGCTCATGCAATACAGATTTTTTTAGAATCCAAAATCAGCATGACAAGTTGGATTCTTCCAGACCCAGACATTTTTACAGTTGATAGTCCGGATGAACCTTTATCTCCCTCGTCCTTGTCTGCACGCCGGGCCTATCAACTGCAAAAATGTCTGGGTCTGGAAGAATCCAACTTGTCATGCATATTTTCCATGACCCATGAGGTCTGGAATGCGGGACCTAGCATTACAGACTCTGCGAGGTCTCTGTCATGCCTGTCCTGCATGGGAAACTCCCTCCGAACTTGGTCGAAAGTGGACAGCTATTGGCGCTCATGCAACACAAATTTTTGCATGCTTCGGACTTAGCATGACGAGTTGCAATCTTCCAGACCCAGACATATTTGCAATGCATAGGGCCCGCAGGTGGTATCGCAGGCACCCCACGAGCTCCATTGATGCAGTTCGCAATGCACCGGGCACTCCTTCTCTTTGCAAGGCTCGGTCTTGGTCAGGTTTCCGCACGCGGCGCCTTCGTAGGCCGGGGGGACCCGGATCTGTATCAGAAGGAAAAATGCCCCCTCCCCAACCCCATATCGAAAAGGCACTTCGCAGAAAATTTGTAATGCTGATTTGTGACCACAAATCGTCTCTGTCTTGCAAGAACGCAACTCCACAGGCTCCGCCGCATTCTGCAAACGGTTTGTGATGCTGTTGGCCCTACAGACTAGACGTTTGCTATGCTCAGCGCCTAGCCCAAAACCTCTCCACTCAGGCTTCGTATAGGCCTGCAGTCCTCTCCAGCAACACAAATCTGATTTGTGTACGCAAATCCAGCATCAGAAACTTCGTTTTGATATGGGGAGGGGGGATTTTTCCTCACAATAATCTGTCGCGTGAAGGTCCGCACCCCGTCGCCGCAGGTCTCGGAGCAATCGCCGGGGACCCAGGGTATCAAATGCAAAAATGTCTGGGTCTGGAAACTTGTGTTGCTAAAATGTGCATGATGAAAACACTTCCGAATGCAGTCCGGCATGACAAATTCCGAAAACGCTTTCTCATAGGCAATCCGCATGAGAAACTGCGTTTTTCTTTTTGCATGACAAAAGAGGCTGCGATTTTTGTTGGTTATAAATGCAATACAGATTTTCTAGGTATGGAAAGCTAGCATTACAAGTTCCAACCTTCGAGACCCAGACATTTTTACAATCCATACAGGGGTCTAGCTCGCAATCCTGGGGGCAGTTCTTCGGATACTCCGGGTTCAGCAGGTAGCAGGGGGCAGCGGGATTCTCATCGTCCGGGCATTCCTCGCCCCCGTTCGCGGCCGGGGTTTGCACAGTGCGCACGATGGTAATTGTACCCGCACCGCAGGTCACGGTGCAGGCACCTGGGTTTCGTGGGGTGAAAAGTCATTTGTGTTGACACTGATAGTACTCTAGGAGTACTATTACGGTAACCATAAACTAATCAATGAAGAAAGAGAAACGAAACATTATGGATGGTAAATAAGTATCAAGAACTCAATTCTACTTCTAAGTAATACCTTGCTCCACCCACTCATTCATCACGCAATCCACTGGTATGGAAGCGTCAGGATTGAAATCGTCAAAGTTGAAATAATTTCTCATGCATAAATTGCAAGGCATGAAGTGCCTCTCTTGCAGGGACGGCAAGTGAGGCCGACTGTCAGCCTGTTTCTTTGGGGTCTGCGGTAGAGCTGCTAAAGTAGCATCACAAAAGGCGCCTTCTGTCCCGTAACAGCATGACAAACTGGATTTCTACGGTGCCGAAATTTGTCATGCACCGCTTGAAAATTGGGCTTCCAACTGGTATCGATTTTATGCATTACAAGTTATTTCAACTTTGTCGATTTCAAATCTGACACTCCCATAACTGGACAGCCGTGTGTATTGCAGTTTACCTGCTTCTCCGTGTCTGTCGGGCACGCCTGGCCGCCGTAGTTTGGCTCTCGAGCCACCGATATGAAATGCAAAAGCATCGTACTAGTATAAATCGCATGACAAATTTTCTCAGCATGAGAAATAAAATTTGTAATGCGGATTGAACCTGAGAAAGAAATTTGTAATGCATGTTTGCGATTACTACGAGTACGATACTTTTGCACAGGATAACCGAGCGACGCGAAGTCAACTTGCCGCCACCGCACGTTACCGTGCACGTAGAAAGGTCGTCGCGGACCCAGGCCGTCATCTCGCAATCCACGGGACAGTTTTCCACATAAGACTGATCCGTCTTTGCCACGTCGTTCTCGTCCACGGCCTATGCATTGCAAATGTGTCTGGGTCTGGATGAAACTTGTAATGCTAAATAATGGATGAGAGTTCTACTGCAATACGGAGCCAAGCATCACAAATTTTCGGGCTCCTATGTGTTGCGCGTTCCGCATGGCAAACTGCGTTTTTGCATGACAGGTGGGAGGACCGCTTCGCGCCCATGCATCACAGATTCTTGAGTCATGCCAGACTAGCATGACAAATCTCGCAACTATCTCCCAGACCCGACGCATATTTGCAGTTCATACGGCCGCAATCGACTCCGGACCTTGGCAAGCGCGCACATCCTCGAGCCAGGTCACCCCGTCCTTCTTCTCACACTCTGCGCCGCCGTGATCGGGGAATTTGGCAACGGACCGCTGCCATATTATCGTACCCGTCCCGCAAGTCTTCGAGCACGCGTTGTCACCGGTGGCCCACTGACTCAACTCGCAGTCGATCGGGCAGTTGAGCTGGTAGTCGTAAACGCCACCGTCGCTCTCCTCACAAGACCGCTGCTGCGTCAATGCGCCGCAGTCGTTTTGGTTTCCCTCGAAAGTGATGGTTCGCTGCCACGTGACCGTCCCCTCGCCGCAGGTTTTGGAGCACTCCGCATTGTCTGGCAGCTCCCAGTCGGACATGACGCAGCTGCGGGCGCACTCGTTTTTGCAGTAGGAGTCGTCAGGGTCGTTACTGCACAGTGGGCACACCACCGTGCGAGACCGCTTGTCGGGGCACTGCTGGCCACTGGGATTCGGCGACACCTCGGTCCAACGGGTTTTATTACGGTGAAAAATGCCCCCACCCCCAAAGTTGCAAAAATTTGTGATGCGAAGTTTCCAAATGAAAACTGTTTGTCATGCATGAAAGGGGTATGAATCTTTCTGATGCAGAGTCTAGGCGTGTATCGGTATCGCATCGGTTGCATGACAAGCGCCGCTCTTACTGGGGTCTCTTGCAATACAAATTTTTGCTATTCACGACCCAAAACCTGTGATGCTGATAGATGCAAGAGGGCGAATGTTTCATTTGGAAAGGTTTGCAATACAAATCTCCCAAGTTCGGGGGTGGGGGTATTTTTCATTGTAATAGGTTTGCAACCGAGACGACTCGTCGCAGTCCTGCAGACACCCACCGGAATCCGTCCACTCACTCATCACGCAGTCGACCGGACACTCGATGTCACGGTTACACGGCTTTCGCCAAGTCTATGGCGTTCTCAAACGTTACACTCTCAAGTGTTACATGATTTGTAACGCAAAATGACCATGAGCCGGAAGACGATCAAGCTGCTTCGCATGACAAATTATCGAAGTGCTAAACAGCATCTAAATCCGTGCCAAATTTGTGATGCAAGACTTGCAAGCTTTCCCCTTTCGTTTCCCTATTGCTGTTTTTGCATGACAAATTCATGTAACAGTTGAGAATGTAACAGTTGAGAACGCCATAAAGTCAAGCAGTCAAATTGGTGCCTCCCCTCCGTGCACTTTTGGAAATCGCTGCAGGATTTCCCACCGTTCTGGGCGCCGATCAGGTATGAATTGCAGAAGTATCCGATACTTGTATAAATGCATTACAAATTTCCTCCGCATGAGAAATAAAATTTGTAATGCTATATTTGCCTTAGGAACAGAATTTGGAATGCATGATTACAATACGAGTACGATACGTTTTCCGAACGATATCAGGATACTCCGCTCCATGTCGATGAACCCGCTTCTTATCATATTCAAATATGTCTGGGTCTGAAAAGCTGAAACTTGTAATGCAGGTGTTGCATTTCTGAAAAATCTGTGTTGCAAGAGCAGCAAAAGAGCAGCTTGCTTTGTCATACAGAAATAACGGAATCTGTCATGCCTGCTAGGCATTAGAATCCGTTCCAAAAGCAAAAAGCTGTCATGCCTGACTGCCATTGCAAGCGTTCTTTCACTCATCCGCGTTTCAGCATCACAGGTTTCCAGACCGCCAGATCGATATTTGCACTGGATACCCCTATTGCAAGGCTCACTGCACACCGCATTCTCTTCCGGTTGCCACGATGACACTTTGCAGTCTACCGGACACCCGTTCGAAGCGCAGGTGACCGTGCGAGTCTGTGACGGGCACCCCGCGCCGCCGCCAATTTGCTCCTGCGTTACGTCGCGCTTCTGGCCCTTCGTACCGCCCCCGCAACTCACGGTGCAAGGGTCCGCGAGATCGTCGTACCAAGGCCCAACCTCGCAATCTTGGGGGCAAACTTTGTATCCACTGCGAATATCGGTCTGGGTCTGATAAATTAAACTTCTGTTGCTGGTACTTGCATTGCAGGCTGGCTGCTTGTACGGCATAACAGCATGAGAAGTTTTCCTCAGCTACTTGCGGAAGATAAAGTAGATTCATTCGTTTTTAAGAAATTAGCATGACAAACAGCCATCTTCGTCTTCCAAAAGAACGACAAGATGGAGAAATGAAACCGGCGATTGGTCTTGATGCATTACAGATGTTCTTGTCCTCCAAATCTCGCATCACAAATCCAGACCTCCCAGATCGAAACTTGCAATGCATATGCCGGTGCCGCACTCAATTTCCTGGACGTGCGACAGCTTTCCCGGGCCGTTCCAGTCCGTGTTTTTGCAAGTGCCCCCGAACTATCAACTGCAAATATCCCTGGATGTCTGGAAGAGTGTAAGTAAACTTGTCATGCAGGTTTTCCATGACCCATCTTGTCTGGAATGCGGGACCTCGCGTGACAGACTCTGTGAGATCTCTGTCGTGCCTATCCTGCATGAGAGACTCCCTGATCCCAGCTTGGTCGAACGTGGACAGCTTTTGGCACTCGTGCAACACAGATTTTCGCATGATTCGGATTTAGCATGACAGATTGCAATCTTCCAGTCAGACCAAGACATATTCGCAATCCATACGAACAGCGCGGTTTGCAGCAGGTGCCGGCCCTGCCGCCGGATGCCGCCGCCACAAGTCACGGAGCAACCAGTATCGTAAGGAAAAATCCCCCCTCCCCATATGAAAAGGACATCTGTTTGAAAGTTTGCAGTGCTGATTTGTGGCCACAAATCAGGTCTGTCTCACAAGAGAGCAAAGCCAGAGCTTCCGCCGCTTTACGCAGGGGATTTGCAATGCTGCTGCGCCAACAGGGCAGACGTCTGCCATGCTGAGCGCCCACCTCTAGCCAGCCCCTTCCAGGCTTTGCATCTGCCTGCAGTACTCTACTGGAAGACAAAGCTGATCCGTGCACACAAATCCCGCAACACAGATTGCCATTTTGATATGGGGAGGGGGGATTTTTCCTTTCGATAACCAGCGTCAATCCAGTACCACTCACTCATTTCGCAATCGATCGGGCACGGCTGCAGGCCCGGGCACTTGTCCCTTCGGGTGCAGATCTTGGCATCCGCATCACATTCCTGCACGGCGTGGTGGGTGTCGCAGGCCTGTCCGTTGTGCTCATTCATACGCGTGATCTCCCGTGTCTTCGACCGCCACCCGTAGTTCGTGCCGTCCAGGCTCTTCTTTTTGCAGACGGGCTGGAAATGGGAGGAAACACAGGTGTTGTCTGCCGCGTCGTAGTAGGGTTGATCCCCGGCTTGGTCAGGGTTAATGTCTTTGATGAAATTGGACTCGGTGTTTTCGTATCAAAGTGAAAAAAGCCCCCACCCCATATCAAAAGGAAATTTCTGATGCTGGATTTGCGTACACAAATCAGATTTGTCTTGCAGTAGGGGACTGCAGGCACACATCGTGCCAATGTGGAGAGGTTTAGGCCTAGGCACTTAGCATGAGGAACGTCTATGCTGTAGGACCAACAGCATTACAAACCGCCTGCATAATGGGGCGGAGTGCACGTCGTTGCTTTCCTGCAAGACAAACACCATTTGTGGCCACAAATCAGCATCACAAATTTTCTGAGGCGTTCCTTTTCGATATGGGGAGGGGGGATTTTTCCTTACGATATTTCAATCCGCGTGTACATGTACCCGAAGTTCTCCGTTTCCAGTGAACACCCAATCGGCACGCCGCCCCACTTCCGCCTTGCCGTCGCGCTGTCGCCATTCGGCACGGGGTTGGTATCCGCCAGGGCTGGTTTGCACTGAGATAGTTCGTCGCCGGGTGATACCGTTGTGTCCTTCCGCATGCAGTCTGCCACCCTGCCCATCGCCCAGGAGTGGACATCGTCTAAGACGAGTTGCTATGAACTGCAAAAGTATCGTACTCGCATTACAAATTTCCTCAGCATGACAAATAAAATTTGTAATGCCGATTTACCTTAACAGAAGGATTTGTAAATGCATGATTGCAATACGAGTACGATACTTTTGCGCAGGATACTTGCTGGTCGGTCGGGAGCTGCAGGTTAGTCCAGAGTTCGTTATCGCCCCAACTTGCATCGGGCTGCTCCTGTCCCATGCCCTTGGTCGGGATCTGTCTCACGAAAATCAAACAGGCGCCGTTGAAGTTGTACCCCGTGCACGTCTCCTCGATTACGTGGCTTTGGCGCCACGCGGCCCAAGACAGGCCATTCAGGGTTTCCCAAGCTGCGATCGCGTTTCCGTCCCAGGTTTCCGCCCACTCACTGTTCGTGCACGATTGTTCGCACATGCTTTGTGCCGCGGCGAAGTACTCATCGGGCAGGGGGGCGGGAGAAGCGTTGTTGTCATTCCGGTCATCCCAGTGCCAGTAGCGTTGCTCCCACCAGTCGACGTCAAAGATCGGCCCCTTATATCCTGTGCAAAAGTACTACCGTACTCGTAGTCAAGTTTTTTTCTTAAGGTTAATCCGCATCACAAATTTTATTTCTCACGCTGGGGAAATTTGTAATGCATTATACGAGTACGATACTTTTGCAGTTCATACCTTATGCGTGCCGCACATGCCCTCCCCGACATTTTCATAAGTCACAACTACGTTGGAGGGATTGGTGATGCGCGCTTTCATTTTTTCCAAACGCGGAAGGGAATACCCAACCTTGTTGTCCACCATGGTGCCGGAAACAGTGTCGTAGTGCTGAAACTGGCAAGTTTGGCCCGACCCGCAGAGTTTCGTGTTACCTCGGTCGAAGAACTGGTAAAACGGATTCGACGCAACTAATTCGGCCGCCGCACCGCACTCCTGCTGCGTGTAGGTTTGGTAGATTCCCTTCGAGGGGTTCCACTTCCCGTCTCGGGAAAAATCTATCCAGCAACGAGAAAAGTGTTACAGTTACACATCTCTTGGCAATTTAGCGACACAGATTTTCTCCGCATGAGCAGAGAGGAAACGTGCAATGCAAAGATCATAAGGGAATAAAACGAACAAGGCATTTCTAGCATGACAGAGGTTGTCCGTCTTGCTTGGCTTGCAACACAATGTGTAACTGTAACACGTTTCTCTCACGATAAAATCGTTGGAAAAATCATCTCTCGTCTCCGCATCTGCGCTGGTCGCGCAGTCCACAGTATCAAAAGGAAAAATCCCCCCTCCCCATATCGAAAACGAAATTTGTGATGCTGTATTTGGGTACACAAATCGACTTGTAATGCTAGAAGGCCAAGGGACGCAGCTGTGGCCTCGGTTGCAGGCAATTTGTTATGCTGTTTCCCACTTCCAGCTGCCCCCTGTGATGCTGAAGATGCAAGGTTTTCCATCTTTTCCCTTCTAGCATGACAAAGCTGATTTGTGGCCGCAAATCTGCATCACAGGTCTCTAGTTTGAGTATGGGGTGGGGGGATTTTTCACTTTGACACACAGCGCCCGGGTTTCCCAGCCGGTAGTACTCGCGCCGCACGTCGATGCACGTTCTGTCGCAGTCGCCCCATTCGGACCACTCGCTCTGGCGACAGTCCACGGGGCACGGACCCTGGTCGCAGCCTTTCGAGTCGAAGACCTGGCCACATTCTCCGCCGTTGTGCTTTCTTTCCTGCAGAATGGGCTTGGTTCGGGTGATCGTGCCTTGGCCACTATCCTGAGTAAAAACGTACTCACGACACCAGAGTCAGGATGAGGATTTTGCAACACAAACCTAGGAGTTTTGTGAGTCACGCATGACAAGTTGCGCTATGCAGTGTAGTCAGGTTAGCAAGTGCAGCCGCATCACAGATTCGTCTGCTCGTCCTGTTCACAGCATCACAAATTCCAAAACAGGATTGGAAATGGCTCTCATGGGGATGCGCATTACAAGTTTTCCTGTCTTTGCAGATCTGCATTACAACTCTGGTGTGGGTACGTTTTTACTCAGGATAGCCACACGTGACCGGACACGCGGACCAGGGTGTCCACCTCCCGGTGACGCAATCGACCGGACAGTACGGCTTGTCGGTACAGACGCTCGTTTCTATCGTGAGGAAAAATCCCCCCTCCCCATACCAAAAGGGGACACTTCTGAAAATTTGTGATGCTGATTTGTGGCCGCAGATCGTCTCTGTATTGCGAGAAGGCAAACCCAGACACTTCGCCGCATTTTGCAGGCGGTTTGTGATGCTGCTAGACCTACAGGGGGGATCTCTGTCGTGCTAAGTGCCTACGTCAGAAAATCCCCGCCCAGGCTTTGCATCTGCCTGCGTTCCTCTACTGCAAGACACAGCTGATTTGTAATTGTATACACAAATCCCGCATCACAGATTTCGACTTTGATATGTGGAGGGGGGATTTTTCATTTTGATAGTTTCGGATCCTTCCCCGCACTCCGCACCCGTTCCGGCCTGCGGCACTTGAATGCCGCGCGTCCGCTGTTGCATGGAAAAGTCCCCCCTTCCCATATTGCAAGCACATGCTTCTGAAAATTTGTGATGCAGATTTGTCACCACAAATCGGGTCTGTCTTGCAAGAAAGCCCGCGCAGGCTGTGCGCCACGTTACGCAGGCGATTTGTAATGCTGTAAGGCCCACAGGGTAGCCGTCTACCATGCAATGCGCCTACACAAATAGGCCCGTGTCTAGGCTCAGGCTCTGCGTTCAGTCCTCTGATGCAACACAGATTTGATTTCTGTATCCAAATCCAGCATCAGAAATTCCATTTTGATATGGGGAGGGGGGATTTTTGCTTTTGATATCCGCGTTTTGGTGGGCCGCTGCTCTTGGTTGTCGTCCTCCAAGTCGTCATAGCACGTGGCCGTGTATGCAATGCAAAAGCGTCCGACTTGTATATTATTAAATGCATTACAAATTTCCTCAGCATGAGAAATTAAATTTGTAATGCTGATTTACCACAAGAAAAAAATTTGCAATGCATGATTGCAATACGAGTACAATACTTTTGCACAGGATACTGTGCACGCTCCCCAGGCTATCCAAGAAAAAAACATTGTAGGTGTAACTTTTTTGGAGGAACAGCATTACAAATTTGTCTGGCATGACAGCAAAAACCTGTCATGCGCGGATAGTACGGCAAAACGCCCTTTAATGGACCCTATGATGCACGCCAAGCATGACAGACGCAATCATCTTGCGTGTTGCGCATCACAAATTTACACTAACAACGTTTTTTTCTTTGATACAGGCCGACCACTGCTCCATCACGCAGTCCACCGGACAGACGACGTGCGTCATTATCGCAAGAAAAAACTGTTTCACTGTGAACTTGTGATGCAGAGAATGGAGCACAGAACGATTTGTCTTGCTACACCTGCAAGACATTGGATTTTTCAGCGTGTTTTCCCTTGGGAAGCCCGCATGGCAAATTTTCTGTGTCATGTGTAACAAACTTGTGATGCAGATCTTGCAAGATCATCACAGTGAAACAGTTTTTTCGTGGGATAGTCATGCTATCATATGTAAAAACGTCCCCACCCGCCCAGAGCTGCCATGCAAATGCGCAATGACAGGAGTCGATTTGTAATGCGCATCTCCAACATGAGAGGCATTTATTCTAATCTTCGTGTTTTGGAATTTGTAATGCCGTAAAACCAAGATGAGAAAGTAGCTTTCTCATGCGGCCGCCATTGCTAGTCTCCAGCACTACACGATGGAAATAACTTGTCATGCACTACATCTCCCAAAACTTCTTGGAGATTTTTTGTGTAACAGATTTACCAACCTTGTACTATGGGATGGAGATGTAGTTTTTCCCACAGGATACATGCAGGGCTCGGTTTGCGTCCGGTCCGCCAGGACCGGACACGCGGCACCTTCGTTCAGCGGCTCTGTCACCGGCTTGACGCGCGTACGAGTGCCGTCTGGGCCGCATGCGTGGCTACAAGCGCTCCACTCGTTCCATTCGTGCACCACGCAGTCAACGGGGCAGGGTATGCATCGGAAATATGTCTGGGTCCTCTGGAAGGCCGCAAACTTGTCATGCACGTTTCGCATGAGCCATGATCGATCTGTGATGTACGCCCTAGCATCACAGATTTTTTCAGGCCGTCTTGCTGCCTATCCCGCATAATTACAAATGCCCTCTTCGCGTAGCAAGAGGTGGACTACTCCTTTCTTTGCTGCTCATGCAATACAGATTTTTTTAGAATCCAAACGCAGCATCACAAGTTCAAGTTGCACTCTTCCAGAGGACCCAGACAACATTATTTGCAATGCATACAGGGGTCCGTGTTGCAAGTGCGCGTTTGCTCGAGCGCGCCCCCGCCATCGCATCCGTTACCACCGTAAGCTGGGGCCTGTATGCGCGTCCGGGTGATCCGTTGCGTGCCGGTGTCGCAGGTTTTGTCACAGTCTATCAAAAGGAAAAACCCCCCCTCCCCATTATATCGAAAAGGTATGTTTCCGAAAATTTGCGTTGCCGATTTGAGATCACGAATCTGTCTTGCAAGAAGACAAGCGCAAAGGCTTCCGCGCCATTATGGAAGCGATTTGGCATGCTGTTGGGCCTAGGCGACAGCCGTTTGCAATGCTAAACAACTAGACGCAAACGCCCCTACCTACGCTGAGGATCTGGCTGCGATGTCGTATTGCAAGACAGCGCGCATGTGTGTACGGAAATCCAGCATCAGAAACCTCGTCTCGATATGGGGAGCAGGGGGGATTTTTCCCCACAGTACAGGTGCTCCAGTCACTCCAGGCCGACATCTCGCAGTGAATCGGGCAATAGGAGACAAACCCGGCTCCAGTGCCGGGGGTGCAGTGTATCAAAGTGAAAAAAGCCCCCACCCCATATCGGAAACGGAAGATGCGCGAATTTGTGATGTTGTATTTGAGTACACAAGTCGACTTGTATTGCTAGAAGTCCAAGAGACGACGCTGCGGCCTAAATTGCAGGCAATCTGTCATGCTGTTCCCCACTTCCAGTCGCCTCCTGTCATCCTGGAGCTGCAAGGCTATCCCACGCTAGGCAGCACTACCGTCCGCATCTTTTGCCTTCTAGCATCACAAAGCTGATTTGTGACCACAAATCTGCATCACAGATTTCTGTTTTGATATGGGGAGGGGGCATTTTTCCTTGTAATACAGTGGGCTACTTCCTCCAGATCTGCACAGTCGTTTCCGCTGCCCTGCTTGTCCACCGAGATGTTATGGCGTTCTCAAATCGGTTACCTTCTCAACTGTTAATACATGGTTTGTCATGCAAAATTGCCTTTTCAGAAGCGACACCATCAAGCTGCTTCGCATGACAAATTCTCAGAGGGCCAAATAGGGTGATAATAAATCGGCGCCAAAGTCTGTCATGCAAGAGGCGCAAGATCATCGCCCCTATTACTTTTGCCATTCTTGCGTCACAAATTTATGTAACAGCTGAGAGTGTAACAGTTGAGAACGCCATAGATCTCGCGGGTGCGCGTCCGAGTCGGATACGAGCCCCAATCCTATCAAGTGTAAAAATGTCTGGGTCTGGAAGATTCTGAGACTTGTCATGCATGTTTTGCATGGGCCATGATGTCTGTGATGCATGCCCTAGCATCACAGATTTTTTGAGGGCTTCGCGATGCCTATTCCGCATGACAAATTCCCTCTCCGCGTAGCAAAAATTGCATTCCCTTTGCTGCTCATGCAATACAGATTTTTTTGGAATCCAAATTCAGCATCACAAGCTGCATTCTTCCAGACCCAGACATTTTTACATTTGATAAATCCCCGGCGTTCACCACGTGTTCGTCCACACAGGTTATCCTGAGTAAAAACGTCCCCACACCATAGTTGTCATGCAAATCTGCATGCCAAAAAAGTTTGTCATGCGGAGCCACATGAGAACCATTTCCAATCGTGTTTTGGAGTTTGTAATGCTAGAATCAGTATGATATGCTAGATCTGTGATGCTGCTGAACTAGCGAAACAGGGCCACACTAAGAGGGCAAATCTGTCATGCGATACAGCGAAAGCTGGCTCATTTGTCTAGTAGATTTCCCATCTTGACTCTGGTGTGGGGACGTTTTTACACAGGATACAGGTCGCCGAGCAGTCACCCCAACCGCCCCACTCCGAGACCACGCTATGAAACAGAAAAAAGTTCGTCACAGTGTCACTGACACTAACAACTTACAGGTTTTGCATGAGAAATTTTTCTGGCATCTTCACAGGTTCTTTTTCTTGTATTCCACTGACACTAGGGAAATCGAAATCGCCCATGAGAATTGACTGTGATGCGTTTATTTTACGCATGACAGAAAATTTTGTATTGCAGAAATGCACATGGCTGAGCATGACGCACTTTTTTTGTTTGATACACACAGTCCCGGTTGTAATCCTGACATATGCCCGTGTACTGGGTCGAACCGTCCGCGCGCGTATGCAGATGCAAAACCCTCCGAGAGACTGCAGATGTCGATCACGATCAGAGCACTTCTCTACTTAATCTAGAAATCCTTTCAAACAAGTAGCTACTCATCTTCATCAAGCGTGGTAATTTTTCATTATCATTGCCCTCTGTGCACTTGTACTTGTATCTAACCATACGCATAGCTAACTTTCAGTTTGTTCATAGTTTGTTTACGTACAACTTGCTTACCACTGGCATCAAGATCAGGAACTACAGATCAATGCACAACTCTGAAAAATAATCCACCTCGTCCACACAGTATCTGAAGAAGTACTACTCAGTCATGCATGTGTGTGGCGCATTTTTCGCTTTCTACAACCTGCGATACTTCTCATCTTATCTTCGAAAGTATGTACTATTTTTCCGTTCCGTACCACACTCTTGGCTGGTATCATAAGGAAAAACGTCCCCACCCCAGAGTTGTCATGCAGATTTGCACTCACGAGGACATTTGTGATGCGCATCCCCATGAGAGCCATTTCCAATCGTGTTTTGGAATTTGTGATGCTGGGAACAGGATGAGCAGGTGAATCTGTGATGCGGCTGCACTTGCTAACCTGCACTACACTGCATAGTGCAACTTGTCATGCGTGACTCACAAAACTCCTAGGTTTGTGTTGCAAAATCCTCATCCTGACTCTGGTGTGGGTACGTTTTTACTCAGGATAGCTGGCAGATTCCCGAAAAAATGTGGTCTTTGGAGGAACCCTTCGCACCCTGGTTCTCTTTCGCTATCAAATGCAAAAATGTCTGGGTCTGGAAACTTGTGATGCTGGGTGGCGTCTCATGATGAGGCTGCAAATGCTGGCCCCGCATGACAAGTTTCTGAGCTTCTAGGTGTTGCTTATTCTGCATAACAAACTGCGCTTCTGCATCACCGAAAAGCGGAGCTCTTGGGTAACGTGCATGACAGATTTAAGAGTCATGCCAGACAAGCATGACAAACATGAATTCTTCCAGACCCAGACATTTTTACAGTTGATATTCGCCTTGGGCCAGCAAAAGTCGCGACAGCAACTAAAATTGTGGTCTCCGTAGCTGTACAGCACGCAATTCGGCAACATGTCGCATATCATATCAAATGTAAAAATGTCTGGGTCTGGAAGAATGCATGTTTGTCATGCTTGTCTGGCATGACTCTTGAAATCTGTCATGCACGTTACCCAAGAGCTCCATTTTTCTGTGATGCAGAAACGCAGTTTGTCATGGAGAATAGGCACCAACAGCTAGAAGCTCAGAAACTTGTGATGCTGAGCCAGCATTTCTGGCCTCATCATGAGACGCCACCCAGCATCACAAGTTCCAGACATCCAGGGACGATTTTTACATTTGATATATCAGCTTGCATTTCCATTCGCGGGAGTCCACTTTGAAGCCACTTATGGGAGTGTCAGGATTGAAATCGTCAAAGTTGAAATGATTTGCAATGCAAAACATGCAGCCCACAGAGTGCCTGTCTTGGGGAGTAGGCAAGTGAGGCAGATTGTAAGCCTGTTGAGGATCAGCAACTGAGCTGCTAAAATAGCATGACAGGAGCAGTCTTCTTTGCCGAAACAGCATGACAAACTGGATTTCGGCTCTACTACCCAGATTTGTCATGCACCGCTTGGAAATTGGGCTTCCAACTGGCATCCATTTTATCCATGACAAATCATTTCAACTTTGTCGATTTCAAACCTGACGCTTCCATACCACTCCACTTGTCCTTCGTGTCGTGCTTCAGGTTCACAAAGGTCAGGTTACCGTATTCCTTGATCTTATCCTCATCATTGCGCTATGCATTGCAAATATGTCTGGGTCTGGAAGAGTGCAAGTCTTGTCATGCACATTTTGCATGCCCCATGATGTCTGTGATGCATGCCCTAGCATCACAGAGTTTTTGTTTTTGAGGGCTTTCATCTGATGCGTAAAATGCATGAGAAATGCCCTCTCCGCGTAGCACAAAATCGACTCCTCTTGCTGGTCATGCAATACAAATTTGTTTGGAATCCAAATGCAGCATCACAAGTTGCCATCTTCCAGACCCAGACATATCTGCATTTGATATGCGCCGGTTCGCGTCGATCAGGTTTGGACGGTTCGTCTCCAACCAGTTCCCATAGGCTATCACACAGAAAAAAGCAGGCAGGCCACGTTGACGTTTGTAATGCAAAAATAAATACGCAAAAAAATCTGTATTGCATACCCGCAGCAGCATGCAGCTATGTGGCCGCCCATGACAGATTTTTCTGTGTATTTATTTTTGCATTACAAATCTGCCCTGCCTGCTTTTTTCTCTGGGATATAGGCGTGAGCGTGCTGACAGATCCGCGCCGCTTCATTCACGACAGTCTGTTTCATCAGCACTGGGAGTTTACCTTCTATGAAGTATTCTGTGTAAAAACGTCCCCACCCCAAGGTCGTCGCCCCAGAGTTGTCATGCAATTCTGCACGCGAAGAATGAATGTTTCTCATGCGGAGGCCTAGGAGAAGCGTTTTCTATCCGTATTTTGGAATTTGTGATGCTAGAATCTGCATGCTCTGCTAGATCTGTGATGCTTCTGACCTAGCTAAACAGAATTACACTACGAGGACAAACTTGTCATGCCAGACAACCAAGGCTGGTTGATTTGTCTAGCAGACTTCCCATCTTGACTCTGGTGTGGGGACGCTTTTACACAGGATATGAAGTTTTCGGCGTTTACTACATGCGAGTTCTGGTCGTCGTATCCCACGAGAAAACTGTTTCACTGTGATGGTTTTGCAAGATCCGCATCACAAGTTTGCTACACATGACACAGAAAATGTGCGATGCGTGCTTCCCAAGGGCAAACACGATTAAAAATCCAAAGCCTTGCAGGTTTAGCAAGACAAATAGTTCTGTGATGTATACACTCTGTGCATCACAAGTTCACAGTCGTGAAACGCTTTTTTCTTGCGATATGTAGGGGCTGACGCGTAACCGTTGTTCGCACAGATCCCCCAGCCAGTAGTCGTGTTGTTCGTTTCTCTGTATCAACTGCAAATATCCCTGGATGTCTGGAAGAATGCCAGACTTGTCACGCAGGTTTTCCATGGCCCATGAGGTCTGGTATGTAGCACATAGCATGACAGATTCTGATGTGATAGCCCTATGATGCCTATTCTGCATGAGAAACTGCATCTCGATTTTTAGGTCAAACGTGGACAGCTTTTGGCAATCATGCAACACAGATTTTTACATGATTCAGATTTAGCATGACAAGTTCCAGCCTTCCAGAGGACCCAGACATATTTGCAATGCGTACTCTGCCACGAGTCGCAATTCGGCTTCCAGAGATTGTACACCCCGTACCCATTCACGTCGTCGTATACCCCCTTATCCCACGAAAAAACTGTTTCACTGTGATGGTTTGCAAGATCTGCATCACAAGTTTGTTACACATGACACAGAAAATTTGCCATGCGCGTTTCCCAAGGGAATAAAGCACGCCTATAAAATCCATTATGTTGCAGGTGTAGCAAGACAAACACTTTGGTGTTTCGTTCTCTGCATCACAGGTTCACAGTGAATAAACAGTTCTTTCTTGCGATACCCCTCGGGCCCGATATACTGTTCCGAACGGGCGGATTCCTGCTCCCGACTGCTGTTCTCTTCCAGGACACTCGACGACCCGGTGGCTCGGAGGGTCGTGCTGCGCTCGCTTTCCTCGAGTACAACATCTCGCCCTGCCCCGCCGACAGGAGTAGTAGCTCCTTCGCCCAGTTCTCCTGCTCGCTCCTGGAGCATCTCCCGCACCAAGTTCCTCGCCAGATTGCGAACATTGTCGCGCTCCTGTTCTTATCAAATGCAAAAATGTCTGGATCTGGAAAGTTGTGATGCTGGGTCGCGTCTCATGATGAGGCCACAAATGCTGGCGCCGCATGACAAGTTTCTGAGCTTCTAGGTATTGTCTATTCTGCATGACAAACTGCGTCGCTACATCACAGAAAAATGGAGCTGTTGGGTAACGTGCATGACAGATTTAAGAGTCATGCCAGACAAGCATGACAAACGTGCATTCTTCCAGACCCAGACATTTTTACATTTGATAGCTCTTTTTTCGCGTGGTACTGGGCTCGCAGGAGGGAGACCGGGTTGCTGTAGTTGACGTTGGGCCGCGAAGAAGATTTTTGCGATTGATCATTTCTTTCTCGTCCACCTACAGCACTCTTCGCCTTGTTTTGCTTTTCCAACGTACTGGCAGCTTGTGCCGTCGGATCTTCGTCTGCTACTTTGCCTTGTAGTGCTTCTACTTCCCGCCCACGGCGTGGCTCTCCTTTATCATCTTCATTTCCCGCACGACCCGCGCCGCCATTGTACCGGAACCTGCCGGTGAAAATATCTTCGGGCGGAACCGGCATGTTCATGCGCTTCATTTTTGCCATCAGATCGTTGATGATTCTCGTGTCTTCCCTGGCCATATCAACTGCAAATATGTCTGGGTCTGGAACAAAGCAACTTGTCATGCTAAATCTGAATCATGTAAAAATCTGTCTTGCATGATTACCAAAAGCTGTCCACTTTTGACTTACTCGAGAGGCAGTGCCTCATGCAGGATAGGTATGATAGAACTCTCACAGAATCTGTCATGCTCTGTCCTACATACCAGACCTCATCCCAGACATTTTTACAGTTGATAGGCCAAGTACGCCGCCAGCTCGTCGTCCGTGCGCAGGATGTCGTTCTTCTTACCGGTGGTTATCCTGAGTAAAAACATCCCCACCCCAGAGTTGTCATGCAGATTTGCCACGACAGCAACATTTGTGATGCACAACCCCATGACAGGCATTTTCATGCGTGTTTGGGAACTTGTCATGCTGTAAACAGGATCAGCAGATCGATTTGTAATGCGGCTTTCCTTGCTAACTTGCACTACCTTACGGACTGTAACTTGTCATACGTGACTCCCAAAACTCCTAGGTTTGTGTTGCAAAATCCCCATCTTGACTCTGGGGCGGGGACGTTTTTACTCAGGATAGTGGTCGTCGTGTAGCCATTGTCAGCGAGGGTTGATGGTGCTGTAAAATCATCTACGACTCCCGAAGTAGATGCGGTCCCTGTAAACTTCTCTGCCAGCGAAGAAGATGAGGCCGAAGACTCGTCTGCTCTCGGTCCGCACGATTCTTTTTCATCACCATCGCCAGAAGTGGCCACCGCCGGTGTAGTTGACATCAAGTCGCTCGCTGTCTTCTCGTCTTCAGTGCCATTATCAAATGCAAAAATGTCTGGGTCTGGAAGAATGCAGATGTTTGTCATGCTTGTCTCACATGACTCTTGAACCTGTAATGCGTGAGCAGGAAAAGACCCTCTTGCCTGTCATGCAAAAATGTAGTTTGTCATGCGGAAAGCGGAACACATAGGAGCCCAGAAACTTGTCATGCGTGGCTGCCTATTGCAGTGTCCCCACAATTCATAAATTAGCATCACAAGTTTCCAGACCCAGACATATTTGAAATGCATAGCCATGGTTTTCGTGCAAGTCTTCTTCCTCTTGTGAAGATGTTGAACCGGCGAGAAAACTACTTTTCTTTTTGCGCTTCTTTGGTAGCTTTTCTGTTTCCGCATCGCTGTTTGTGCTGTCAACACTATCCTTCGACTTTTTCGTGGGTTCTTTCCTGCGTTGTCCACCTCCGCGCAGGAATGAAGAGGTGCTAGAGGTACTGCCTCGATTTTTGGGCCGGCGACGAGGAGTTCTTTCTGGTCGCGCAGCCGTGTCGTCGTAGTCCTTTCCTAGCGCGGCCGCACTTTCATCTTGATCGTCCGTTGTTTTCTTTAACACTCGATCCTGTTTCAGCATGCTGTTGCTGGGTGAAGAAGACGAGACGGAAGGTGGTCTTGCACCTGCACCATTATGTTGCTCTTCATCCTCTTCCCCGCCACCATCATCATCTCCAACCTCGCTGGGCTTCATTTCGTGGTCCCCGTAGTTCAAGAACGCCAACGAGGGTCGTACCATCGTGTAGTTGTTACCGGCAAGAAGAAGTAAGATCTGAGCTAGGAACGACGAGGCCATGGCTTGATGTTGGCAGCCTCTTCGCCCCCCTCGTCGCAGTGAGGAGTTCTCGAACGCGGGGAAGTGCGAGGACATGGTGACTTTTAATACTAAACCGGAGGAACCAAATATCTAGAACTCATGTAGTAGGGCAAGTCAAGAACAATGCCTGCAATAGAATAAGTGTAACTTGTTGTCGTGCTTCCAGTGATATTATGGCCAGCATATCGAGATCTCTCCGCCCGAGCCAAACATGCCGCAGTCAGCACATTCGCCCCTACTTTGGTGGTGATACTCAAATTCGAATTCCCCTAGTGCTGGTGTTGCTACAAAAAAAAACACCTGCTAGTAGGAGTTTAGGAGTAAGGCAGCGTCAACATTTATTTTACTTGCTAGCGCAATAATCTCGTCTAAGCTACTGAAAATAAATTATCACATCAATAGCTAATAAATAGCAGAGTACAAGTGCAGGTAGCTAGTCGTTGTCATCTGGCTTCAATTCTTTCTTTCTAAATTCGATGAAATAACGAAGTCGAGATATAAAGTGGTATGTCCCCCGATCATGCAACGCCCGATCATGCATATCGCCCGATCATGATGCAACGGTCGAGTAAGAGTCGAAAAACTTAGAATTATCGCTCAACAGAATACAAGCAGCCCGGCGCTCGTCCCCCCGTGAAGAGCTTCAACTACATCTCCCCCCGATGAAATTTTTATACTCATCGATTCTGTAGCTAATCTCCACCATAAAAGTTCGAAATATGCGACGACGAGCCGATGTGCGAGCTATTTTCCCGAATCGATGTACAAATGTATCACAAAAGAAATTATAGCTATTTTTGGGTACTACTAGTTTTGTACACTTTATTAAGTAGACGCGCAGTAATAAAACAAGGCGACGAAGTTCATCTTGATTGTTGTTCATCTAGAAATATTTTCGAGAGGACCGAGTCTATCGGGAGATGAAGATGAGCTAGTACATCATTATTCCCACTCGGATAGCAAGCGCGTTCTTTGCAAATCCCCGAATGAATATTGGCCCTGCAGTATCCAAGAATAAAACTGTGTTTAGTGTAGGTATGTCTCTTTGCACTGACAGCATGAAAAATTCGCTCTGCAAGACAGAGAACGCCTGTCGTGCTGCACATCAGCTAGTTGTAACTACGCAAAAACGTCGTACCCGTATGAAACCAGGCCAGCGTGATAAGTGTAATAATACCCGATTTGCTTTTGCATTTTTTTGCATCACAGACTTAATACACACTTCTGCACACAGTTTTTTCTTACGATATCCAGGTTGTTCGCTTTCCTTGGTTTTCCGCGGATTTCGGCCAGCACCGGTTATCGAAAGGAAAAATCCCCCCTCCCCATATTGAAACCGCATCCGTCTGAAAATTTGTGATGCACATTTGTGACCTCAAATCTTGTCTGTCTTGCAAGCAGGCAAGTCCAGAGAGCCCCCTGCATTTTGCAGGCGGTTTGTGATGCTGTTGGGCTTAGAGCATACACGTTTGTCATGCTAGGCGGCTACGTCAAAACCTCTCGGCCGAGGCTTGACATATGCCTGCAGTCCTCTACTGCAAGACAAATCTGATTTGTGTACGGAAATCCAGCATCAGAAACTTCGTTTCGATATGGGGAGGGGGGATTTTTCCTCACAATACCGGTTGACCGCTCCCCACGACGTGGTCCACGCGTAACTGTACAAGATGCAATTGGGTAGCATGTCAAATGCAAAAATGTCTGGGTCTGGAAGATTCTGAGACTTGTCACGCACGGTTTGCATGAGCCACGATGTCGGTGATGCATGCCCTAGCATCACAGGTAGTTCTTTGAGGGGTTCTTGATGCCTATTCCGCATAGGAAAAAAGCCCTCCCCGCGTACGAAAATTAGAATGCTTTTGCTGCTCATACAACACAAATTTTTTAGGCATCCAAATGCAGCATCACAAGTTGCATTCTTCCAGACATCCAGGGATTTTTGCATTTCATATAGCATGTCGCAGATCATTTTGCACTTCCACTCGTCAGTGTTCCACGCCGCGTTCTTGCCTTCGGGGTGATCGCGTTTCAAGTCGATAAACTCGAAGCCCGGGCTATCCTGTGGAAAAACGATCCCATCCCATAGTCAAGAAGATGGGAAATTTGCAAGACAAATCAACAAGCATTAGCTGTTACGCATGACAAGTTTGGCCTCGTAGTGTGATCCTGTTTGGCTAGTTTCAAACAGGATCACAGATCTAGAGCATCATGCTGATTGGAGCATGACAAATTCCGAAACACGACGACTACGCCAAGAATAGAATGCTTCTCATAGGGCTCCGAATGAAAAATATTTTTAGCACGGGCACGCAGATTTGCATTACAACTCTGGGGTCGTGTGGGGACGTTTCTACACAGGATACGGGTATACTCCGACGTTCCAGGTTTGGGCGTTTTTTGCGGCGTATCAAATGTAAAAATGTCTGGGTCTGGAAGAATGCAACTTGTCATGCTAAATCTGAAGCATGCAAAAATCTGTGTTGCATGCTTACCAAAAGCTGTCCACTTTTGACCTACTCGAGAGGCAGTTTCTCACGCAGGATAGGCATGATGGAACTCGCACAGAATCTGTCATGCTATGTCCTACATGCCAGACCTTATGGGTCATGGAAAACCTGCATGACAAGTCTGGCACTCTTCCAGACTCAGACATTTTTCCATTTGATACGGCGTTGATTTGCGCAATGTACGTTGATGCGAACCAATTTACGTAAGCGTGGGCTTGCTGGCAAAGTCGGGAAGCCTGGTTAACCTGCTCCAGGGTCATGGCCGTCGACGCAGAGTCCGGCGGATTCCAATTTTGTGTATTGTAGTCCTTCAGAGTCCATTGGGCGTACGGATCCCGGTTCAGATGGATGTGGCACATATCCCAGGAAAAAAGTGTTTACAGTTACACACCTGTAGTCAATTCAGCAGAATTTCTCCTCATGAGAGAGAAAACTTGTAATGCAGAAATCCTACGGGCAAACACCTATGAAAGAACGAGGCTTCTATGCGTATCCGGCATGACAGAGCTGGTCTGTCTTGCGTGGCCTGCATAGACTATGTGTGTAACTGCAACACTTTTTTCTTGCGATAGCACAGGTCTCCGAGGTAGTAGTCGTAGTTCTCGACCCGCCCCCACTCAGGGCAAAAGGGCATATGGAAGCGTCAGAACTGAAAATCGACAAACTTGAAATTTACTTATTTGTATATGCATAAAATCGATACCTCCAGTTGTTAGGCCCACAGTTTATAGCCGGCGCATGACATAAACAGACTGCGCATGTTGACATAAACAGTTTATAGCCGGCGCATGACAAATTTTGTTTGTCTCTACTAAAGCAAGTCTGTCATGCTGTTTACGGCAAAAGGGCTCGTCCCTCTGTCATGCTAATAAGCAACACAACTCTTGACCCGTAGCCGGACTATACTCTGCCTCCCTTGCATCCTCTGCAGTAGAGGCACCCTCTGCGTCGCATTTTATGCATGAGAAACTATTTCAACTTTGACGATTTCGATGCTGACACTCCCATAGGGCACTTCCGGGGTGTAGGTTCCCATGTGCGCCTATCAAAATGAAAAATCCCCCCTCCCCATATTGAAAAGCTATGTTTCCGAAAATCTGTGTTGCTGATTTGAGGTCACAAATCGCATGCGTCTTGCAAGAAGACAAGGGCAGAAGCTTCCGCCCCATTATGGAAGTGATTTGTCACGCTGTTGGGCTTAAAGGGGAGCCGTTTGCCATGCTGGGCAACTAGACCCGTACGGCCCTACCTAGTCTGGGGATCTGACCGCAATGCATTCCTGCAATACAAAGCTGATTTGTGTACACAAATCCAGCATCAGAAATTTCGTTTTGATATGGGGAGGGGGGATTTTTCCTTGCAATAGCGCCAGCTCCAACAAACCCTCGTACCCCTGGGCTGGTATCATATGTAAAAATGTCTGGGTCTGGTACAATGCAACTTGTGATGCTGCGTCTGCATTATCTAAGAATCTGTATTGCATGAACAGCAAAAGAGGTCTGGTTTTGGCCACGGCGAGAGGGCATTTCTCATGCGTTATAGGCATCAGAAAGCCTTCACAAGATCTGTGATGCTAGGGCATGCATCGAAGGCATCAGGAGAAGTCATGCAAAATGTGCATGACAAACCTTGCATCCTTCCAGACCCAGACATTTTTGCATTTGATAGCTGGGTACGAATACCAGTTGTAAGGGGCGTGCCAACCCCCGTGCCCGCCATACTGCTTTGCAAGTACATCCGCCCAGACGGACGTTTTGCGCATCTCGATCGTTTTCCGCACAGGACAATTCCCTGTATAGCTGTCGCACTGCCCTTCCCCATACCTCTTAGGTGTTTTCGGCGTGATGCAGGTGTGGTAGCCTTCCCCGCCGATGGTCCCGTCGCAGCCGTTTTGCACTTCGCCTGCTATCGTGGGCAAAAAGAACGTCCCCACCTCATAGTCAACGATTGGGAAATCTGCTAGACAAATCAGCCAGCTTTGGTTGTTGCGCATGACAAGTTTTTTGGCCTCGTAATGTAATCCTGTTTAGCTAGTTCATCAGCATCACAGATCTAGCGTATAGATTTGCATGACGACTCTGGGGTGGGGACGTTTCTCGTTAGAATACCTTTCTTGCAGCACTTTCCTCCGGTCCCGCAGGCGCCGGGGCAGGAGCCAGCTTGGCTGCAATAGCTCCAGCAGTCAAAACTGGGCACAAGCAATTCGTGCGTGTAAAATTGCGTCGCCGGCACGACTATCAAACGCAACGTGTCCGGGCGTGTGAAACTGCAGAAGCTTGCCATGCAGATCTTCCATTCCCTACGTAATCTGGGATGCGGGGTGTAGCATCACAGATTCCGCAAAGCCTTTGCAATGCCTATCCTGCATGAGAAATCCCTTCTCAGCATGTCCGAACACGGGTATCGTTGTGGTAGTGGTGCAAGACAAATTTTTGTGTGACTCGCAGCATGAGTTACAAGTTTGCAATTTCCCAGACCCCGTCACATTTGCGATGCATACCGACGCACACGTGGCCGGCCGCTCCGCTCGTCTTCCCGACGCTGCCGTCGCACCCGTTTATGCACTGCAAAAATGTCTGGGTCTGGAAACTTGTAATGCTGTTTGGCGAATCATGTGTACGCCTTCATTGACAGCCAAGCATGACAAGTTTTGGAGTTGCTATAGTGTTGCCTATCTGCATGACAAATTGCGTTTCTGCATGACAGAGAAATGTGGCTTTTGTGTGGCGCGCATGACAGACTTGAGAGCCATGCAAGCTCTGCATGACAAACCCTGCATTTTTCCAGACCCAGAGGACATATTTGCATTTCATACCGTTCGCCAACAGACCATATGCCCGGCCCCCGGGCGGCCACCCATTGCGGCAGCACATGCCGTATCCAATGCAAATATGTCCGGGTCTGGAAGAGTGGTAGGTTTGTCATGCAGGCTTTCCATGACCCGCGTGGTCTGGCATGCACGACCTAGCATGACAGGTTCTGTGAGATCTCTAGTATCATGCCGTTCCTGCATGAGAAACTGCCTCTAAACTTATTCAAGAGTGGACCTCTTTTGGTAAAAATCATGCAACACAAATTTTTCCACGATCCAGATGTAGCATGACAAGTTACACTCTACTTCCAGACCCAGATCGATATTTGCAATGCATATGCCACCCGCGCCGCAGGCTGGACAGAGTCCCTGCCGTGAACTGCAGTGGTCCCAGCAGTCGCCGTATCAACTGCAAAAGTGTCTAGGTTTGGAAACTTGTAATGCTGCGTTGGGAATAGTGAATGCTCTGTAATGCACAGGCAAGCATGAGAAATATCTACGCTTCTTTGTGTTGCGTTTTTCGCATGATAAACTGCGTTTTCGCATGACAGGCAAAAGGGTCTCTTCTTGGACACGCATCACAAACTTTTTGGTCATGTCAGACAAGCATGACAAGTCTCGCAATCTTCCAGGCCCAGACACTTTTGCATTTGATACGCCGTGCACGGGAACCCACGCGGCCTGGTTCATGTGGCTCAGCCGTTCCCACATGCTCCAGTACAAGGGCTGCGGATCGGTTTCTCCCATCGGCTGCGGCATCAACGGCGAAGGAATACTACCCATCTTCGCTGCTATTTTCATTTTCTTCTCGAGAAAGTTGGACTCATAATTCTCGTGGGTCTTTTCCCTGTCGCTCGACGCAGCCGGAGGGTCATTTTCCACGACTCCGCCTTCGGACGACGAACCGTCATCATCTGCGTCGTAGTTCTTTATTTCCTGATCTTCCTTCGAACTGTGCAGCTTCTCTTCCTCAACAGCACGACCAGTTTTTTTCTTCCGCAACTGCTTCTCCCGCTTTTTCGTTACCTTCAACATTTTCTGCAGCTGCTTCTGCGTCTTCTTTTCCACGGTTTTTAAACTCAGAAACGACTGCCCCAGCGGGTCTGCGGCCTCGGGAATCGGTTGGCGGGGGTTGTTTCGACCTGTCGCTCTCGCGCCGGTGAACGCCAAATCTCGTCCCTCATCTTCTTCCCCGATGCTGGGTCCTCGAGCTCGTGCCGCTTGTTCATCTGTCGTCTTTATTTCACGTTGTTGGACCCTCGTCGTGCTCCGGTCAGCTTGGAGGTTAATTTTACCACGGTTATTATAATTTCCGCCAGTTCTGGTGCTTCCACCAACGTAGAACCCGTGGTCGCGGTCACTCTCTGGCTCATCTCTGCCGGTACTGTCTCCTACTGCTCCCGCATCCGCCGTCGCGCAGCCGGTATGTCGTTGTTGACCAAGAAAGCTCAGAAGTTGTAGCAGAGATAGTAGTTGTTTCATCAACATCCTCGTGCACCACGACGTCCTGTGACTGCAGCTGCTCCTACCGCCGGCGGCACTCCTCTTTGTAGGTCGTGGCAAGAGCAGCAACCTATAGGTTCTTGTCGTGGGGGAAAACAAAACCTGCAGCCACGAGGTAGATGAAGAACGTCAGCAGGCGTGATAAGTAATTATGTCACCAGGGGCACCAGGGGTTCACCTCCATCATGAGAAGGAGCGACGAGGTGGCCAGCGTCATCCTTGTCGGTATCGCTTACGAGCGTGGTGGTCACCAACCAAGTATCTCCAGAGTTTGAGTTGCGGTGATGATGAAGTGCTGCGACTTGGAATACGAGTACATGAACAACGACTTCCGCAGATATGTTTTTACAAACCTCATGATTTCCTCGTAGTTGTCCACGAGGAGCAGCCAGGCGGAAGTAGAATTTATAGAACTTTATCCATGGCGTCGACGCATCATGTTGATTTTTTTCGTCGACAAAGTACTTTCTTGCTTCTTGCGACGTGGTCAACTCATACACAGTAGATCACCAATTTGTAGAAAAACCATAGTACAGCAACATCTTCACCAATTTTTCTTCGCAACCAGGAGGTCCGCGTCCTGCTCAGGCCGTGTGCTGACGCCTTCTATTTAGAAATAAATTCTTTATAGCAATCCTTGTTAGAGAAAACCGGGGCGTGTGCGATTCCTCCGAATACGTGGCAACAACACTTAGATGTTACTGTAAATTTGTGCGGAGGACAATGAGAAAACGAGAATTTCATGAATCAACGACAACCAAGGACTTAAAAATACGTCACGACAACCTGCTACACCCATTAAACTCAAACCACCCCAACGACTCTTGCTTTTGTTATTCCCGTCCAGAAAGACAACTAGAAGCACATACATGCTCTACTTCTACCACTCTGGGAGTAAGTAAATCAAAAACCTCTGTCGGACAGTAGAAGTTCACCCTGTGATCAAAAGATGGTCACGCCACTTTGCGACACTCACGCTATTTTGCGACACTCACTGCTCGAGACGCTTGCTCTTCGTCTTCCTCGTCGGTCCCCGCCCACATTTCTTGGTAACAAGAACTAGAACAACTGAAGCACCTATATCTTCTTTTGTAGTTTGCGCCATCAGTCACGAACATGCGGTCTTGGGAGTCGATTGCGACACTACCATCGATTCTGAGAAAACACCATCCGCGCCACCGTCCGGGCGATGTCATAATGAAACGAGGACAACGCAAAAGCGAATCACATACGGACTCGGATCCGAACGAACCGGGCAGCCGGCGGCACACGTACCAGCGGCGCGCGGCGCTTCTCTGCGCCTGCGTGTGATAACATTCACACGCACCAACCATCGGTGCGGACGAGGCGGGCACCGATGCAGAGCACTACGGGACACAAACCGCGCCGGCGCTCCCCAATACACGGGCCAACCAGCCCACTTACTACAGAGCCGCGGGCCATAGAATGAGGGCGGCCGGGTGAAAACAAGGCAAGGGCCCGGCCCGCCGGGCAGGCCGGCCCAGCACGCGCGCGGCGGGCGCGCGGTGCCACGGCCGGGGCGACCGGATAGCGAGGACGGACGCCGGCCAACGGGGGAGGGGGCAGCCCAAGAGGGCCGACGGAAGCGCGCGCGGGATTCATTCGGGTCCTCGATCCGTTCCGCGCGCATCGGGCCCGGCAGCTGCAGCAAAGAGGGAGGCCAGCCGGCGCAATGACTTGGGGCCCTGGGTGAAGATTGAAGCCGGCCGGGACGCGCGCCGCCCGCACGGCTGAAGATGGGCCAAGGCCACAACCGCCCACCCGCCCAATGGCCGCGCACTGTCTGCAGACAAAGCCCCGGCAAGCCCGCCGCCCTTGCCCATGTAGGAAAACACACACGAGGCAGGGTTATGCGCCGGCCTTGTTGGCGGCGCGGCCCCCCGCGGGCGGGCTTTGCCAGCCCGCCAGCTCGCACAGGAGCACCCGGCGCGCCGCAATTGCACGCAGCCCATCGCTCGCCCCGCGCGCTGGCTGGCCCCCAAGTGGGAAGCGAAAACAACACGAGAAGCAAGGGCCTACATAGTTGCGCCATGCGGCCCGGACGGGCCAACGCGTCTACGGCGCCATAGGGCAACTTCCTCGCAGTCGGCCGCGATACACCCATACGGATTGCGCGCAGACAAACCACTGCAGCGCCAGCGCCACCAAACTTCGGCGGACCGCTGGAAGACCCCCGCCGCAACCGCAAGCCCAGGCATTTCGCAGCATGGCTCCTCTAGCTCTAGCAGCCGGGTGGCTACTTGCAGAGGGCGCGCGGGGCTTTGGCCATCTGCCGGACAGATCTTGCACAACTACGAATGACAATCTGTCACGAAGGACCGGAAACGAGCAAGACCCTGACTCCATGAACACACTCAATCCGCTAGTTCATCTGCATCCGGTTTCGGACCAAAAGCCCGTGAATAATATATTTGCCGTCTTTTCTTGTGCTCCAGTTTCTCCATTCAAACTGCTTTCGTTCTCGACTTCAGATGCACATGAGTATGTTCAAAGCCCCAGGTCGTTCTTGATCTTTTTACTGACTGGCTACAACACCACAGAACCGGAGCTTTCACACACAGTTAGCGCACGAAACATCGCTGGATAATGGCGCATTCTGAGTGCAAGTGGATTTCCTTCTATGGAACTCATCATTTCGACATGGATGGAAGTGGAACTCAACAATCTTCGTTCATGAGTATAAAAAGAGGTCTATGCATAACGCTGTAGATTAATGCTGGAGGAAGGAAAAAGTAGTCTGTGTCATGTAACAACCTTTCGGAGCGAAATCCCAGTGCAGAAACTCGATTCACGGTGGCCACTGTGCGGACAAGAGAAGGCCGCTTCTTGTTGGCGTATTGACAATAAATTCATTTTTCGACTTCCTAGGTACAATTCGGAATCTACTTTTTGAGACTAATTATTTACTGTGTGTGTGCCCGTCCTGTTTTCATCATACATAGATACGTCGTGTGCACGTCGTTGAAGACAGAATACTTTAGCTGTTTACTTTCAGAGTTATCAATTCACATTGGCCCATCTCATACGATCAAAAAGTCAACTGGTCATTAGATCAATCTATCATACCAGGGAAGAAATCAAGACGGTCTTCAGTCGGAGCCGTCTGTCTGTGTCTGCTCGTTCGCATTATAACTAACTTTCACTTTGCGTATTATATACTTCTAGTTTTTACTCTAGATAAAACCTCCTACTGAGAACGACACCTACGTCATTGCGGTGCTTGTGCATTCTCGTCCTCTGACAATAAATCCGGGCTGCACGCCTCCTCCTCCTCCGCACAAGAACTTCCCGTGGTCCCGAAGTTGTCCATGGTGCTGGCCCGCGATAGATTCTTATTGTTGTGCATCGTCACGACCGTGTTATGTTGCTGGTCCGCCCGTTGTGATACAAGTTCTACCGTTGTCGCATTCTGCACCACATCACGCACGCCCGCCCCCTGCTCATCTACAACTTCGTCGCGATTTATTCCCTGCTTCAGCATGGACCGGTGGAACTTCAAAACCTGTTCCCTAGCTTGTTTCCTCCGGTCGTGCAAAAGAACTCGTGTTTTGTTCTTTGTGCCACTTTCCCCTTCCGAGCTGCTGTCACTGGTCAAATCGGCCCACGAAACACGAAAGGCTTTTCGCTCTTTTTCCTTCCCAGGTTCGATGTGCAAGGCGTGTATGAGACGTGAGGGACAAGAGGATGCTCCTGCTGTAGGTGTTTTCGACGCGGCGTTACTTCTGCAAGAAGGTTGTGGCGTAAGAAGATCACATGCGCCTGCGGGTCCTTGTTCCGGCGGCTCTTGACTGTGTTTGACCCTCTCTACTTCCTGGGTTGCCCTACAACTCGCAGCGGAAGTCGGAGAAGGGCTTCTGCTGCTCCGTCTTGACGGCCTAGACGACGCTCCATTCCTCTTACACTCATATCGCAAAGAAGATGGAGTAGACACAGAACTACAAATGGTCTTGTTCCCGGCCGGGGCCCTTGCAGCCGTAGTCCTCTTAGGTTGAAGATCTGTTTTCATCGAGACCTTCTGCCCCCTTCCTGTGGTCGCTGGTGCAGCAACAGTAGCAGCAGCTTTTGAGTAGGTCCGCTTCCCGGCTTCTTCACGCATGATCATGTGGTGGCTCGGCCTATCAACTGAAGATGAAAACGAAAGCTGCGCCTTCCTCTCTTGTTGTTCCGCGTCTTTGTTCTTCTCTTGAAACACGCTGACCGCCTGCTGCCGTAGCACATTAATTTCCGCTTCTGAAAAAGGAGTTCGTCCACCTTGATGCTGTTCTGGTCCTTGAAAGCAAAGCAATCGCGGATCGAAGCCGGAATTGTTACACGGAAGCCGCCGTTGCATTTCCTGTTCGGCAAAACGGAGTCCAGCTTGCTGCTGTGGTGCTTGGAAACGAAGCACCGTTGGATCGAAGTAGATTGGGCCGCCTGTGGTGTTGCTACTACACGACGCTGGGTGCTGTGGAAGACCACGGCGCTCTTGCGTTTCCTTCTCCACTGCTCCTGCACGCAGTTCTTCGTGGTCGTGGCTAAAGTTGCTCATCAATCCGCTGGCGGGGACAGCTTCCCAATGTCCCGGAGGGGCCCCGGCCGTAGAAGACGACGGAAGCGGAACCTCGCTCGAACAAGTCATAGAGGACCCACTGCTGTCGGCCGACGGTAGAAATGTTGTCATACTGGTGGAACAGCTTGAACCCGCTGCTGTTTGTTCCTGGAACAACGGTGTTGACGGATCAAAATTCATCGCGCACGAGGGTGGAAAAAAGCCGAAGCATTGCTGTTCCTCTGGTGGCTGGTGGTGCCACGAGGAAGGGCTGCAAAACACGACCGGTACGAGCTGCATAGTTACCTGTGGTGTCGCAGGCGGGAACTCGGGCGTCAGGTAATTACCTGTCGTGGCTCCTTCGCTGGTAGGTGGCGTTCCTGTTGATGTTGACCCAGGGCTACTTCTTTCGACGCATTGCGGCGTTGTAGAAGTGTTTGGCGTCTTGACACAGTGGCTTTTTTCTTGATGGGTTGGTGTTCCACTCACTGCGTGTTCATCTCCACCAACAGTTTGTTCCGGTTGCGGTAGCACGCACCACGGCAATTGATGTGGCACAACAGAACCACACGGCATGCACTGGAATTGGAATAGGTCGAAGTTGTTCTCATAATCCTGCTGTTCCTGTGGCAGCGCAGGAGTTCCTCTTGCCGTGGCGGCGGTCGCCGTGGTTCTTGCACCAGCATTTCCACCGCAACTACCATTAATTCCGAATGTCGTCTCTTTACTCCAATACCGGCTCCAGACGCAGTGATGACACCTTTTGCAGTGCGCTCCGTCCTTGCACCCCTTCGGCTTCCGCGCGTACTTGCACGCCTCGCCGCACGTCAACGGGTGTCCAACCGAACCGACGGAGGTTTCGATTGGGGGATGGGAAAGCGGGGTCCGGGGACGCGTGGCTTTATGTTTATTTGCTGCTCGGGGACCAGCTATGAGACTGTTGAATTTCGCGGCATAGACACCTCCGACTGGTGCGGATGAACATGTAGATGGCGCATCAATATGAAAGGGGAGCAAGCAGGTCGGCGTCAGGAATAGCAAGCCGGCCGTGAGGAGCATCAGTTGTCGCCGAAAGAGGAGATGATCTATTGGAAGTAGCAGGGCCATTTTGATTTTTGACCAGTGGTGCTGGTTTTCGGATTCAGGATGCCAATTCTTCAGACAGAAGCAAGAAAATACTCAGTACAGTAGCTACTTTCTTAAACGGAACGCAAATACGGGATTTTTATAACTTTGCGACAAATAAGAGACTTAGTAAGAAGTACTGAATGTTGCTGCAAGAATTTTGGTGACTAAGCGGTGCTGGTGGAATCTGAGAAAAGTAAAGTGCGGAACAGAAACAGTAGTCGGTGCTATCAGAAAACTCCACGCAGAAGGTTGGCTGTCTTGTTTTTTCGGAGAAATAAACTGCAGTAGTTGAGTATGAGTGCTGTACTACTCATGCAGTAGCTGTAGCACGAAGAACGGCAAATGAAGACCTGCGCAGTCTGGAAATCACTACCATTTCGTCTAAAAATCTCATTTCTTTTGAAGATGAACCGACTGGGAGAGTGGTTAACAGATGGATCTTGTTCCAGTTTTGATATTCCGGGGTCGATTTCATTGGATCTTGATTTCAACACTCACCATCTTTGCTTCATCGCGGTGATCTGTTCTTGCCTGAACCGTCTCTACTTGAAAGACAGGAGCCCTCTAGTGGAGGATCTTCCTCCTAAACATTTTTTTCAGATCAGAGCCGATAGAAAGAATTTGCCGCTCGCCCGGACGAGCGCTTGATTTGCTCTGATGGCCTCTCTCGTTCACGGGGGTTGGCGCCTGCTTTCTCTGTTTTCCTATTAGAGAAAATGTTGCTCATGTACCTCCTCCTGCATCTGTAGGTATTCTTCTACTGCTTTTGCCAATTCCCAGAGGGAAATGGGCCATTGGTAGGTAGGATAGCGCCTCGCCTGCCATAGCGACTCGAGGTTTTGGTCGTCGAAATGAACAAAGGTCGGCATCCGATCAAGCCAAAAACAAAGAAGCGGCTGAGCGATATTCATCTCAGCATCTTATTACGAGCTGCCAACGAACTGTAGAAAACAATTAAAGGGGCCGCAGCGTGGCGCCTCACGGAGATAGACACACGAGGCGCAGGGGCACCACGCCCAGCTGGGCGTGCTAGTACATCGCAACCAGCCAGGGGAGCAACAAACGGGCCCGCCTACCAAAACCGGGTAGCGGGTGGCCTGCAGGCCCACCGGCCTATCGGCCCACCCCGCGCCCAAGCCGGCGTGCCAGTGGCCGGCCGGGTGGCGCCAGACCGGGCGCCCGCGCGGGCAAAGTAGGGCGGCCACACGCAGCAAGGCGGGGCCGGGAAGGCTGCGGCGCTAAGAAACACGCCCGGGAATGATCGGCCTCGGGGGGCCCGGACGGGGGGCCGGCCCCCTGGAAGGTAGGAAGGCGAAAGGCGGCGCAGACGGCTCGCTCTGCATCAAACTATGCCCGATCTTCGGCCAGCCATAACACCGGGGGCCCGCCCCGGTGTCTTCAGCGTCCCGGCCTTGCTTCGAGTGGAACGCCCACCCCCGGGGGCTTTGCCTCGGCCCGGCCGCCGGCTCCGCCACCGGGCAGACCTGCTGCCGCGGACGCACGCGGGCCGCCCGCCTGGCGTCCGGCCAGGTCGCGGGGCCTCTTCTCGCCTTGGGGAACGCCCGCGCGCCGCAATGTCCGCCGCGGTGGCGGGGGCGGGGCGAATTTGCGCCAAACCCCCGGCGGCTCGGCCCTCGAGCGAGGGGGCGCCTCCGGGGTGCGACGGCCCGCCTTTGCACAGGACGGCCCCCGGAATGGGGGCCGTCGCTAAGACGGACGCTTTTCGAAAGGAGTACGCTGGTCGCTGTGTTGAATGAAAGAAAAGGAAAAACGCTCCGCCGCCTTCTCCAAGCTGGGCGGCCTTCGGGGCGCAATGCGCCGGCCTGCTGCTCCCGCCCGGCCTAGCCGTTCCGCGCGTTTATTTTGGAAAGCGGCCCCCCTCGCCCACCGGGGGCGTCGTGCTCGAAGCCCCCAGCGGCAAAACACACAGCCCCGATCCGGTCCAGTCGCCGCGGCGCCACCCCTGTAGCGGCCGCGCAAGAATGCAGCCGCTCGGCGCGGCGGAATACGTAGCCCCACGCCTTTCGCGCCATCCCTCTGCGGGCGCTGTAAAATAAACCAGAGGACACAACCAGCTTCCATTCCAGTTTCCCAGAGACCGGGCCGCGTTGTCTTTCGTATAAATCCCGGAAGAACACAGAGCATGTGAGCCCAGAGTCAGGTGGGTAATCATAGCACCTGCCTCCTAGTATTCGTGTCACCAATTGCTCACGACGAATGTCTTCGGATAAGTAGGTCAGTTGTTTCTTTAAATTTCAGGCTTAGGCCCATTGCTACACTTCACAAGGCATAAGGCTTCACGCTGCGGTGTGGCTTCACAATGTCATAAGGCTTCACGCTCTGGCTTCGAATATCATAAGGGCTTCCCGTTGTGCCTTCAAATTTCATAAGGCTTCACGCTGTTTTCAAATGTCATAAGGCTTCAGGCTGTGGCTTCAAATGTTATGTCATAAAGCTAAAAATCCCCATCATTATACACGAGTGCTAAAACTGTTCCTGGTACTACTTACTTTCCAGACCAAACTTCTTCATGGCCTTTATGTTTCGAGACGTTCAACTTCAAACAACTTCTGACGGCATCATACACATGATATAGATAGGTAACAAATTAGGAATACAACATTAGGAATACAACTACTAGTCAAACTGAGGGACGACCACTGTGGCGAACTCTCTTAAGAAGAAGCCACTTGTCCTCTCAGGGAAATTGAAATACAGGAAAGCGTAAAGTAAATTGTACAACTATCTTCTTCAAACAAACTCAAGGCTAGACCAGGTAGCAGCAGAGAGCTCTGGATACAGAAACAAGTCCTCGGTAAACAGACCTCACTTGCTCCTCCTGCGATGCTCCACGCAAACGCCTGCAGCATCGTGTACACTCTCGTTTTGGCAAGTTGAAAGTACACCGATTTGGATTCACTGATTCTCGTCTAGCGACCCACCTCCGCTTGTCGTCTTCGCCACCAATTCTTTCCCAACCTATATAAGTAAAATTGTTGAGAGCATTGATTCTCTTTAGACGATCACCCAACGCAAAATCCGAAGTCTCTTGTAGTCCGGGGCTTCCGGCGTCTCGCGAGGGGGAGCTTCTTCCAGGTGCGCTTCGTCCGGACCTGTGAGGGACATGTGAATGAGCACAACCCGGCCTCGGGACGACGTCACAGGGTTGTTCGTTTCGTACGTACCTGCGAAGGTGATGTGAATAATCACACTGCGGCCCTGGGACCACGACGTTACTGTTTTGCGACGGCAGATTCTTGATCCGCGCTTCGACGTCGGTATCGCTTTCCCAGCCTTTAAAAATCTTTTTGAACCGGACTTGTTTTCGCTCCCTCTTCGGAACCGGTGCCGGAGCGTGCGTTCTCAGCACATCCCGTGTTGCATACTGCAGCACCCGGGGCGCCAGGCAAACGAGCGAATTCATAAGACGGTAATTTCGCCGCACGTCGAACGGAACCTGGTTTCGCAAATAGTCCTCCGCATTTTGTATGTCAACCCGTCCGTTGCGTATGTCTTGCAACACGAGGTCTTCGCTGGACTGATACTTCTTTGCCCCGTGCAACACCGCACACTGTTGCTCCTTAGTCAGTCTTGCCTTCTGCTCCCTCGTCAGGCTTGCGACCGTTTCGTGGGACGACGACGACGACCCAGCCTCTACTGCACTGCTGGCGGTTTTCGTGAACGCGTAGCGCAGTACGATTTCAGGCTCCCCATTCTTCCAGTCATCGAGATACCGAATCGGCGTGTCTCCGGAAAGTCGATTGCCGTTGCTAGTGGAATATTCGAAGTAATCCCCGCCAGGCTTCAGGAAGGCCCCAATCCGCATGTCCTCATTCTCAGGGTTTTTTGCGTCTACCTGCTCCGGGTAAATCTGGAAAGAATCGCGCTGGTCGTTCCTTGTTTTTCCGTCAATTTTTTGGAACACCACGCGGCGCGGCTCACCGTGTAGCTGTACCTCGGAGAAGGACACTGCGGCTGAGAAATGCTTCTCAGGCAGCCCAGGAACGCCTGCGAACGGCTTTCCTTTGCTACGGACACGATCTGCTGAAGATGTACGAGGAGCGGGACGGCCACGACCTGCTGGAGATGAAAGAGAAGACGGACGGCCACGACCTGCTGGAGATGAAAGAGAAGACGGACGGCCACGACCTGCTGGAGATGAAAGAGAAGCGGGGCGTGCTGCTTGCACGCCAGCTATGACCACCTCACTTCCGACGTGCAACGTGGCAAAGAAGCCTGCAGCCCCGGCGGCGGCAACAAGCTTTCTTCCAAAGAACGCCGACATTGCTTCGTTCTTGCGCTTAGTACAACTTCTAGCTTACTTAGCTTTGATTCTATATTTACAAAAGTAGCAGTTGTTGTTGTCGGCGTTCTCTTGCTTAGTAGTTGTGATGATGATGTTGGCAGTGTGCCCTTTGGCAGTGTGGTTGATATATCGCTCGATTTAATAAATAGATCTTCAAGTTGTATAAGTACAAGTAGATTAGAACGCGCTGTAATTTCTTATCTTGCCTTGCCACTAGGAACAGAGTTACTGAAGATGTGCTGCCAAATTGAACCAACTTGAGAAAGATGAGACGGTGATTTTATTTCCGACTCGAGTCTAGCACGTAATATCGAAGAAGATGTTGCAGATCGAAGAACTTGTTGCAGACCGAAGAACTTGTTGCAGACAGTACACGCTCCCTCTTCCTCGACATCAAGATCTTCAAGACCACCCCTTCCGACATGATTTATATTTATTTTGTTGGATCGCATCAAAAGAAAGTAGCCCACAAGATTGGGTTGTAGATTTGTAGGTACTAAATTTCAGCACAATATGATCTCCAAACCGACTACACCGAGCGGCGGTACTATGTACTTACTTTAACTTTATCATTCTTTTCACCGACGACAAAACTCTCAATGAATTTGATGGTCGCGGTCGTGCATGTGTGTGGCAATTTGCAGATGCTTCGGCGGAAGCCAAAAGCAATTTGCAGTCTTGAGCCGAGATCTTTGTCCAACGACAAAATTCTTTTTCTCTTGAACGACGGACGAGAGGTATGATCATCGAAGAGGTTCCTACTGAACGACGGACGCCCGACGACGGTCAGTGTTTACGGCTCCACCACCACCATGTACGAACCAAGACACGAAAATAAGCGGTGCGCCGCGAAAAAAGCTAAGTGACCCGTACGGCTGCGCGAGGCATTTTTCAAAGTCTTAATCTTGTCTGGTGCGAGGCATTTTTCAACGTATATAGCATTGGCAGGGGGCAGCTTCTCGGGGCCAAGACTTCGGTTTGCGATCTGATAAAGGGTTGGGTTACAAATGCCAACCATACGCTTCCGAGAATCCTTTTACGGCATTCGGCACAAATTGGACGGCGTCGTCAACGAAACTAACTACGTCTCCGACGGTGTCCGCGAAACCGCCCACAATACCAGCCGCGGCGTCGCCAGCAACACCCACAGCGTCCGGAATTTGCACGACCTTCACTATCGTGATGTAAATTTTCTTTATGACTTGCAAATTTCTTCCGGTCTAGAAGAAGTCACGATGCTCGTGTCTCAATGATCAGAAGCTTGCGACACGCAATCAGGCATGATGACAAGCTTGAAGCAGACTGTCTGCTTCATTATACGAATGCGCATGACCACGAATTGCGTTTTCGCAAAAAATCCAAAAGCATCTCGGCAACATGGTGCTTGGCACAACGTTTATGTTCGCCGCTCCAGCCGATCATGACAGGTTTGCAATCTTCCAGACCCAGACCGAAACAAATTCGCATTTGATATTTCTCAGTTCCACGAGCAAATTATTTCCTAGCATGCCAGGTTCAGATGAAAATGAAAATCAAAATAAACGCACGAAGACAAAAGCCCGCACCGCGTCGGCTCAGACAATAATAAATGCGTACTCACAGCAAAATCCACGGACCACCATTTGCATTTATCTTGCGCTCATGCATCATTCGTCATATGGCATGAAGAAAACGGACATGCAAAGGTAGCAACAACTCTCGCCAAAATCCAAGAATCGTGGTCGAATGGGTAACGTGCTGCTACTTGGCAATCTCTTTCGGACTTTAATCTCTCCGGTGCGTAGAAGCACAAGCACTACCGGGAGTAGAGAAAAATACGAGTTCCATAAGAATTCCGGCTTGACCCAGTTTCGCCCCCGCATTAACCACCTTCACAGCATCATCATCACGACCAACACGAGCAGCTAGGCTTGCCTTCGTACTTCTCGTCTTCGTCTTCGTCTTCCTCTTTTCCTTGTCGAAGACCCGACTCTTCTTGCGGTGACCATGATTCACGTCCACAAACCCCGACGGCGAGGTTTCCGATCCAACCCATGCGTGGGTACTCGTGGGGCTGATCTTCGCCGCGCCGACAAAAAACGCCCCCCCCCCTCCCAAGAGAGAAACCGTCGAGGCCGTAGCCGCTCCGATCCGCGCAAACTTCGATTTCCACTGCAGTGGCATGATGGAGGGTCAAGAAAGTTCAAGCAGGATACGATATTAATATTATCTGAAAGACTAAGACACCCACGTAGGTACTCAAAAATAAATGTGCAAAATTAATACCCAGTGCCCGCAAGTACAACTAGAGAACACGAACACTGTTGTGCTCAGTTGCCACTGCGACACGATCACACTGGCTGTCAAGTAGATCCTGTTTTTACTTCGAATTTAAAAAAACGAAGCTCTGGTAGTATTACAATTACAACAGCTCGTAGTAGTAGTAAACTGTTCAAGCAAGTGAGGAGGGCTGCTGCGATACTTAGTCATACATGCGTGCTTTCAAATTTAAGTAGGTTCAAAGAAGCAGATCGAAAACACTTTTCATCTTCGACAGCAACCTTATCACGCCAGCCAAGCAGCAGCGGCAGCGCTGATTCTGTCAACGGAAACGACGGACGCGTAAAAATTGTACGAGAGGTATCATCGAAGAGGTTCCTACTGAACGACGGAGGCACGACGACTGTCCGAGTTTACGGCTCCACCAAGTACGAACAACCATGACACGAAAATGCGCTGCGCGCCACGTAAAAAAAAAAAAAAAACACTGATCGGATCCTGACTTATATGACGAAGTATTTTTGCACGGTCACGTAACGACGCTGCCAAGATAGAAACCAGCACCAGTTTACGACAGAATCCGTGAAGAAAACACCGGACGACAACGCGCGACACCAGGGCGCTTTCGCGGTCAACTACGGCTACGGGAGTTACATCTAGGTGCTGCAGAATTCGAGATCTTCGTCCAAGGAAAAAATTTTTTTCCGCTCGCCCGGGCGAGCACTTGAAGACCATCTGGGGTCTCAACACATCGTCGCCCACGTAGCAGCGGTTTCATTCAGGATAATCATGCTGTTTTCAAATCCACAACTTCTGATCTACTTCGCGAAAGTTTGTTCTCTTTCACAAAAACATATTCGAGTTGTGGACGATGACGATCGTGTGTATTAAAACTACGACTTGCTAAACAACTTGCTACGCAGTTCATCTTCTACTTTTTGTTCCGGTTTTATTTTTTACTCCGTAGTGGAGGGCCCTACCGCTAGCAGGGCAACTTATTACTTATTCCGCCACTGTGGTCGAAATCAGCCGGCCAGTAAAAAATTTATTATAGCAAGATCATTTCCATATACTCGCTCGAGTAGCTAAAGGCAAAAAACCTGAGCAGTGCCTAGTAAGATTGCTATTCATCAAGAAATTTTCTCTAGAAAAGACTAGTAGAAATTTTTACGTTTATACAGTGCTGTTCTGAAGCTGAAAGAATGTCAACTCATTAACGTCATCATATTTCCAGAGCAAAAAGCATTCCGGAGCCAACAAGCCTGTGAAGGCTGCTGACCGTTGAAGCTCAATTGCAGCAGAAGTTAATGAAGTTTCTAAGACTACTTCTGTGGACAGTTGTTCAATAGAACGGTGGGAAAAATAGAAATACGAGCAAGCTGTAGTTGTCAGGAAAAAATAACGGACCGCTATTTGTAAATGATGAAGAAAGCCACTTCGTGTAAATTTGATGAAGATCTTTCTAAGTACATAGCGAAAAATGAAGAGAGTGACTCTAACGAGCTGTGAGTACTGCGGTTCTTTGGGATGAACAACAACAATTTCACACGACATCACTTCCCAGCCAGAGTAGTATCACTGATACAGCTCGTTCGCCATCACTGTAGAACAAATTTCTAAAGCTGCTGGAGCAGCAGGAGCAGTAGCTCCATCTTGACTTACTAGATTTTACGAAGAACGAGAACGACTTTTGAGTATTAGAGCCGTGTTCGTATAAAACAAATCAATCTCGTACTACACGCTTCTGATCGCAGATCGCTTTCGGACAGAGAAATAAAATCAACTCTATCGAGAGGACATGAATTTTGCAATGTCTTCCCCGCTAAAAGCTGTGAAGGCTGGAGCGGGCGGGGAAGCCCCCGCTGGGGTTGGTGCTGCTGCGGGCTCCCAGGGGCACCGTGCTGCTGCTCCAACGTCATGATCCACCGAGGAGCGGGCGGCTTCCCTCTTCCCCTTAAACTTGCCCCCGCGAGGAACAAGTCGGGTTTTACTACTAATGCCCTTGCCGCCTCTGGCAGCTGCACCGGTAGTACTGGTTGCTCGCGTCTGCTCGGGTCGACGTTGGCGTGCTTCCACACCGTGGTCGAATGCAGTAGCTCGTGCTGGTCCCCCGGCACGCGCAGCAGCTTCAGACGTCGCCCCTGGTGCTTGTTCAGACTGCCGCCGGCTAGAAATGGCTGGTGCAGCTGCAGTTGTACGACCACTTTTCTGCTGCTGCGGCTGCTGCTGCGAACAAGAATTGCCACGAATCTGATGATATGCATTGCAAATATGTCTGGGTCTGGAAGAATGTAATTTTGTCTTGCTCGGCTGGCATGACTCTCAAGTCTGTCATGCACGTTGCCCAAAGCCTTCAACTTTCTGTTAGGCACAAACGTTGTTGGTCATGCTGATTAGACAACACCTAGCAACTACGCAGAAACTTGTCATGCTCAGCCGTCAATTGTGGCATCCTCATGATTCGCCACATCGCATCACAAGTTTCCAGACCCAGACATTTTTGCAATGCATAGACGACCGGGGGAAGCCATTGCCTCCAGCGGGTCCTCGCGGCATTCTTGCACGTTATCCTGTGCAAAAGTATCGCACTCGTAGCAATCGCGTTTATGCATTACAAATCTTTTCCTTAAGGTAAATCCGCATTACAAATTTCATTTCTCATGCGGAGGAAATTTGTCATGCGATTTATACTAGTACGATGCTTTTGCATTTCATACACGTAGTGCTCCCAAGATTCTTGCACCTGCAAGGCGTGCGCATCCCTGCCGCACAAATGACACCTGTCACACTTCAGCCCCTTAGGGCAGCGGGGCGCCTTGCTAATCGCGTACGGGCCGGTGCTTTTGTACTTTGGGCACGCGTTCTCGCACAATTTCCTGCGGTAGTTCTGCGTCCAGTCTTTATGCTTCTCTTTCGGCGAACAGCCGCACTGGAGCGAGCCCACGTTGGCATCCCATTTTTCCAGCCGGACCGACCTGTGCTTTGCCCGGGTATGCACTGCAAATATCGATCTGGGTCTGGATTTGTCATGCGAAATTCGGAGGATAACACTAACAGGAGCAACAGGATCTGTAATGCATAAATGCGATTGACCAATTTTTTTGTGATGCAAAACACGGTAGAGCTCGCAATACCATCCGAAAAATTTGTGGTGCGTGAAAGCCGTAGAACAAGAGATCGCTTTGGCAACATGCAAGACTCAGCCACACAAATTCGCTGCATCTTTCCAGAAAACCGCCCAGATCGATATTTGCATTCGATACCGGAGCTGTGCCATCAATTTGTCCTGTGCTACCGATGCCGCGGCCTTGGCTTCGGCCTTTTTGGCCTTCTTTTGCTCCTCTTTTGTCAGAGGAACATCAACCCGTCGGTGGTCCACGGGCGGGGCCGGGGGTGGGGGAACTTGTTCTTGCGTGGAGGGGCTACTAGTCCCTTGGTCGACAGCACCGTTGTCCTGCTGTTCTCCTGCAGCCTCACTGGACGAGGGGCAGAAACAGGCACAGGAAGTGGTTGTTGTACTGCAGGAGCTTCTTCCGAGGAATCATTCAACATCCGTTCGTTGAACTACTGGGTTAACTTCTTGCGACAGTACATTTTCGTGAAATTTTGCAAAGCTTCGGTGAAGATATCCAATGGCAGAGAACCGGCCTGCTCAAAGGAATCCGGCGTTTGGCAGCCCGGATTCTGCTGGTCGAGGTCGAGAACGTTGGCATCGTGGTCAACAACCGTTGCGGATCCACTTGTTCTACAAGTCAGTGCACCAAACACGTGATCAACAAGTTGTCAACAGGAGACCAAGTTCATCAGCCATCTCTCCTGCACGAAGAGACGAGAGGGCACCGGGGACAGTTTTTTTTTTTTCACCAACGTATCAGCATCATTTTATTATTCAGGTACGAAATTGACGTGTGAGTTATTGGTCAAGGGGATTTTCCAGCAGTGCAATACTTAGCAGGATTAAATGTCTAAGAGAGAGAAAAAATCTCATCTACGATCTACTTTCACTCGGTAGTCAATTGACCCGAAGATGTTGAGTAGGAGTTCACATTTGCTCTCCTTCTCCCGCCACCCGCAAGACCCTTGCAGCCCGTGCCGTAGGGCCGCGGTGGTACGGGTGAAGCAGGTTTTTTTCGATGTGACAATTGCTTGTCGTCCCCTTCATCTGCACAAGTAGAACTATGCAGAAAATGAAGACGACCACGCACTTCTAAATAAGCTTGAGTTGTAGTAAAAGAGTTGAAAACAAGTGCGTGAAATTTATTTAGTGTGACGCTGTTGGTGCTTGAAAATGAAATAAACTGTCGATATTTTCGTGTACAAAAAAGTCCTCCAGAGCGCTGTATTCAACCATTTTTCAAGTCGAGTATTCATCGAGAGTTTTTACTCTCACTGAATCAATGTAGGCCTTCTGCTGACATATTTAGACAGAGCACGAAAAAACACGAAAATGGAATAAAAGGTCGCCGGTTAGTTTCTCTTTAGTATATGAGATAATTTCTTGGAACGAGAGCGGAGAGAACAAATAAGTGTTTCTGACTAGTTCCTAGGACATCATCATCTTCAGACAGTGAATTATTATACGAAGAATTGCATAAAGTAGTTGATGAAAAAATACGTAGAGCAATCGCAACAGCAAGAGAGAATCCGCGAAGGCTTTTGATTCCGAAACCTTCAATGGCTTTATTACTGCGACCCGCAGCAGGGGCAGGTACACATTTTTAAGTATAGACCTTTACCTTCTGGTATCAAGTGTAAAAATGTCTGGGTCTGGAAGAATGCGAACTTGTCATGCAGATTTTACATGGCCCGTGACGTCTGTGATGTATTCGCTGGCATCACAGATTTTCTGAGTGCTTCTTGATGCCTATTCCGCATGACAAATGGCCTCCCCGCGTAGCACAAACAGGACTTCTCTTGCTGGTCATGCAATACAGAATTTTTTAGAATCCAAATTTAGCATCACAAGTTCCAACTTTCCAGTGGTCCCAGACACTTTTGCATTTAATAGGTCCGCGGCATCTACTTCGCTGAGTTCACTGTCGTCAGAATCAACATCTGCCTCCACATCAGTACCATAACAGCACGCGGTTGTGGTACTGCAACTGCCGCAGTCCTCGGTCGTAAAACAAGTACCGGTCGTCTCTCCCGTGCCGGAGCTACAACAACTGCAAGCGTCGAAAGGAACCGAATTATCCTGCTGTCGTCGTACTGCAGAAGCTTGGTCGTCGTACTGCAGAAGCTCGTCGAGGTCGAGAACGTTGGCATCGTGGTCAACAACCGTTGCGGAACTAGGAGCAGCGGCAGCAGGGGCCACATTCCAAATCGCCAGTGATTCTTCCTCCTCGTCCTCGTCGTCGGAACAACCCATAAGTATCCGCCCAAAAGAGGACTCGTCTCGGTCTAGTATTGCTGTTCGCCGAAGCTGCTGCTGTCGTGTCCGCGGACAGTGAAGACGAGCCGACCATTTCGTCCGCTCGCTGCGGCACGGGCCGCTTCAAATCATGTGGAAACGAACTACACCCGCCGAGAGTAGTAGAATTACTACTCTTAGAAACTGCTGACGACGTCGTGTTTGTGCCGGTCGTGGGGGCAGTTGTTCGACCCCCGGGTGTAGTAGTACTCCATGCAGCAAACGCCTGCAGAGCCTCGTCAATATCGATTGGATCTGCGAAGAGCTTACCAGAGTCGTCACGTGGAGGTCCTCCGGCATTTCGTACTGCTCCGGAGGTCGTGTTTGCGCTTCCGTAGTTACCATGTTCGTCATAAATTGGCGAGGAACCTCTACTGCTTGCCAGAAGTCCTTGAGCTAGTACACCACTGCTGCCGGCGCTCGTTGCTGTCAGCGCCGGGCTATACCGCGAAGGCGACGTCGTGCCATCATTAATGTCACTGTTGGTGTCACCTTCGTTGGTTCTACCGAGCAGCGCCGCGCCGGCTTGTGAAGATGACCGCAAAAATTTGGCCGCCCGTTGCGCTGCCCGTCCGCCGTGCCTCTCTCTGTCCCCCTCTGGCCGGACGAAACGACACTTGTGGCAGCGTGTGCAGTCTTTTCCGTCTTTGCAGCCACGCGTACCCCGGGTAAAAAACTTGCAGCCTTGTTGGCAACAAGAAAACGGGTGGCCTTGGGAGCCGATAGAGTCTAAAGCTTCCTCCGCGTTGATGACAAAGGGCGCAGGAGGGGGCGGAGGTGGCACGCGGGAAGATGAATCTACTTCATCACGAGGATCAGCAGTAGAAGACACCAAACTGTGTTCCTCCGCGTGGTTGCGCGGAAGAACTACATCACCACTTCTGCCGCCCTTCCCACCTGAATGAGCGACATCGTCATTTTTCCGCCGTGGTTCCTGGCCGCGGCCCGTGCCCTTGTTTCGTCCTTTGCCACGCCCCCGAGCTGCTGGTGTCGCAACCGACACAGCTTGCACGCCAATAGTTCCGACGTGCAAAGACAAAGTGGCTAAGAAGCCCAAGCCTCCAGCGGCGGTTGCAACAAGCTTCTTTCCGACGAGAAACGCCGACATTTTATTTGCGCGTTGTCAGAAGATGACAGAAAATTCCTGTGTACGTGTAGTTTTTACGACTTGATTTATTGAGAGGAACAGATCTAGTAGAACTACAAGGCTGTGTAGTATTTTTTTTATCACTTAATATCGCAAGAAATAAGTGTTACAGTTACACATTGTCATGCAAGACTGGCAACAGAGACAACCTTTCTCATGCAGGAAATGCTTCGGAGCTTCGCTTCCTTCCTGTTTTCCCTTGTGATCTTCGCATTAAAAGTTTTCTCTGTCACACAAAGAAAATTTGTGATGCAGAAACTCCAACAAGTGCGTAACTGTAACACTTTTTTCTCGGGATACTTAAAATTTTCACGAAAATAGAATTTCTTCGCTGTACACAACGTTAAATCGTTCCGGCAGCTGTACTAGTACTTGTTGAGAAAAAGAATTCCCGAAAATCCTTCGTTGTCAGTATCTGTTAGACCTTATCCACCTGTCAAAAAGAGTACGACCTGCAAGCAGAATCTGTAAGGTTGTAGTTTTGTACTTACGTTTTGATTGAATAAAAATCACCTTCGGGTACTTTCTGGAGGCTCTGTAGTTTGAAATACAATGCGTCTGACAATTTGTTGGTCATGGAAGTAGAGAAGCAAAAACTATACTACTGTCCACCGAAGATGACGTAGGCACAATTCTACTTCGAGTTGCTTCACAATATTGAAAAGAACCGAGTATCTGTTCTATTGTCTTTTTACAACCAAAGGTACGACTTACTTTCCTACTTTGCATTCGATCACTTCGATGCACTGATTCATCACGTCGTGGTCGCAGGAGGTATTGAATTTTATTTTGAAGATCCTTTTACCGTTTCATAATATCACTCACGGACGGGTGTTGTGAGAAATGATCAATTTCTGTTCATCCCTCGGCATGATCTACTCCTAGAATCATGGAGCCGCGCAGCATTTATTTACGGTACTGCAAGACGTTGACCTATATTTTTCTTCTTTGTTCTTTTGCGCCACAGAACTTCTAGTTGTGGTGTAGACCGACATAACCGAAACCGTGAATAAGAAACACAGGCAATAAACTTCATTTTCACAAGCACAGACCCAGAGCCTCTCCGCAACAAGGGCGCAGCTGTAGGACTAGCTGGTGTGATAATAAATTATGTGGACAAGAACGAAAACGCAGTCCACTTCCTGGTGGCCACGTTTTGGTTTTTGATAGTAATTTTGTTTTTTGTCATCTTGGTCTTGCCAGAACTTACTATCTGTTGATTGCGTAGTTTGGTTTTGTGTCCTGCCAGAACTAGTACTATGGTCGTGACGTTTTCTTGTTTTAGTTTTTCGCACTGTTGTAGTTCTGGGGATGTTTTAGAAGGACACAACCAGGAAATAAAATCGTTGGTACTTCTATATCAGGTTAAGTAGTACCGGCTCGCAGGAGCCCAAGCCTCCATAGAAGTACGGGCTTCTTTAGTACTTACTATAAAAATGCTCCATCAAGTGTTTTTAAGGCAATCCGCGGGCCAACAAAAAAAGCGACCGCTGGGCGCGTCGTGTCGTGGTACCTTGTGGTACTCTGCACTTCGAGCAGTCCGCGGGCCAACAAAAAAAGCGACCGCTGGGCGCGTCGTGTCGTGGTACCTTGTGGTACTCTGCACTTTTTGTCGGAGTTTTGCGATGATGTCCACAACTAAATCGCATGAAAATTATATCGGGACGTCGCAAGAAAAAGCCTGCTGTGAAGATTATGTGATTGCTCTTTCGAAAAACAAGCTCAAAATGTCCCCTGATCCACGGCAAAAGACGCCGTGTTCAAAATGTTAGTTGAGGATCACGTCGATGGTGCTGGTCCTTTAAAAATAAAACCTCCTCGGGATAGAATCAATACAGTTCCTCTGCAAATTCTAACTTAGTCTTAGTCTTAGAGAAGAAAAGTGAACTTGACATCAACATCGAGTTCAACTTGCTAAACCGCTTGAGTTTGACTGCGATCGCTCGATGAAGTACTATAAAGATCATCACGACGTCGAGCAGCCACGGAAGTTGAGTACTAGATTTTCACTTTCTCATCTGTTCTAGTAGCACCTAGTGTGGTCTGCTTTTCGATGCATCATGATGTCCTCGTGTTCACCGTAGTAAGTAACCTCTCCAGGCTCAGCCCGAGAAGGTCGTGGTCAACGCTACATGTGGGCGGGTATGCGTACGAACAACACTTGTTACAAATGCGACTACCACGTTATAGGTGTGTCAATAGATGGATAAAATCAGAACGAGAAGACTCCAACAAAAGTCTCGCAAATAAACGTCGTGCACCCTGGATTTTTGATATGCTAAAAAATTGCTCACAGACCATGCCAAAAAAGAAAAACAGTCGCCGATCTTGTAGTGAGCTAGCTGCTTGCTAGTACTTACAACACCATAGAAAAGCTGATCGGCAAAGGACGACATGATTGTGGAACATCAAAACGTCGAATAGACTATACAACTGTGTAAAAACCAGCTACGTCGAGTTGCACCAGCACAATACAGCCTTCTAGAGCTCTCATCAATAAAACAAAAAATTATCTTCTCCCAGCTGCAACTGCAACTGCTCTCGCGATGTATTCGGAAGCAACATGCATCTTGTAGAAGAATGTTCACCGCCACTCCCGTTACTTGTCCCGCGTCAAATGCTTTGCATCGCTAGCACGTTCGAAAAAAGCGGCAAAGGTTGGCGAGGGTGTCGACGCCACGGTATCGCCCGCGCCGGGGAAATACATTGCGTCCCTAGCACTAAAAGCGGCAAAAGTCGGCGTTGATGTCGACGCCGCGGTTGTACTTGGGTCGGAGGAGGACCCCGTGGTCCCGGAGCGCTGGTCCGGCGGCGTGCTCCCGGAGCTCATCTGCGGTGACATTCCGTAACTATTCGCGGGCGGCTCGGGCATCATTTGCGTACCACTGCAGGACGACACCCCAGGGGGTGGAGAATTGTTCAGATCGCTGGCATTTTCAAAATTGCCCTGCGATTGTTGGAAAGGTGAACTAGGACCGGCTGCAGGCAAGAGCCCGTTTGTCCACGCCTGCTCCTCAGTTACTAGACCGATCACAGGACATGCCACCCACTGCACTGTATAAAGTTGGCCTTGCTGGTGCCCCGGGGAAGGAGGCCCCGGGGAAGGAGGCGCTGGGGAAGCAGGAAGATCCTGCTGTTCTTGCCACGTGTTAGTATCAAAACTCGAGGTGGAACCGTGAGAGGGCCTTCTGCAGCTCGGTGCCGCTCCTGCTGCAAAATTGGTCGTAGGAGAGGACCACGAGCCTGGAGGAAATTGTGGCTGACCGGTGACAGTTGGTGCGCAGCTCGGGGCAGCTGCAGCTGCCCGCCACTGCCTGCTAGAAGGAGCAGCAGCTGGTGCGCTACTCCCGCTCCGGAGCAGCCTCTGTTGACCGTCGTCGTGGCGGGCCGCAGGGTGAGGAGGAGGTGGTGGCGGGCAGCTATTGCCGGTCGTTTCGTTCGTACGACCACGCCTAGTACCCAGCCTATTTCGACGACGTTCCGCTTCAGCCTCTCTCGTCCACGTACACACGTGGCAGCGATCACACTCGACCCCGTCTTTGCAGCCCCTTCCTCTCCGAGCGAACTTGCATGGGTCGTTGCATGACACAGGGTGGCTAACGCTACCCTTGGTGACCTCGACAAAGTTCGCGGGCAGTGGATGATCGACACGACGCGGCGGCCCGGGAGGTTTACTACGTCGGCGCTCTCCTGCGGCAGCAAGTTTCACCGCGGACGCGGCTTGAAGTAGTAGGGATCCTGTGGACGACGAAGACGATCCTCCTCCGCATAATGACAAGTAGAGCAAGTGCGACACGACCAAGAGAGGCAAGCTTTTCACCCGGGGCCCGAAGACGGCGGCGGGGCAGGATGCTGAAGACCCGTTGGAACTACGCAACATGTTGGTCGTGCTTTCTTCCCTCCTTTATACTACGCCTCTTGACCTTGTTGCCGTAGACGGTTCGTGGTGTGCTCGTTGTTGCACTACGGTTAATCAATACTTACTATACCCTTCTTCTTCAGGGCTGCTGCTGCAATGTAGATGAAATTGTCGAAAAATAAACTTGATGCGTTCGAGTTACAGTCGGTATGCTTTTCTTCCTTTACTTTCGCGGAAGTTTTAGTTCTGCTCAAGAAGTGAATTATCCCGAAGTACTGCTTGTGCTTTGTAAATGTAAATCGTCCAAAATTTGTAGCAAGCCAAACGGCGACCTGCGATTTCTATACTGTTGTTTGACTGGAAAAAATATCGGAAAATAAATGAATCTGTCGCGACAAATTGATATTTAACAATCGGCCGAATTCTTAAAACTTGTTGAGGCTTTTGGTTTTTTTGGCTATGATGTTGTCGCTACTTGATGTTGTGTCAAGAACTTTTATGCTCTGAATTAAACTTCAGCGCAAGTAGGGACTAGGACTATGCTTTTTTCAGGGAACTGGCAGTTGTGGATGTAGGAAGAGGAAAAGCAGGGTTTGTGAAAAATTTAGTCGTGCATAGAGACTACACACGACAGCTGCAGAAGGCTGAGCTGCAACCATGTAGTTCCATCTCAGACTATAATCACTTTTTTTTTTCGAAAAACCACATAGTAACCGACGTTTATAAATATATTTCGATTGATGATCAAGGATCAAGTGCAAATACTGCAGAGAAGATCAAGAGTCAAAATAGAGCACGGATTTTCCTAAGTCAAGTAGTGTTCCTGATCATTCACAATTTTTGCGGATCTTCCACATGATCGAGGGGTTTCTTAGTTCACACACTTTACCACGATCACAATTCAACCTGCACCGAAATAACAATGATCTTCTTCGTTATCGTTCCTTCTTCTCCCTACGCATGCGCATGCCTGATCCTGCGCATGAAGATTTCATTTCTACTCTGGGCACAAGTTTTTCGATCACGACCGACACTTCGTTTTACCTTGTTCACAACGGACCTCTATACGATTTCCAGTCAGTTGTTATTGTCCACGCCATGCCGCTCATCGAGCACAAAACAGGAACTCCTTGGCTTCAGAAGCTGTCAGCTGTAGTTGTAACAATGCTCAACATCGACGATGATGTTGCATCCACTACAATTTCTAGACTGCAGTTGTTTTGTAGTTGACGTAATATTTCTAGCCTTTTATGTTTTCTCATCTTCTACTTGCCGGTAGCCAACATGTTGACGGGTTGTAACGGGTTCCTGTCTAGATCATTTTTTAGATGTAGTGCGTGTGCCATTTTTGCTTCCGAATAATTCTTCAAAGTGCAGAAATTTCATGCTCTTGTTGTGAAGGTACTTTTGATTTTCAAGCAAGAAGTCTAGTTCTATGTAATCAATGGCCTCACAGCAGTAAAATACGAACCAAGTTAGTAGGCGGCGCGCGCGCTGAAATTATTATCGTTCGGTCCTATGCATCATGAAGCACTGGTGCTCGGCACAAAACGTCGTGTATTCAAAGAATGAATACGAATCAAAACGTCAATGGACAGTAGTAAAGCATGGTTATGTTGGCAAGAGCGACAGTACAACAACTTCAATGAAAAAATCCCAGGTGGAAGAACTAACGCTATACTTTGTTTGTTGTGAGGCTCAGTCACGTGGAACCTCCTGAAAGTTATTCTTTCCCCTCACGTCGTGGCTCGCGTTACTGCCTTCACTAAAAACACGACGAGCTGGCTAAGCAACTTCTGGCTATAGACCTACATATTGAAAACTAAAATCCCAAAGGGAGCGTTATGTTTGTTGAAAACTGAGAACGACGAGCTTCTTCTGCTTCTGCTGCACGAGCAAAAACCTAGTGCTGTTGAAGAACAAGTAGAGTGCTGTTGTGAATCAATAGTAAAGCGTTTGAATGTCTGAAAAACAAGCTGTCTCTTACTACAAAGGTTTGCGAAAGTGCTGGTGCTCTTGACCTGATTTTAACTTTGAGCCTTTTTGAAGGGTGTGTTTGTAGTTCTAGTTGTTCATCGTAAAGCGGAAAAAATAAAGCTAAACTCACTTTTCCACTACATAAAAAAGTATGATGTTCTTGGACCAAATTAACGATAGCGATACCGAGGCAGAAGTAGAACATTAAACACGATTCGATCTGGGTCTTCCAAGTGCAAGTGGCTCGAAAGAAAATCACTGCTGCGCACACGAAGGCTCTTCAAGACCCTTGTCACTTTCTTTTTGATCCTCCTCGTCCTGCTGAAGCAGAAGAACTGCATCTTCATGCTGCGTTGTTGTTCGCAAATTCATATCGCCAGCCCGCTGCTCGCTGGCAGCAGCAGAGGCAGCAGCAGCGCAGTTCTTTCTCCGCGGTACTACTACACCAGCACGAGCCTGTGTTGGTATCGACAGCGCCGCAATTGTTGCGAAAGACCCGCCCAGGTCTCCTTCTTCTGGGACGGGAGCTAAGGGAGCTGCGTTATTTTTCCAGCGGTATCTAGAAGTTGTATCACTTTGATGCTCGACACCTGCTCCTGCGCGTGTTTCTTCAAGGTGTTGTTGAATCTCGGACCATTCTTCCTTCAGCTGCCCTTGTGCCTCTTCCCGCAGTGCCCGGCGTAGTTGTTTTTTGCTCGGCGGCCTGCGGCCTTGTAGCTGACCTTGACTTTCCTGTCCCGTCATTGCAGCTCGACGAAGACCAAACACGCCGCATGCGTGACAAAACCTGCACTTCTCTCCGTCCGGGCACCCCGCCGTCGTCCAAAAACGCGTACAAGCCGCCTGGCAGGTGTGCGGATGGCCGATGGTCCCTTCGGACAGGGGTTTGTAAAAGCCGGGGGCGTCTTCAAAGTCGTTCGGCGTCGGGGGGCAAGGTTTCACTTCAAGTTCTGCTGGCGGCGGGGCGGTGTTCGTGCTGTGGCGCATCCCCGCCGGCTCCTGCGGGGCCGCGGGTGCAAAAAATACACCTGGGGGACGCGATAAAGGCACCGTGCTGGGCCCCCGAGCCGGAGGTTGTGTCTCCTGCTGCATCCTCGCCTGATGTTCTTGCGGCTGCTGTAGCCCTCCTCCCGCAAAGAAGTTTTTCCGTCTGACCGCCTCTGCCGTGCCCCCCTTGACGTTTTTATGCGGACAGGAGTGGCAAAAGTCACAGTTCGTACCCTCCTTGCACCCCCTGTTTTTCCAAAAAAATTTGCAGGGGGCCTGGCAGGTCGCCGGGTGTCCAAGCGAGCCAAGCGACAACGAAGGCGGTAGTTCGGGCGACACCGATCGCACCCTTTCTGGCTGCGTGTTCGAAGGTCCAGCAGCGCCGGTCGTGGTTCTACTTTCTTCACGCGGGTTTTGCCCTGTTTCAAAGCGATCCGGGGTCGGAGGGAAAAAAAGGTTCGCCGTTGTCCTGCTACTTGCAGCCGACGACGCTCTGGAGCAGGCGCTGCTGGGATGAAATCTTCCCTGTCCACTTCTCCCACGACCTCCTACCGGTGTGCTCATCACACTCGTGCTGCCATTAAGAACTACGTCATTCATGGCTCCCGGAGGAGGTGCCTGTGGGTACCGAAAATAAGGCACAAATGGGATTGCAGATGAAGATGCGTCGTCGTCGTCTGAGTTTTGTTGATCACTTTCAGTGCCTTCTACTTCATCACCGTCGTGGTCTACTGCTGGTCGTTGCATCCGTGATTCATCAGCCTGCTCCCCAAACCACATCCCCGCCGGTTGTATTAAAAGACCTTCTTGCTGCGCACGGGACCTCGAAGACCTCCAGGCTCCCGCGACACTCCCTGGCGATGGCGTGGGTGCGTAATAGACGGTGGTCGTTGGCTCAAGAACATCTTCATCCGCACTAGTAATTGTTGTACCTGGTGCAGCAGGAGCAGCCAACAAGCCGTGTGCAAGAGGAACTCCTAGTGCGGCCGCGGGTAACATTTCTTCCTGATGGTGTCCTGCAGAGGGCGTGGCCCTCGTCCACGAGGGAAGAAGGTGTACTTCGCCGTCGACACTGTCGGGCGTGGGAGCGTAGTACGTTACTTCCCGTTCATCTTCTCGTCGTGCATCCTCCTGCTGGTCCTGCACTACCGCGTTCAAAATTTCTTTTCTTTCCGCCCGCCACGCGGCTCGGTCGTTGCTGTATGGGCAACTGTGGCAAAACTCGCAGTCCGCTCCGGCGGCACACCCCCGCTCCCGCTTTCTCTGGCGCTTCAGAGCCTGGGGACTGCGGAAACCGGTCTGATACAACCGGGACTTCTGGTTCGTCGGAGGGCCGTTCTGCTCCTTTTTCGCGAGGTTGTGCGCTTTGCACGGGTTGCTGCAGTTGAAACAGGCGTTAGCTGGGCAGCTGCCTTTGGAGAGGAGCGGAGGGGGAACGTAACTAGTGGCTGGTGCACTGGAGGACGCCGGCACTGTGGCGGCGAAAGCGCCGTAGTACCAAGTTACTACACAGAACTGGAATAGGATCCAGTTATTTTTCACGTGGTTCTTTACAGCCATTTTGTGAGTTGATGGATCTAAGCCAAAGAGCAAACTGCAATAAAATGTTTTGTGAAGATCAGAACTATAGTACGTTGTTTTACAAATAACACGTGGAAAATACTCAAAAAAACCTGTGGCGACTCTATCGAGACCAGGCCGGCTGTGGATTATACACTGCGACAATAATACCCTTTTATACTTTCATGAAAATGCAAAATGAAGCTCCTTAATCTCGAAGTGAATAGACGGATGGAAATGATGGACGTAAAAGTAAAACGCAGAACCAAGAGTATTGTTGTATAATAGCCGAGTTAGGTGAAGTGATGTTCCTTAGACTTAACTGTACGTGGAAATGCAATCTGTCGTACTGCGTGGTGAGAAGTCAGATGCGTCCTCTGGAGGCACTGTCGGTATTTTTCTGGTGAGCCAGATTCTAGTCTTGTAGCGGAAAATAAATGGGTTGGAATTGAAACGGAAACACGACTCACATCTTTGTTTTTCATTTCAGTCTGACCTGACCGCAGTAGTTACTCATACATCTTCAACCAGATTTTCTAGGAACAGAGAACTGGATCGCCAAGACCATGCATTTTATTCTGCGTTACGGCCTATGATCGCGTTTTCAACATTTACATTTTGATCGGATTTTTCTTGTGGCAGTTGTGCAAGATCATAATGAGATCGCGGATTTTTTGTGCCGTTCCTGTGTATCCAGGAAATAAACTGGGAAGTATTTCTATGTGAAGTAGATCTTCTACAAGTAAGCGCGAACACGTGAAGATCTACAAGTTGTCAACAGGAGACCAGGTTCATCAGCCATTTCTCCTACACGAAGAGAGAGGGCACCGGGGACAGTTTATTTTTTTCACCAACATATCAGCATCATTGTTTTAATATTCAGGTACGAAATTGACGTGTGAGTTATTGTTCAAGGGAATGATCCAGCAGTTCAATACTTAGCAGGATTAAATGTCTAAGAGAGAGAAATCTCTACGATCTACTTTCACTCGGTAGTCAATTGACCCGAAGAAGATGTTGAGTAGAAGAGTTCACATTTGATGCCTTCCTTCTCCCGCCTGCAAGACCCTTGCAGCCCGGGCCGTAGGGCCGCGGTGGGACGGGTGAAGCAGGTTTTTTTCGATGTGACAATCGCTCTTCGCTCTGCACAAGTAGAACTACTTACGCAGAAAATGAAGACCACGCACTTCTAAATAAGCTTGACTTGTAGTAAAAGAGTTGAAATAAACAAGTGCGTGAAATTTAGTGTGACGCTGTTGGTGATTGTTGAAAATGAAATAAACTGTCGATATTGTCGTGTACAAAAAAGTCCTCCAGAGCGCTGTATTCAACAATTTTTCAAGTCGACTATCCATCGAGAGTTTTTACTCTCACTGAATCAATAAAGGCTTTCAGACATATTTACTAGGTAGACAGAGCACGAAAAAAGACGAAAATGGAATAAAAGGTCGCCGGTTAGATTCTCTTTAGTATATGAGATAATTTTTTGGAACGATAGCTGCTTCTGACTACTTCCTAGGACATGATCATCAGAGAGTGCATTATTATACGAAGAATTGCATAAAGTAGTTAATGAAAAAATACTGAAGAATCGCGACAGCAAGGAAGAATCCGCGAAGGCTTTTGATTCCGAAACCTTCAATGGCTTTACTGCGACCCGCAGCAACTAGACATTTTTAAATATAGCCCTTTACCTTCTGGAACTAGGAGTCCCGTTGATTCTTGCTCGAATGTGAGGGGGCAGGACGGCTTTTATCATTTGTAAAAACGTCCCCACCCCAGAGCTGTAGTTCAAATCTGCATGCTGAAAATGTTTCTCAAGCGGAGAAGCATGAGAAGCAGTTTCTAGTACTCGTGTTTTGCGATTTGTCATGCTCACATCCGCATGCTATGCTAGACCTGCGACGCTGCTTCACTAGCTAAACATGACCACACTGCGAGCCCAAATTTGTCATGCGCAACAGCCAAAACTGGTTGATTTGTGTAGCGGATTTGCCATCTTGACTCTGGGGTGGGGACGTTTTTGCTCACCATAGCTTTTATATTCCCGTTCCGCCGTTCGTCGGTCAGACTTGCGAGCAATGCAGGACTCGGGTTGGTTTTGGCGGCTTATGCATTGCAAATATATCTGGGTCTGGAAGATTCCGACACCTGTCCTGCACGTTTTGCATGAGCCATGATGTCTGTGATGCATGCCCTAGCATCACAGATTTTTTTCGGGCTTTTTAATGCCTATTCCGCATGACAAAAAATGCCCTCTCCGCGCGTAGCAAAAACTGCATTCCCTTTATCGCTGCTCACGCAGTACAGATTTTTTTGGAACTTACTATCCAAATGCAGCATCACAAGCTGCATTCTTGTTCCAGACCCAGATCGATATTTGCAGTTGATACGGCTTGCAACAAGGCAGCTACCTCGTTCATTTCAGAAACGAGAGACTGCCGCGCTGCTCCTTGCGTGCTACGGACCGCGGACAGCTGATTTCGCATATCAAAAGAAAAAATCCCCCCTCCCCATATCGAAGCGGAAATCTGTGATGCGGGATTTGCGTACACAAATCAGCTTTGTATTGCAGATGAGAGGCACTGCGACCAGATCCCGAGGCTAGGTAGGGGCGTATGGGTCTAGTTGTTCAGCATGGCAAACGGTCCCTCTGTAGGCTCAACAGCGTGGCAAATCGCTTCCATAATGGGGCGGAAGCCTCTGCCCTGGTCTTCTTGCAAGACAAATGTGATTTGTGACCTCAAATCAGCAACACAAATTTTCGGAGAAATACGCTTTCAATATGGGGAGGGGGGATTCTTCCTTACGATATCGCAGTTCCCGGCACCTGTCCTCCGCGCGTGGATTTTATCAACTGCAAATATGTCTGGATCTGGGAGAATACCAGACTTGTCATGCAGGTTTTCCATGAACCATGAGGTCTGGTATGTAGGACATAGCATGACAAATTTTTTGAGATTTCTATCATGCCTATCCTGCATGAGAAACTGCCTCGCGATTAGCTCAAAAGTGGACAGCTTTTGGTAAGTAATCATGCAACACAGATTTTCATTATCATTTTTACATGATTCAGATTTAGCATGACAAGTTGGTTCGTTCCAGACGCAGACATGTTTGCATTCGATAGATTTCTCTTCCGGCTTTCATATTTCAAACGAGAGACTGCCGCGCTGCTCCTTGCGTGCTACGGACCGCGGACAGCTGAGTTTCCAGTTCCCGGCATTTTTCCGCGCGTGGATTTCTGTTGCGGCTTTCGAACTCTAGCTCCCGGCAAATCGCAGCCTGCTGCTCCTCTTCTTCGTAGAAATTGGGGTAATACTTCTTGTATCAACTGCAAAAACGTCTTGGTCTGGAAAAGTGGAACTGGTAATGCTGTCTGCGGATGATAAAAATATCTGTGTTCTTGCATGAGCAGCAAGAGGAGTCAGTTCTTGGCACGCGGAGAGGGCATTTGTCATGCGTAATTAGCATCAAAAAGCTCTTAAAAAATCTGTGATGCTAGCAACAGCATCACAGACCTGACGGGTCATGCAAAATGTGCATGACAAGCCCCGACTCTTCCAGACCCAGACATATTTGCAATTGATACCTTGTTGCCATGCGCCCGACTCTCCGCATGCGCCCGACTCCCGACTGTCCGCTTCCGCCGCGGCTCCCGGCGCTCCTTAGAAAGGTTCGTGTTCGTAGCGTCGTGCGCAGAAGAGTCCGGAACAAGTTCTTATCAAATGTAAAAATGTCTGGGTCTGGAAGATTCTGACACTTGTCATGCACGTTTTGCATGAGCCCTGATGTCTGTGATGCATGCTCTAGCATCACAGATTTTTTGAGAGCTTATTGATGCCCATTCCGCATGACAGATGCCGTCTCCGCGTAGCAAAAATTACATTCCTTTTGGTACTCATGCAATACAGATTTTTCTGGAATCCAAATGCAGCGTCACAAGTTGCAATCTTCCAGACCCAGACATTTTTACATTTGATAGTTCTTGAGAAGGTTGAACAGCTTGCTTTCCTTGCTCATGTCATATCCTGTGCAAACGCATCGCACCTCGTCCAGAAGGAATTATGCAAGAACCATTTACACTACAAAAGCAACAACATATACAAATTCGATATATTCCCTTGGAGAATAAAACCTGCAAAAATCCAATTTCATCCACACCGTATGCGATACTTTTGCAATGCGTATGATCATGCGCCCCGTCAACTACAACAGGAGCATTGCCTGGTACTTCCTGCTGCAAGTTTAGCACGACAGGTAGTTCTATCAAATGTAAAAATGTCTGGGTCTGGAAGATTGCCAGGTTTGTCATGCACATTTTGCATGACTCGTGATGTCTGTGATGCATGCCCTAGCATCACAGATTTTGCGAGGGCATCCTGATGCCTACACCGCATGACAAATGCTCTTTCCGTGTAGCAAAACTTGGACTCTCTTTGCTGCTCATGCAATACAGATTTTTTTAGGATCCAAAATCAGCATGACAAGTTGCATTCTTCCAGACCCAGACATTTTTACATTTGATATGTTCTCGTCGCGGTTTCGCTTGCCTGCGCTGTATTGAGAGGAAAAATCATCCCTCCCCATACTCAAAGGGAGATTTGTGTAGCATGATTTGTAATCACGTATCACGTTGTCATGCTAGAAGGGAAGAGATGCGGATTGTGGTGCTGGCTGGCGTGGGAAAGCCTTGCGTCTTCAGCATGGCAGGAAGCAACTGGAAACGGGAAACGGCATGACAAATTGCCTGCAAACAAGAAGAGAGCAGCTGCGTCTCTTGGCCTTCTAGCAATACAAGTCGATTTGTGGTCACAAATCAGCATCACAAATATTCGTTTCGATATGGGGAGGAGGGATTTTTCCCCACGATACGCTGCCCCGCGAGCCACGCACTATCCACACGAGACGGGTTATCCCAATCGTAGGGGGATTCGCAGCCGGAAAGGTCCGTGGCACCAGCGTCGCTGAGTTCATGATCGCTGTCGGAAGAATCAACATCTGCCTCCACATCAGTACCATAACAGCACGCGGTCGTGGTACCGCAACTGCCGCAGTCCTCGGTCGTAAAACAAGTACCGGTCGTCTCTTCCGTGCCAGAGCTACAACAACTGCTAGCGTCGAGAGGAACCGAATTATCCTGCTGTCGTCGTACTGCAGAAGCTTGTTCGTGGTCTCTGCAGGCTGCTGGACTTTCTGTTTCTAGTTCCTCGTAGTCGAAGAAGAAGCCGGAGCTCCGGTTCCTACCTGAAGAAGAAGAAGCCCCCCCGCTCCCGCAGCTGCTGCGACCGGGAGTCGAAGCAGAGGAAGCACTAGCTTCCCCTCCTGACACACTTCTAGACCACTTGGACCGCTGCCGCCGCATCCGCCTGTCTATCGTCCTGTTCTTTTGCTGGTACAGCTTTTTCTGCTCCTTTCGAATCTCCTTCTGGACGAGCGGCGACCGCTCCGAAGATGATGGCGAACTGGCAGAGGAAGATATCTTTTGCTCCACCTCGTCCGCCGTTGGTGCAGCAGGACGATTATTATCGTCAGCAGTCGCAGAAGAAGAAGAAGAACTTGTCTGCATCTCCTCGGACAAAGCCGCGGCTTTGACTTGCCTGCACCACAGCGCGGGATCGTAGATGCCCATTTCAGCCCGCGCCATCTCCTCCTCTATGCGGCCAAAAAAGTGCATAGTACAGTGACAACATTCTTAGTGAATTCAGCATCACAGTCGTGCCTTGCATGACAGAGAAATAGAAAACTTACAAGAATGCAGAGATCAGACATACTTAACGCAAAACACAGCACACGAAACCGAGGCTCGCAAGCATTTTGCGCACGTTCTTGGCAGAGGTTGTTTCTCCTGCGAGTTGATTTTGATGTGCAAGACTCAATGTGCACACAACCGTAAACACTTTTTTCTCTCCATATCCTCCTCGGAGTCATTACAACACATGTCGCTCCATCGAGGCTTTGCTGGACTAGAAGTTGAATTGCTCTGAGCGTCGGAAGCAGGCGACGACGCGGTACCGGCCGGGCAGGTTTGGCACGAAGGGGATGGAACAGGACCAGGAACAGCACCAACAGGCTGCTCTTTGCAAGGCATTTTCGTGGTGCAAGAATCCGACGCCGAATCCGGACTTGTCCCGCGAAGGAAAGACGACGGGCTGCACTCGCGGCACTTAGGATCATTATTTTCTACTTTATTACACACAGGGGCTGCAGGAACAACGTCCTCCAGGTCCTCGGCAAAACGCACCCGGTAGGGATTCTTCTTGTTTCGCGGCCGGTCGAGGTGCAGAGAGTCAATTGTAGCGGAGTAGGCGGCACTGCGAAGACCCTCTGGCGAGGATGTTGGTGTGCTCGCCGCTTGCAACCATGCGTCGTGCACACATGGCGCACGGGGTACTAGTAGAAATCGCATGACAAATTTGCTCAGCATCAGAAATGGAATTTGTAATGCGGATTTGCCCTTAGTGAAAAGATTTGTGATGCATGAATGCGATTAGTACGATTGCGATACTTTTGCACAGGATATTCCAGGGCCGGCCGGCTTTTCGGCGGGCAGAGGTGGCAACGGGCACAGTTTTTACCGTCTTTGCAACCCTGCTTCCGCGTATTGTACGCGAAAAAGCAAGGCTTCGCGCAATCCACCGGGTGGTCGGCAGAACCCCGGGAGATCACCCAGTTTGGTGGTTTCGGTAGCTGGCAATCACACTTCTGGACGGTCCGCTTGCCGCGGCGGATCTGGGAAAACGTAGGCTGCGGGACGTCGGCAGGAAGTTCTTGTGGGGTGGTGTTTGCTGGAGAATTATGTTGCCCGCTTGTTCCTGAAGCAAGAGAAACGGCTGTCGCAAGAAAGGGACACACAACCAAGTGCGCGGAGACAACCAGGGTCGTGAGCCGCAACATGATGATAGATTATTCTCGAGACTTTACGTAAATTCAAATGCTGTGCAGAACGAAATTCTTTGAAGGCTAGGAACCAGAAGTAGGATCAGCAGGTGATAAGTATCAAAGCTGCAGTTCTCACGATGGTGGTACTATGCCCTGACTTAGGATATAATTACCGAAGCTGAATTTTTACAGATAGAAGGTGGATGTGGATTTCTGATAGTGCCGTTTGTCTCCCTAATTCGACGTACAACTGTGAAGAATGAATGAGTCCTAGTAAAGTACAACTGCAAGTACCAGCAACACAAATATATTATTCCAGTACTTTATACTGATCGAAGACTTCTATTTTAGCAATTATCAGTTGTGCTCAATTTCAATACTGTATCAGACCAGAAAGCTGTTTGACTTTGACGTACTTCTCGAATAACTAAAGCTATGATAGTGTTCTTTCGTAGCTGTATACAACGACTTCAGAGGAGGTTGTTTATGGTGCTTCTTCGGAAAAGCAAAGGCGGTTAGGGGTGGATTTCTGTTCGTGTGCGTGAAAGATACAACAAATCGCCGATGTCGTTTGCGGATCATGCAAAAGTGCCACTCGTTTGCGGATCAGTGCAAACACTCTTATACTTTTTTTTTGCACCTGTCGCCGATTTGTCGACGTGCACTTGTTCCGAGGGAAGATAGCTGTAAGTTCCGACCGATTTTTTTTCACTGAAAGTCAGCTACCTGCTGCAGGTACCGAGTTCATCTTGTTGCTTCTCCTGAACGGACCACGTGTCTTCCACTTCATCCGGTTTAGAACTACGTTTATATAATCATACACCGATTTTTACTCAATTCCTTTTGCTTTGTAAGCAAGCGTGCTTTTGATATTCCTATACAAAGAAGATCGCAGTATAGCTCCTCCTCTGATATTCTTCAAAAGCATATAAGATACCTAACACGATCATGTTATTTATAGCTGACAATTGCAGCTGCACAAAATAAGGTGCGGCATTTTTTTTTGGACGATCTGTGTATGAACAGGACCCTTTTACCCCCTGTTGATGCCGCCACACCTACGACAACTCGGCCTCTGATCTAGCGGGAGCAGAAGGACCTAGAAGACGAGCACCTTTTGCGATTGATAAATCCAGAACATTGGTGCGTTTGCGATCATATCCAGAACACTCTTGGTGGCGCCGGGCGCCACTGACGCCGCCGGCGGGCTGAGAACTACCCTGTGATCGATGTAGTTCCCCGCCGTGTCGTATCTACCTCTTTTACAGGGTCGTGGAGAACATGATCAGACAGATGTTTTCGTTTATTCAAATTCAACAACTGCGCATTTTTGTTTTCGGAAAAAAAAGAGGAAACCGGTTCTTGTTGAGATATTTTGTTCAGGGTCGCTTGTAAACCACATGATGCATCTTGCAGGTGAAACCGTGGAAAAGTAAACAGCAGCAGACGAGATGCGTGTCGTGATAGAGGTGCGAAGCGTCGCCGATCACGACGGTGGCTTAAACGAGGTTCAGTTTCTTGCCGTGCTTGTGGATCTTTACATAGACCTTGTATGCGGCGTCAATGACGTCGGCCCAGCTCCACTGGTCGTTTTCCCCCATCTTCGCCCGCTCCTGCAGCGATTTTTCATCGTCGGTGGTTGGGTCCCTCCGGAGCAGTAATTCAAAGTAGTCCTTTACACGCTCATGATTGGGAGCCGGATCTAGCGGCGGGTTCGCCTTCCTCGTCTTCGCCCAGCTGCGGTAGGCGGGTGCGAGATCCTATCAAAAGGAGGAGTGCACCTACTTAACCAAGAACCTGAGAGCGTCTGCAAAGCAAAAGTTGCCAGTGGAAACACTTGCCAACTTGCAGCACCACAGACTTTCGCACCAGAACATTTGCGAACATCTGCGCTGTTTTCTTGCTATCGCAGCTGAGACGATTTTTTTCATGACAGCCCTGCACAAGAACTCTCGCTCTTCTAGATCCTGAAGCACAAGTGCACTGCTGCACTCCCTTTATGCAAGAGAAAAACTTTCCGTGCGAGAACTCACAACTCGCAAGACAAATACGATGCATTTCTGAATGAGGGACACTTTTCACCTTGATAGATCCAACAGGAGGAGGAATTTCTGCAACTGGTTTTCCCAATGATCCAATTCTTCTTCGTGTTTGTCTTTGTTCTTGATTTGTTGTAGCATTATGCATTGCAACGTCGACCGATGTGAATCTAGAAGTTTCAGTAGAATGCAATAAATCTGTGTGAAAGAGTTCCAATGAGTATCAGACCAGCATCTATGATGCATGAAGCGGATCGGCGCTGCTTAGTCCACCATGCAAAAAAACGATTTCTTCTGCTCGTTGTGCAGCAACATCTTGTATCCTTGCAATTTTTTCATGCCTGGCTGGGGTGCTCAAGTAGTCCTTTTCTCATGCAGACGAGACGAGCATTGCAACTTCCGTCACCCAGATCGATGTTTACACTTGATACCGACATTCGGGTAACCGGCCAAGTACGCTTTGACGTCCGACGCAGGGAAGGCCGTCTTCCTGTAAAAATCGGCGGCCGTGAGGAGGTAGTTCACGAACGGCGCCACGTTTTCCTCCGCTTCTTTGGCAAAGTTGGCGTGGTTTTCTATCACTCGCTGCAGGACGGCTTTACCTTGGCCCGGATTGGAAGTGTGTGGCTTCACGGCGTGATGTTTCGGCGTCGGTGTCGGCGACGGCGTCGCTGCTGGCTTCTTCGCACTCGCCCTCGGCGAGTGCTGCTTCTTCTTCGCAGCTGCACGTGATGCGCCGAAAAAGTTCAAGTCTTTGAATGGTGATCGTCTTGTCCTATCAAATGCAAATAGGTCTGGGAGGTCTGGAAGGATGCAAAGATTTGTGATGCAGCTTTCGCATGACCCAGGAGGACTGGCATGCACGGCCTAGCATCAACACTGTGTCACAGGTCTTGAAAAGGACTCTTGATACGTAAGGCGCATCACAAAGCCATTCTTTCGTTGGCCAGGAATGGTTCGTGGTTTCCATGCATGGCAGATCTTTGTGTGCTGAGAAATACGGATCACAAGTTCGCTTTCTTCCTGACCCAGACATATGTGCATTCTATATGTCCGCTGGAGCTCCAAAGTCGAGGACCCAGCGGGCTGCAGCTCTTGTTCCTGTATTTTTTGAATTTTTTCAGCCTCTTCCGCAAGACAAAATGGAAAGTTTTCCAACAAAGGCTAGTGTTCCTGCATATTCCGCAAGACAAGTGGTCTTTTTTCGCTGTCAGTGTCAGTTTTCGTGTCTTCCTCTTCCGCATGCCAATCTGCATGACAAAAAACTTACGTATACCTGTTCTTCATTCGTGGGAACATTTGCTTCCAGCGTCGAACCGGGTTTCACGTCGTTTTCCCTTCCCCCCGCAACCGCGACGCTATGCAAGTGTCAGGTGGTGTGGAATCTTTGACAAAAGGGAAGTAAGGAGATTTCCCATGCACGAAAGAGCAGCTCCACAAGTGTTCAGAAAATCCACCTTCGCATCAGAAGTTACTGTTACTTACATCCCAGGCAATACAGACAGCTTGTGCGCAGCATTTCATGATGATCATGTGCATGACAACCCCTTCCGTTTTGTCGATTTCCCACCTACCGCTTGCTTCGTAACTGTTTTTTGCAACTCCTCCGGCGGTCATCTCCAGCGTCGAGGAGGGCCCGGCGTATACTGTGTGAAAGCGTCCCCACCGGACATTCGTCATGCAGATTTGCATCCAATATTTTCAACGGGGCATCTGTAATGCGCAACCCCAGGAGAGACATTTGGATTTGCAATCGTCTTTTAGCAGTGGCATCTGTAATGCTGCATGACGGGGTAAATGAGAGATGGCTCCGTGATGGATGCGGCTGTCCTTGTATGTTGCTGACTTTTTACACCAAGAAAACCAGAGAGATGAAACTTGTCATGCGTGATTCGCAAAACTTCTGGATTTCTGTTGCGGAGCTACTAGTTTGACTCTCGGGTGGGGACATTTTCACTCAGGATACTTCTTCTAGCGCGTTTGAGGCTCCAGCGGTCTCCAACGTCGAGGAGGACGCGGTGGGCTTCTTCGTGGCGTGCTCAAGCGTCTTATACGAGTGTCAGGTTTGAAATCAAGAACAAGAATTTTTTCGAAAATACTTGAGTAGGACATCAAAAGAAGTCGTCTTTGGTGCCCAGCAGCATTTTTACTTTAACAAACTAAGTACTTGACACAGGTTCTTTGCAGTTGAGTTCTCACCCGGGCGGCCGGGCGGACGAGAACTCAGCCACATCGCTGGCGAAATCCGGCCGGCCCGGTTTTCTTCCCCCCTCGTCAGCCGGTCGAGCTCACTCTTCTCCGCCCCCTGGCATCGATTTCATGCATCACAAACCATTTTCACTTTGTCGATTTCAAACCTGGCACTCCCGTAAATTTGCCGGTGATGGTACAGTTTCTTGACGGCGTAGAGCGCGTACGACCAGTCCATTACCCAGTCTTTACCAAACCTCTTCTTCAGCTGCAATTGCAGACTCCACTCATCTTCCTCCATGTTCGATTTCTTGCGGTCAAAAGTGTTAGTGACAAGATACATGAAGTACTGGCGCAGGGGCATGTCGTCCCGCCAGCTCTCGTCGAGACCCCGCTTTTTCTTCGTTTCTTCCTCCATCCCGCTCCACAGGGACGCGAGCTTTATGAGCATCAGCAGGTCCCCCTCCGGCGACCCCTTATTATCAAAATGAAAAAACCTTCCTCACCCCCATACTCAAGACGGAATTTGTAGGTGAATTTGTGTCCACAAATCTGCCATGCAGCGAGGAACTGCAATCAGGTTCCTGAGTAGGCGTAGGAGCGGCGTGTCGGCGTAGCTATCAATTTAGCAACGGCAGACGCCGTCCTCCGTAGGCCCCACAGCATACGAAATCGCCTGTACAACGCGGCACCGACCTCGCGAGATGCCTCCTTGCACGACAGAGCTGACTTGTGCACACAACTTACACAAGCTCAGACTTCGGTTGTGAATATGGCGAGGAGGGAGTGGGAGATGATCTTTCTTCACAATACTTATCCTTGCCGTGCTGTGACGGGTGCGTCTTCGGGACGATGTCGCTGTTGTGCAAATACATTTCGATGCCTTTTATGTTGATCAGATGTGAAGCCCACAATTCGATCCATATGAGGAAATTCTTATCGTCGCTCTCATCCATCTCGTCCGGACATAGGCAGGATCATCCCCCCAAGGATCACCCCCCTCAAGATGCAGGGGGGGGTGAGGGGGCCAGGGGGTGGGCCGGGGGCAGGAAGGTAGGGGGCAACGAGCGAGGCCGGGGCCAGGCAGCCGGGCTACGGGGGGCGGACAAGGGCAAGCGGGCCGGCGGCAGGCAGACCGCGGGCAGGGCGGGGCGGCGTTGGTATTTGCTGGAAGGCCCTCCAATAGGCTTCCTGGCTCAAGATGTGCTACAGGCGGGCAGCCAGCCTCGGGGGGCGCCCCGCCCGGCCCCCCGAGGCAACAAAGGCGGCACAGTGAGCGGGCAAACGAAGGCGCGGCCAACGGGGAAACTGGCGGGGCGGGACAAACACGGGGTTGGGGGCGAGGGCGTGGGGCGCGCGGTGCGTGCCTGCGGCCCGGAACAGGAAGGGTCAGAGGGGAATCGTCCGGGCCAACCGTTGCGCCGGCGCCGTCGCGACGGCTGGCCCAGACGACTCCGCCGAAACCCTAAACCCTAAGCCCTGAAACCTAAACCCTACGCCCTTGAGGGGGGTGATCTTGGAAACTTGAGGGGGGTGATCTTATCTTGAGGGGGATGATCCGGCCTACCTCCATCTCGTCCTCTTGCCGCGTCAGCCAAGTCTTGCCGTTCCTTGTCCCGTCTTCATTGGCGCTCGTCTCAGCGCTATGCACCAGACTCAGTAGCGCCTGTCGACCGGCCTCTACATTTTCCTTACTGTTTTCTCCACGCCGCACAGCTTCTGTATCCGCGGGAAAACAAAAAACTACAGCCATTATACCAGAGAAAAAATGAAATTTCGGTAGCTGTTTTGCTGTCGCAAAGCCGATTGGCTGTTCAGCATGTTGACACACTTCTTTTACTACCTCTTTAACCGTAACCCTATCCCTAGCCGCTGCAACGCATTACATTTACAACAAACTGCTCTACCCTGCATGACAGAAGATCGTCTCTCTTGGTCTTGTTGCGGTCTCCGCAATAGTTTATTGCCAGGTACACAAGAGATATTATTCTTGAAACGATGAATAAGGGATGGTATTATGTGTAACACGAATTATAAGGGAAGCAACTACACCAATTGTGATTTTCACCTCTGGTCCAACTATCCGTGTACTTTTTTGTAAGATAAGCTGGGTCCCTAGGGTTAATCAGGAAACCTGGGTTGTCATGCTGGTGGGCGCAGTATCAAAAAAGAAAATGCGAGTACCGGGAGAACCCTTGAGCGAAAAACTCTGTCTTGTGACGACACAGCAAAGTGACTTGGTGTTGGTTGCGATCAGATTAATGCTTCCATTGCCTGACTTCCGGGCTCTGGTACCGCATACCCCCGGCGGCAGGCGACCTTGACAGGCGACCTTGACAGGCGACCTTGCCAGGGGCCCTTGACAGGTGTCCTTGACAGGTGACCTTAACAGGTGACCTTGACAGGTGCCCCTGACCGGTGCCTTGTCGGATGACATCAAACCACCGGTGACCTCGACCGGTGACTACAGCACAATATAATAAAGACCCCACGCCTGCGTGGGGACCCTGTGCCCACGCGTGGGCTTTGTTCTCTATGCGCATCCAGGTAGCAATTGGACTTGTTGACGTATGCAAATAAACAGAGCACTGCAACTATTTTCTGTTTTCCGTTATAATTTCATGAGAACTTCTGCATGACAGAAAGGATCTTTTTCTATCATGAGGACCCCGGCCACCAGTCTATCCAATGTGATACGTGAAAAGTCCTGTAGACGACGAGTGAGTGTTCCCACGTCATGTGGCGATTTGTTACATGCACGGGAAATTCGGCGCTGATCTGCTGCTTCAGCAGTTTCTCACTGTCTGTCAGGGGCGGTTTAGGTTTCTTGGAGAAGAGGTGATCGTCGACGTACTTGGTCAAATCGTCGGTGTTGATCGCCGATTGTGTTTTTTCCCAGGTCTGTGTTGATCGCCTCTGCATGTTTTTTTTCGTTGTTAGCACCCGGCAGTGGACGCCCAAGTCCAGCAACAGTAGTAGTTGGCGAATTGGTGGGAGCCCCGTGGTCTCTATGCCAGCGTCAGGTCTCAGGTCTTGCTGCAAGAAACAACTGGAGCACACGCGGCAGAGCAACACTTACTTCCACCATCACAAAGAAAAATCCAATCACAAAGAACAGAATTGGGAACACTAGGTTCAGCCAGAAGCATGACAGGAGAAACCAGCGCGACGCCGGACGGCAGGGGAAAGCAGGTCGAGGGGGAACATGCCCATGTTGTTATAAGTACACATATACAGATCTGCTCCTCTGTTTTCTTGAAAACAACGTCCACCCTGAGATCTCCATATGATTCGCGTTCGGCGCGTGTGTGAGCTTGTGTGGCAGTACAGACACCTCGGCCTTGACATTGTCCTGGAGCAGGTTATCAAATTAGAAAAGTTAAAGTACACACCTCAATTTTTCCTCATACATAGGGCGGAAAAAAAAGCTGAGGGAACTTCTGTGTATGAAAAGCAGAGCCATTCTGGAGGATTTCATCCTGGAATCGCGGTAACGGATGGGCCTGGCCTGTTTGATGGTTTGAAACCGAGTCGCGTGTCAGTGGTCTACTGTGGCAACTGCAAAACGAAGCACGCTTTCTGGGCAAATGAGTACGCCTTTTGGGTAAATGAGTACGATAATGATTTAAATTCATGCGGAGAAGAAAAAATAAGCTGCTTTGTTTCACAAGAAAAGTTGCTTTTTTAATGAAAGTTTCCTTTTTTGGGCTCCTCCGCAGAGGCAAAAAGCGTGAATTTTTGAGGCTATGAGTACTTTTGCCAAACCCGACGGAGCTCCCTCAGGATTTTGGAAATACTCATGCCTTTATTTTGATGCTACAAATGCCTGATTCTAATACCAAGGCCAAAACAAGAAGCGCGTGCAACTTCCATAGCATCAGAGCGGAAGCTTTTCCAAAGTACTTCCACCATGGAATGTCGGCCCCAAGAGGCCTATCTTTCAGCTCCAGTTCGTTTTTTGTAGGCCGATCCTGCTTGGGTCAAATTGGGCAACCTTCAAAACCTCTGAGGTTTTGAAGGTTGCGCTTGAGGCTCAAGCGCCACTACTACACAGCACAACAGATGATGGCGCTGCTGTTTATCTTTTGACCTGATCCAGAAAACCGCCCCCAGTTTCTTTTTTATTCTTTTTCTCGCCCTATAATGAATGAAAATTCAGTTGAGTACTAATTTCTCATTTGATACAGGTACGCTCGCATCGAAGGCCCTCACGTGCAAAAACTGCTCCACCACATCAATGTCGAATAGTACAGCGAATCTTTGACGTACGACTTTGCAAGCGATACAGAAACATGACAAATGAGTGCGGTCGCCACCATAATCGCCAGTGGGCAACCAGCAGCTGCATCAGCATAAGCAAAAGTGAGGCACCTCATGCAACACAATTTGACTGCCACTCAAACTCCTGTGCCGGATGCGAGGATGTCGCAGTGGCATCAGGCACGGAACATGTCACGACAGTGAAAATTCGATATCCACGGTTTCGTGTAATTATCCGCTGGAGGTTGATGCCCGGAACTCTAATGAGAGTGTATTGTTGTTCTTCTTCTTCGCGAGTAACACTACAATATAAAACGTCATATATGCATCGCACTTTGGACTTATGATGGGAAGGCTTTTGCACGACGTAAACCGACCCAGTCCGCCTCCCCCCGCACTAAGGCGTGGGCAAGGATGAAGTTTGCGAAGTTTGTTTGATAGTTTCCGTGTACATGATCCGAATACAGCCACGACGCGATGGCTTCCTTGTTGTTGCTGTCCTCCGGTTTCCCCAGCAAAGTCTTCAGGTGTGAATGACCTTTCGCTACTAGGGCCGCTTCTTTGGGGGATGACTGTTGTGCCCTTCCTGACTTTCGTGAGTGAGCTCCACGTGATCGTCTTGTTTCCAAGGTCGAGGACCCAGTCCGCTTCACGTCGTTTCCCCCCGCAACAACATTGCTATGAAAGTGCCAGTGGCGGATTCCTCGACAAAAAAAATATATTGCAATGTAAAATCAAAATTCAATTTGAGCGGGGTAACAAATTAAAAGTGAAGGCTACCGGGTAACCTTTCATCCGGGTACTTAACCTTTCGTCCGGCCCCCGGCCAGATGAAAGGTTACCCGGTAGCCTTTACTTTTAATTTCATACCCCGCTCATGTTTAAGTAGGTCACTGTAGCCGGACCTCAGTTCTTGCATCCCGCGGTGGAATACAAACAATTACAGTTTCGGCGCAGCATATCATTTGCATGACAACCCTATCTGTCGAATTCCCACCTGACGCTTCCATAACTGCTGTCCGCCTCGGCATCTTCCGCGTCCGGAACCGAGTATGCGATTGCAAAATCCCCCCTCACCGTCACCCCGTCAAGTGTCAGGCCAATAAACCCATCTCTGCAACTGCCTCTCGAACTCGTACTCGACGGTGTTTTGCATTACAAGTTCTTGCAGCAGGAGCCCAAGAGACACAGTTAAAACATTTATCTACCCATGCAATTTCTTGTCATGCAAAAGTACCAGTTTTTCTTTTGCTGCTTGCCATAAGCTCCCTCAAACGACGGCAATGGGTAGGCTGCTCATGAGCACTTCCATACCGAGTCCGCATCTTCGACGTGCGGTTCCTGTTTTCATTTTGTTTTTAAGCTTGTTCCGCAAGACAAATCGGATGGAAGACACAAAAAATCATGCTAGTGTAGTAGTTCACCTTGCATGTTGATGTTGTTGCGCAAGACAAGTTCTCTTTTTTGCTATCATTGTTCTCGGTGCTCTTCTGCATTGTGATTTCTGCATGACAAAAAACCAGCAGTACCTGTTCTCTATCCCTTGTGAAGATTCCATCGTTTTGCTTCTCCACCAACTCCTGCTCCGCCTTGTCGTCGAACACTATCGGATGTAAAAAAAACGTCCCCACGACCCTAGCGTTGTCAAGAACAGAAGTTTATTGGGAGTCACGCATGACAAGCTGCTGTCTGTACGTGTAGTGCAGGTTAGCAAGGACATCAGACGTGGATAATCTTCACAAAGCCGTCTGCTCATCCTGTGTACGGCATTTTAACAAGTTTCAAAACACGACTAAAAATGCCTATACCTCTCATGGGGAGCGGGCGCATTACAAATACAAATGCGCCTGTTCTGTAGATCCACCAAATCTGCATGACAAGTCGGGGTACGAAGTAAGGACGTTTTTACAACAACTTCGGATAACTATCACTTCTTGTTCACCACCCGTTGTCGCTGTGCCCTGTCCGTCCTTGTTCGCACCGTAAAAATAATGGTGTGCTGCCCCGCCCACGTAGTTGCTGTATTCATTTTGCTATGAATTGCAAAAGCATCGTACTAGTAGTACTTGCAATATTAATTCGCTGATTTTCTTTGTCTTTGGAAACCAGATTTGTAATGCATGACTGCGATTACTACGAGTGCGATACTTTTGCACAGGATATTTGTTCCCAGCCCGCCGGCGGGACCAATGCTTGCACTGATAATATTCCACCTCGGTGTAGTTGCAGTAGGGGGGAAATTATCAAAGGCAAATATGTCTGGGTCTGGAACCCCGGAGGACTTTGTCATGCAATTTGTACATGACCCCCGATGCCTGTGATACATGCTCTAGCATCACAGCTTTCGCAAAGGTTTGCTCATGCCTATCCTGCATGAGAAATGCCCTCTTCGAGTGGCAACAATCTGAGGGCCGTTTGCCTTTCATGCAATACAGATTTTTGTGTGATCGAAAGCTAGCATCACAAGCCACATTCTTTCCCGACCCAGACACATTTGCAATGCATAGAAAGGAGGAAGAAAAACTGGAGCAGTACGACCTTGTTCTGGTTGAAAGTACTCCCCGTCCACCGCGGTTGAGCGCGCCGCGCAGGAACGTCTGCGTTGAACATCAGACACGACAGGAGCATGATCATGCGGCCGTGAACAAGAACAAAATGGGTTCTGCCACTACAGGAGTGGAGTACCGCAGCAGCATCATGTCGACGTGGTCTTCGTCGTCGTGGTGACAGGTGGTCAGTAAGGACAAGTACAAACTTACTATTCCGCACAAGAAACCACCGAAGGCACAGTGTAGTCGCCGGGGGTCGTGAGTTGTCCAACGCTGGCCACACGAGGACCGACCACGGAAACAACGAAAGAGGCAATAAAGTGCGCTCTCAAGGAGCTTGACGTTTTAATAAAGTCCGGTTCACATTTTAGAATTGACGGTAGCTCGTCTTCTCGCAAGAAGCTACTTCAGCGTATCAGAATACAATTCAGGTGTGCTCGGCTACTGGTCGCCGGCCGGCGTCATCTTCACGAAGACACAGTCGTCCTCGCTCCCTCTAGTCTGTGATGCACAAAAACCCTCTGTCGCTGTATAATGGAAAAAATTTAGAAGGAAGTATACTAAGTGCACGATCAAGAATTCGGAACTTTTTTTGCCATCCATTGTTAGAATCAATCACAATTTTATCTTCACTCGACGATAACCGTGTGGGAGAAGAAAAAGAGGAACAACATGGCTCAACATTGAAACCCGAGCTGCAGCTACAGGACCACTGCATTACATCACCCGGCAGTACAAAGATCTAGATGTGATGTAGAAGCAAGCAGAATTATACCGGTATCGTAGTGCAGCAACGGGCACAGAACCAGTTCTCATCAGAAATCGCACTCATGATCACCATACGAAAGCAAACCTCTCCGCCCGGGGAGAGTGCCGTGCGCACGCGCGCGCAAAAAAGATGATTTAAATGTTTCTGAAAGGCAGCTTGGAGTCAGGTTGTACTTCTTCTTGAAAACCCTTTCTTTCACGGGTCTCCTCGCTTCTCTTAGGAGAATACCGCTTCTATCTTGAAGTAGTTCTGCCGACTGCCAAGACAGTAGCAGGACAGCCTTTTCATTATATTTGTAGTAAATGAAATTCGTCGTTAGGTTTCTTTCACTCCTTTAAGCCACCTCAGACGCCCTTTATTTCGGGGGCATAAAAACAAGTACAGTCTATTTTTTGTAACAGGTACTACAGTTTTGGTCAGTTCCAGCAGCGCGCTGGTGATTATGTGACCTATACATAGCTTGTTTTCGATACTTACAGAAGTAAACAGCCAGCTTGCGTTCTTGATATCCATTGCAAGTAGGTCTTAGCCCGACAAAACGAGAGCTGCAAATCGCCCAACAACTCCAGATTGTTCGCATGACACTGAAATTGTACACGACGGGGGAACGAAAAATCGAATGCGAATGTATCAGGAGCTGAGGTGCTTCTGATGTTGTCCTGTACGGTGTCAATGTCCGGCTTTCTTGACCTTGATGAGCATTAAAAAAAAACATCAACCCAGCGTCGCTTCCCAGCGCTTTGGTTTATCAAGTTGGTCCTTGTTCTCCCCATGTTACCAATCGTGCTGGGGACAAAAATGTACTCATCAGAGACGCCTTCTTCGGTATGATCTATCCGCTTCCGCTTCCGCAATATCGTGGTATCAACAGTTGTTTCGAATAAATTTGATAATAAAAAATAACTACGATAAATTTCAAGATCGCCACGACGACTACAGAGACCACGCCAGCTCGGGGCAAGAAAACGTGCCCGCGGGACGGTTCACCTCCGCATCGAGGACCCAAGGTGGAGTGACGCCAGTGCTAGTGGCGAACCCGGTTGTAAAAGTCGCCGGAGCATCGTGTCGACGGGGTCCACTCTCGTGCGTTTGTCCAGGTTGAAGCTGTACATCGCCTGCACAATAGTACGACACTGGGCCCCCACCTCGGCCGCTGCAGACTGTCTGGAGTTCTTCTTGCGCCACCAGCTCACGACAACCAAATGCGCGAAAAACCTGTGGCTGCTTTTCGCCTTGAATCGACGTCGACCTCTTCGTCATCCTCAACACCCTTGCGGCCCTCTCCGCCTCCGCTCGTTCGGAGGTTTTCTCCATAATCTCACCTTCTGACTCGCCGAAGCCGCGTGTTGATAGTAGCCCGTCCTGGTTTACCTTCTCGACACAAGGGTCGACAGCCAGCCCGTCGTTTTCCGGGTTATGTATTGCAAATACGTCTGGGTCTGAAAACTTGTAATGCTGGGCTGTGAATAGTGAATGCTCTCCAATGCGCAGCCAAGCATGAGAAATATTTGCGCGGCTTAGTGTTGCGCTTACCGCATGAAAAACTGCTTTTTTGCAAGACAAGAAAAAGGGCCTCTTCTTGGACATGCATCACAAAGAACTCGTCAGTCATGCCACGCAAGCATGACAAACCTTGCATCCTTCCAGACCCAGACATATTTGCATTCCATACGGGTAGGAAGCCACAAATTTCGCGGGTAAATAACACAGTTGCTCGCCGTATATTCAGAGAAAAAATCCCCCCTCCCCATATTGAAAACGCATTCGTCTATAAAATTTGTGATGCAGATTTGAGGTCGCAAATCCTGTCTGTCTTGCAAGAAGGCAAAGCCAGAGAGCCCGCCGCATTATGCCGGCGGTTTGTGATGCTGTTGGGCTTACAGAGCCGACACCTGTCATGCTAGTCCCCTACGTCAAAACCAGGCTGGGCGTATGCCTGCAGTCCTCTCCAGCAAGACAGACCTGATTTGTGTACGCAAATCCAGCATCAGAAACTTCGTTACGATATGGGGCGGGGGGATTTTTCCCTTTGATACCGTTTCGGTAAAGTTCAGGAAACATCAAGTAGTGCTCCTGTAGTTGATCATGATCCTCTGGTTCTTGCACTACAGCTTGTTCTGCTCTTTGTTCATCACGTGCGGTTGATTCGCGATTGCTCCTTTTGGTGCCAACAACTTGATGTTCTGCTTCTTGCTCTTGTTCCAGCAGCATGTGATCATCCTCTGCCGCGTTGATCACAGCGCTCGCGCCGGAGCTCGCAGATAGTCCGCCTCGTGTCGTTGCCGAAGAGGCGGACGAGGAAACTACTTCATCATCGGAAGCAACAGAGGGCCCTGGTACACCAGCGCCCGAAGCTGCTCCTGCTTCTGCTGCACCTGTAGTTCCTCCTCGGACGCCTGAAGTTCTGCTGTTGGTTCCGCGCTGTAGTCGTTGTCCTCTTTCAACAATATCCCTAGTATAATTACTAGCCTCTTGGCGCGGGCGTCCAGGACGCCCGCTGGGCTAGTAGATTTAAAAGATAACTCTAAAGATGGGAATTTGTTCAGAAGGTCTGGCTTGGAGTCGAATAGAATGTGGCTAGAAGGTTGAAAAATATAACGCTGCCTGCCGCGAGGAAGATCGTTGCCGCGCCTGCGCCTGCCCTAGCGGCCTCGCAGCTTTAACGCCTCTTGCGGTCCGGCGTCCAGGACGCCGGCCCGCCGTCAGCCCTTTAGCCGCGTTGCCGCGCCTGCCTGCGCTTGCCCTAGCGGCCTCGCCGCTTTCACGCCTTTTGCGGTCCGGCGTCCAGGACGCCGGCCCGCCGTCAGCCCTCTAGCCGCGTTGCCGCGCCTGCGCTTGCCCTAGCGGCCTCGCCGCTTTAACGCCTTTTGCGGTCCGGCGTCCAGGACGCCGGCCCGCCGTCAGCCCTTTAGCCGCACGCGGCAAGCAAAGCGAGGGGGCCAGCTGCGAAGCTTATTCTGGGGCGGCTTCGGCGGCCGGCGTAAAGAAAACCCCCGCCCCTGGAAGGGGGTGAGACTCACGCTTCCGGGGGCTTTCTTGCGCGGTTTTGCCTCGCGCCCCCCCGCCCATGCCATGCACCAGAAGCCGAGAGGCAAAAGCGTGCGCGAGAAAAATGATTGAAGCCGGATAGGAAAAGCGTGCCCGGCCGGAACGAAAGAGGTGGCAAAAAGTGCCGGCCTGGAAGCTCTTGGCCATCACTCTTGCCCGGCTGCCCGACCGGAAAGTGATGGGCAAAAGTGATGGCCATGGAGCACTTGGCCAACACTTTTGCGCGACCCGAAAGTGGTGGCCGTGGAGCTCTTGGCCAGCACTTTTGCCCGCGCGGGAGGAAAATGACCGATGGCCGAAAATGGCGGCCAGGGGGCTCTTGGCCATCACTTTTGCCCCCCGACCGGACCGGAAGGCGGTGGGCAAAAGTGATGGCCCGGGCAAGGAGCTCTTGGCCACCACTTTTGCCCACCCCCCCGGAACGAAAGGGATGGCCAACGAGCGAAAGTCGATGGCTGGCCACGGAGCTCTTGGCCATCATTTTTGCCCGACCGGAAATGGATGAGCAGGGAGCTCTTGGCCATCATTTTTGCACGGTCGGCGGACCGGAATGAAAGCGATCGATGGCCAGAAGTGATGGCCGAGGACTTTTGCATGCCCGGGCGGAAAGCGGTGGCAGCGGAACTGCCGGCCATCACTTTTGCCCGACAGGAAAGCGCTGGGCAAAAGTAATGGCCAAGGAAGGAGCCCTTGGCCACCACTTTTGCCCGTCCGGAAAGTGATGGGAAAAAGTGATGGCCAAGGAGCTGTCGCCTCCGTTTTTCTCTGCCCGGCCGAAAAGTGATGGCCAGGGGGCTTCTGGCAATCACTTTTGCCCGACCGGAAAGCGATGGCAAAAAGTGATGGCCGCGGAGTTCTCGGCCACCACTTTTGCCCGACCGGAAAGCGATGGCCAAAATCGCTTTTGCTCGAGCGAAAAGCGATGGCCGCGGAGCTCTTGGCCAACCATCACCTTGGCCCGGCCGAGAAGCAATGGCCAATTTGGCGGCCAGGGAGCTCTTGGCCATCACTTGATTGTGCCCGGCCGAAAGGCGATGCCCAGGGAGCTCTTCGCCATCATTTTTGCCAGCGCTTGAAAAGGGTTTTTTTTATCGAAAGAAACCAGCTTCAAGCTTGAGGCCCCGCGCTGTCGTCAGGATACGCTTCGCGACAGTATCCTGACGAACTCGAAAAAATGGCTTCAGGGGGATTCGGACTCGAAAAATGGCTTCCCCATTTTTCCAGTCCGAGCCCCCCTGCTGTCGTCAGGATACTGTCGCGGAGCCTCCGCGACAGTATCCTGACGACAACAGGGGGGGCCGAGGTTGAAAATGGTTTCCACGCTTGGGCTGCAAGTTGTGACAACCGCTCTCAGGTCCGAGTCCCCCTATTGTCGCCCGGATGCCGTCACGAAAGCTTTCGCGACAGCATCCCGACGACAGCAGGGGGATTCGGACTCGAAATCGGTTTTCACAATTTGCCCGCCCAAAGTGATAGCCCTGGAGCTCTTGGCCATTACTTCAGCCCGAGCGACCCGCCGGGAGCGAAGCGATGGCCAGCGGGCTCTTGGCGAGGACTTTTGCCCGGGCGGAAGGCGGTGGCCCGGGAGCTCTCGGCCATCACTTTTGCCCGGCCCGCCGGAAAATGATGGCACCAGCGGAGCTCTTGCCCACCATTTTTGCCCGGCCGGAAAGTCAAAGTAGTGACCAAGGGCCCGACCGGAAGCGGAAAGTGATGGCCCAGGAGCTCCTGCCCTTGGCCGTCTCTTTTGCCCGGTGGGCCGGAAAGTGATGGCCAAAATTGATGGCCAGGCGGGGGCCCTTAGCCATCATTTTTGCCCGGCCGGAAAGTCATGGCCAAGGGGCTCTCGGCCATGACTTATGTCCGAGCCAGCGGAAAGTGGTGGCCGGCGAGCTCTTGGCCACCACTGTTGCCCGGCCGGAAAGTGATGGCCAAAAGTTTCAATTTTGCTCGAGCGGAGGTGATAGCCAAGAAGCCCTTCGCCGTCACTTTTGCCCCGCCCGGCTGGGCAAGGAGCTTCTGGCCATCATTCATTCACATGGCTCGGCCACCCTGGCCATTCTGGTGCTGGCATTCACATGTTCGCCAGGGCGTGCAGGATAACATTTTGCACGACGGTACGGGGTACAGATAGCGGGAACGTGTTCGATCTGTTACGCGAAGCTTCTAGACGAGACCTTCTAAGCACATTCGTTTAGAATTATTTTTCTAAGTGCCTCCTATAGATTATAGCAAAGGGGGAGGGCAAGTTCGTTTCACTATTATTATAATTATTATCCGAACACGTTGCGGGCACACTCCCTCCAGCGCTGCTGTTGTGCATCAAGTCGCAGAGGACCCGACGCTGAAAATGGATGGAGTTGTAGTCTGGACAACTACTTCCAAGTTGTACTTCATCTAGGCATTTGCATTGCAAATATGTCTGGGTCTGGAGTATTGTGAGGTTTGTGATGCAATTTTTGCAAGGTCCACAAAGTCTGTAATGCAGGGCTTAGCATCACAAGATCTGCAGCCCCTTGGTGATGCCTGTTCTGCATGAGAAATCCGCTCTCAGCATGGCAAGCAGGAAATTTCATCTTCTGCGAGTAGGCAAGACAGATTTTTGTGTGACCCGCAACACGCATTACAAGTTCCCACTCTACTTCCAGACCCAGACATATTTGCAATGCATAAGGCAGCCTGTTCTTTTTGAGCCAGTAGAAGTTCCCGATGGAAAATAACTCGCTTCTCGTTCTTCGCCACTAACGGTGGGAGTTGTAGTTGTACTTCTTCTTGTTCCAACATCTACAACTTCCGCCTCCTGTGCCGGTGTTGAGCTGCTGCATAGAGGAGAATCAGAAGTGGTTCTGAGAATATTATTAAGCTGCTCCATTTCTGCGGCGAGCGCGGCTTGGCAAACCACGAAACAAAAGCGGGGATCAGCACCAGCGGGATGGACGTCTTGCTCAGAATTATTCTGGCGTTCTTGCTGCTCAACCACGTCTACTTCCTGCACTCCAAGAACTGTCGGCGTAAAACAAGGCGGTGGCGGGATACTAGTGGGAGGATGCATACCGAGGAACGACCCACGTTGTATTAACAACCCATGTTGTAGCTGTTGATCAGAAGGAAAATGATTTGCCTGCTCCTGGTCCGGTGTTGTACTAGGTTGCTGTAAAAATGCCGCGCCAGGTGGAGGTGGTGGCACTACACCCTGTGGTCCACCTGCTCGTCTCAGGCCGGGCAATAAAGTCGAGCGATCATCTACGACGTGGTCCGCGTCAACGTGATGAAGATGGTCGTGGTGGTGGTCCTGCTGCTCGTTACTATAGCTAGACGACGTTGCACGGCAGAAAAAATACGGGTCGTGCTGCTGCAGGTGATACTCCAGCAATCGAAGTTGTTCACTTGCTGACCAGCACGACCCCACATGACCGGGAAAATGTTGATCTTGCTGCTGCTCTTCTTGCGGCCCACGAGCAGAACTGCAACTCGTAGGAACAAGATTGACGTCGTACTTTCTGGTACTTGTTTCCCACTCCGGCTCTGGTGTTTCGGTGCACCAGTCGAAGATCTTAGGTCCCTCAATCTCCTCGTCGGATGGAGCACTGTAGTTGTCAGGGAGGTCGTCGAGATGAGCGTGAACATCTTGCGTCGCACCCGCAGGTCTGCTCGACGTCGTCCCTGCTTCTTGTTCATCTTCGCAGACTTCTATCATTTCGAGGTCAACAGAGGATGTCGCGGCCTTCAGTTTTTTTCTTTCCTCTTCCGCCTGTCGTTCTCGCAAGACTTCTCGTCTTGCCCGCAACTTCTCCACCAACTGCGCACACCGGGCATGGTAGGCTAAGTCCGGTTTGTACTCGATAGCCGTACTAGCAGTGCCTTGATCTAGTTGCGGAGGTAGTGATGATCCTTGTTGCAGCTGCAAGAACTCCGAGGACCCAGAACTACGAGAACCAGTACGACCCGTCGGCGTTGGTGTAGTTGCAGCAGCGTCATTACCACTTCCAGCACCATCTGGACGCACGAAACGCCACATCTTACCCCCAAAGGAGTACGGATCGGACTTATCTGCTTTCATCTGTTTTCGCAGCTGCATGTTCGGCTCGCCGTCCAGGCCGAGGGCGTCTATGGTTTTCGATACTGGCATTTGTGGCTGTTGATGTTGCAGAAAGGTGGATAAATGGTTGCTTATCGCTCGCAGATAAGAAAATCGATCTACTACTGGTTCGGAGGCTCGTGCGGATCTTGAACAAGCGTTCGGCGAAGAATTTTCAGGAGCGTCCGCCAGAACAGGCGTCGTCTGTGTCTGGTGGTACAATGGACAAGTAGGAACAAAGCCACTCGAGGACGAAGACGATGTTGCCCCCGCTGTACAGACAGACCCCACACCGGCAGGAGCAATCGAAATGACCCGTTTTTCTGGAATCGCGCTCAAACCAGCGGACAAACACGACGTACTGCCGCTTGATCCAGCATCAGTTGTTCCTCCTGCCGCTTTCATTTCATCCGCGTGGAGGTCTCCCCGGGCGGAGGTTCGCGGACGACAAGAACGAAGACCTCGACTAGTACTCAGTCCTTTATTTAGTATCGGCGGGGGCCCCGAAGGTCGTACTGTTTGCCGAAGCTCTTCCAAACAGCGCTGAAAAGACGTTGGATCACCACCAGCGGCACCGGTGGCTGCAGCACCTGCAGCTGCAGAACCTCGCTCTGGAAGTAGTCCTGCGGGAAATATCAAAGTCTCTACGTGCCCGTAACGGCGCAACACCCGTCTCTGCTTCTCGCATTCCTTCAACATTTTTTGCCGGTATTCCATCTCCTCAAACATGCACACATGACACTTTTGACACCCTCTCCCATGATTGCACTTCGGGTACTTCCAACACAGAAAGCTTCGCCCGCACCGCTGGCCCGGGGTGTGGTGGGTCAGGCTCCCGGGGTTCTGCAGCATATGAGGGTCGTCGTCATGATTAGGAATATCATTATCTTTAGCTTGTTTCGGTGAAGAACCTTCGGCGGGGCCGCGGGGGCCACGTTGCTGTTTTTCTTTTTGTCGGCGGTGGGAAGAAGAAGCTCCTGCAGTAGATGCAGATCCTGATGTTGAACGAGCTATATTCAGAGACATTTGCTGCTCCGGCAGCCGGGAGTCCTCCTCGTCCTGCCCTCCAACCACCGCGCTTGCACCTCGACTGGCGATCACTCTCGTTGTGGCGGACGTTCTACTTGTTCCGGCATGGGAATGGCTTTTGCCATGGCCTGTGGCATTCTGCCCATCATCTTCAGCCGTATCTTTATTCGAAGAAAAGCTCGTCGGACCTTTCGTCCAATTATCAGCTGCTTGCCTTCTTGTTTTCGCCTCTGGTTTCATATTCCCATGTTGCTGGCTGCCAGTTTCTACTGTGGCCTTCGGCACAGCAGGAGTGGCAGCAACAGCTGCAGTCGCCCGAGCTGCAGCTGTATTCCCCGGCGACCACGCGTGGCCCCCTCTCGTCCCTTGTTCTTCCGCAGCCAATTTCATTTTCCGCATCGCGCTATTGGGATGCTGATAGGGCGAAGCTTTTTTCGTAGGTGAAAGCGGCTCTTGCACTTGCGGTTGCGCTGGTTCTCTTGGAGGTCCTGCCCGGTCTGCACTTTTGTCAAGGCGCTGCTCCCGCGATGTTGGGGCAGCACGATCAACACCGACGTGTTGGCCCACCCTATAATTAGCTCCACCTCCACCACCTCGCTTCTGTGCGGCGGAATGCGAAAAATAATACTCTCCTTGAGCAGAATCCCCACCTGGTGGGGCACTTGTGGTCGCCGGCGGAGTAGATAATGATAATGATAAATCAGTCCTGCTATAATTCCCAGTGGTGGTCCTCGGCAAAGCAGTAGTTCCAGTGTAGTTCCTCGATTGGCGCGTTGAAGTCGACGTCGTGGTGGCATCAGTAGTAGTTGCGCCGGTAGAAGTTGTTCTCAACACAGAAGAAGTTTTTCCGCCTTCGTGTGTCGGGACCTCTGCGCCTGGTCGTGTCGACACGTCTTCGTCCGTCCCTTCAAGGCGTCGCTGGTTAATATTATATAGTCGTCGTTGGTTACGTACTGTACGACGGTGTCGTCGTCCTGCGCGAGAACTACTCGCACTCGGTTCAATATGCTCCGGATCATCCGCCGTCGTAGTCCGTAGCGCGCGTAGAAATTGCGCGCCGGCCTCCTGCCCGAAGGCTGCGTCGTGCGTGACCCTGGTTGGAAGTACAGGAGAGACAATAGGACCCTCTTGTTGTGGAGGAACCGGTGGTCGATACGGCTCGGTACTACTGGACGAAGCACCACCACCGGCTAGAGGTAAAGTTGGCTGTGGCTGCACAAAGGCGTGATCTCCTTCTCGGACTTGCCGTGCAGAAGTCGCTCTTTCTCCGTAATCTCCCCCTTCTCCTTCACGTCGCACAGCCGGCGAAAATACAGCAGCTCTTCTAGCGGGATAAATTTTTTGTCCCGCCGTTGTGCTGGTGCCACAAGCTGCCGTACCAGATTGTGCATCAGCTGCTGCGTGTCTGTGGCCGTGTCGTGCCGCTGTTGCATGCAGCTGTCGATGCCGCTCTACAAACGCACTTTCGTCCTCCTTCTGCGTAGTTGGCAATTCTTCGCGAAAAATTCGCTTGATCGTAAAAGCGCGCCGGCCACCCCGAGGTTTTGGTTTTCCCTTCAGCGCCACGGCATGCGCCACGCATGGGGGCCAGGCGGTGCCAGAATAATACAGGTATTGACAGAAATTTCGCGATGAAAAAAAGCCGCAAAGCAACGCCCCTGCGTGAAGCAGTATGAATTTGATGGCTTGAGGAAACATGGTTTGTTTCGGTGTTTAGACAGATAATTGAGGCTTATAGATAAATCTGGCTGAAAAAAAGAGTATTTACAACTGTGTCAAGAACGTGACACTTTTCAAAAAAAATGAGGTTAATTTCTTGCTCCCTCGTGGGTTGTAATTGGATACGTGAAGTTCGCTAGTAAAAAAAAAAGCCCGTCCGGGGCACTAACTTCTTTCGGGAGAATGCAAAATGGTAAGCAGGAGCAGCTAGTACGTCGCTCTCCTAGCTTGGCCGGCTTTTTAAGTAGAGCCGCAAAGCGGTTTTGTTATTCTTGTCGATGCAGTGGGTGACGAAATAAAACGGTCCTCATACAAGAACAGGGCTATCGAAATTGATCGTATGCAGGCGCCGTTGATGTTGATCTTGATATTGATAATATACACATCGACGTAATAAAAATGTAGTAGTTTTGTCTCAGAGCGAAGTGCTCATATAATGGCAACACTCATTCTCTCCGTTTCATTCTTTAAAAGCCTGAAGAAAGAGCAGTAGCTAGTAGTACTGACCCACTTAGAATCAATCTTCATGAGAGGCAGCAACCATGAGAGCATCCTTTCAAAGTGGCCCTTCCTCGGGAGAGATCGGTGGAGTAGCGTGAGCGATAATCTGAACACAGTTGCTATTGCACTAACTCATAAGTACTCCGGCTTGCCGCATGTGTTCGTATTTTTTTGTTGGCAGGCACACGGACCAAAGGAACCGGCCCCGGGCCACCAATCAATGAACTGAGAGATGAAGGGGCCGGCACGAGAAGCCAGGCTAGCATGCAGGTGGGGCGGCGCGCGGAATCAGGCGCGCCGCCAGTAGCTCCGCACAAGCAAGGGCGCAGTGGCATTCGATCGCCGGCGGGCCCACTACACTGCGCGTCTACCGTCCAACACCTGCGCCAGCAGCGAGCAAAGATAGTTAGACACTGGCCGTGCGGCGAACCACACGCAGGGCGCCCTGCAATGCCCCCACCCTCCAGAAGGATATGCTTTGGGGTGGGCACGAACCGAGGCGCAAGCCGCGGAGGGAGACGCCCGCGCCCCTAGTGTGTTAGTTTGGGCGCGCCCCGGCCCCGGGCCGCCCCCAGCGGGCAGGCGCACGGGGGGGGCGCGTCAACCGACCGCAGACGGCGCGCCGGTCGGTGGCCGTAGAACAAGCCGGACCGGGCCACCGGGGCCCGCGCGATGAAGCTCCACCCGAGGCGGCGCGCCTGCGTTCCGTCTATTACCTTCTTCTTCGCAAGCGGCGCCCCGCACCAGGAGCAAGCACAGGCGGCCGTCTTGTATAGAAACTGGGGCTAAATCTGGGGAGCAGGCTGCGCGCCGGCCAATAAGGGGCCACGCGCGTTTTCGCCTACCCCCGCCCCCACCCGAGGGGGGCCGCCTGGTGGGTAGTGCGGCTAAAATGCGCGGCCCAGGCCCACCCCGGGGCCCCTCGCCAAACACACAGACACGCGGAGGCGATGGCCACAACGCCGGCACGCGGGCCACGTAGCTGATTGGGCCAGACAGCGGCTGGCGGCGGGGCGAGGAGATGCGGCGCCGCCGGCCGCTGGCCGGCGTGGCTCGTCGTCCGTCTGTATTTCTAGCTGGGGAAACGTCGACACCCCCGGGACGTCAGAGACAAAACCCCAGCAAACGGCGTCGCGCACGCCTGTGGCGGCGTTTCTAAAGACGGCGCCGGATCGCCTCGCCATCGGCTTCCGGCTAGGCCCCCGGCATTCACCCACGCAGACGGGCACAGCCAGGGGCTGCAGGCGCGGCGCCAATGGGACAGCACAGCTCCCAAGACAGGCGACTGCGTCTCCAGATGAGCACTAGACATGGCGCGCTCTAGGTAATTAACAACTTCGAACACAGCCTGGCACTCCTCAATCTCGGGCCCGGACTGTGGGTCTGCCTCCTCGGCATCCCCCGCCGCGTCGGCTCTGGTACAGGGTCCGCCGCCGGCTTTTTGCCTTACGACACCGCGGGCACCCCGCGGCGCAGATAGCCACCGCAGCGCAAACCGGCCCGCCTGCTGCGGTGGCTTGCGCCTGGCGCTCCGGCATGATTTTGCGGCCCACGGGGGTCGGCCGATACTTGCCCGCCGTGGTCCGCGGCGGCGCGTAACTCTTCACCAAGCGCAGCCGCGCGCGTGCTCCTCTCTCCGAGCGAATGACGCCTGCCCCATGCCAACGGCGCCGCAGGGGCTCGCGCCCTGTTCCCACGCCACCACGCGCCTTCACTGGTGCAGGGCCGCTCCTCCTCCGGCGGTCTCCTCGCCGACATCGCTCGCGCGCTTGGAGATCTCGCCGCCCCCCCCGGCGCTGTGCCAAGGGCGAAGCGGGGGCGCGCCATTTGACGCCGCAAAAACGCCCGGGCTTCCGCCGGCCTCAAGGCGGCGACCTGGCGGAAGTCGAAGCCGCGGCCTTTCTAGACGCGCGCGCGCCCTGTGATTTCTGTCGTTGTAAAGTGATAAAGCCCAAGGATTAGCAAAAACGAGACATATAACGTAAAAAACTACTGTTCTCGCTCTCCACCCCACGAACACGTGGATCTTCTGGAGACGAACACCTGGTAATAAACTAGAACCAATGCGACCCGTGTCGCAGAACCTTCTCGATCGGCTCCATTCACAAGATCGTCCGCTGTATGGTATCTTTCACAAATCGAGCACTGCTGGTCGTCGTTCTTTCTTTTCCTCTAGTAAAAGATCCTTTGCACTGCGCCGTACCTCATTATACTGGCTCGAAAATATCACCAGAATAAAGTAGAACTCGGATATCATGTCTTCATTGTCTTCGTCAAGGTACTAGTAGATCCGTATCAATTCAAACACCGCTCTGGCGTTCGACTCTATTGAAAATCTCCATAGAGTAGCTACTAACTTTCCAGCTCATACACTCGAACACCGTCTGCCAGCTGTACTAGCGGCAGAAACGAATCTTGCATTTTCTGGCTTTTGGTAATGACCTTCGCAACTATAGATACTATCGAGCTTGCTGGAGCTGCTACAGTGCAACATTTTCATTTTCACTCGCCCACGGTAAAAAAAAAAGCGATTGGGCCAATTCGCTCACAACTTGGTTGTCCAAGTGAAGTATTTATGTCGATTTTTTGACTTCACCAATTATGGTCATCAACTTTCTAAAAAAACAAAGCTCTTCTTGCAGCGCAGTCTTATTGACAGTATCGTTCGAATTGCATACAGGGCATGCAAGGATTATGTAGTAAGTAGCTCCGATCGGATTACAGGCACTTTCTAACTTCTTTCAGAAAACCTGGCTACAGCAAGATCCTCATTAGAGGTTCTTTCCTGGCATGTTTGATGGGACGAAAGAGCAAAATATTATCATGTGGAAATAAAGCAAAAGGTCAAAGTATGCAATTGGTATGTTCATGTTGAAAAATGCTGCGATAATATTATTGTGGAAGTGATAGAAAACAAGGTAGCGTCCGTTACAACATGGAACAAATAACGTATACTGTAAATATTGAACCCGGAAGTAGTGTCCATCTTGACGAGTATGTACTTGTTGTGTAGATGTAATGTATTTGCCATACTGTAATGCTATTGAAGGAAGACGTAAGGTGTGTCGCGCCGCAATCACAAGGCTGATGGCGATCACAGACACAGAAAGTCATCATATGGTATAGTAAATGGATTCTATGTCAAACAAGAGATTCTCTGGCGGTTTATTCCAATCAAGTATATTCTGCAGATTTTTCCACCACTGGCATTATTAACCACGCCCTTATTTTCTCGCGAGGATTCCCAAATCCACAAACACGGCCGTCGGCATGTCGGAATCGTCGCCTTCTCTTCGCAAAGACGTACTGTTCTTCCTGCCGCGCCGCGTGCGCTCTTTTCGACTGCTCCCCAAGCTATTTGAGGACGACGCCATGTTGTTACCGGTCAAGCTTGCGTCCGAAACACCACCAGCTTCAGACGTTGTATCGGTCGGAGCAGTGCTGCTCGGCGGATGAGAGAAAAACATTGGTCCTGTCAGTTTCACATGCTGCGTAGGCTGTTCCTGCTGTTTCACTCGAGTACTATTCCCTCTGCGTTCTTGGTCCCGTGGTTGCAGCCCGGTCGGCAGGCGGTCGGTTCTTAGCGACGTTCTCCGCTGGCTCACGGAAGTCGAAAATTTTGCTCCAGCGGAGGCACTTCTTCTTTTATTTGCGGCTTTCCGCTGTTGCTGGCCCAGGCGCTTCGGCTTCACGCGGTCTGCGACTGGTGGAGTAGAAAAGGCGTCAAGGGTAGGAGCTGGAGCAGCAGCAGCAGTACTGCTGCTACCTCCGGCAGCTACCGCAGCAGCAGCCGTGGCTGCTGAGGTCATCGCAGCAGTTGCGGCGCTGGCGCTGACGTAGCTGTCGGGTCGTGGCAGCGGTGTGGACCCCGTCGAAGAGGAGGCGCGACTTTGAAGAAGGTGAGAGGACGAAGACGGCGCGAAGGTAGCTGTACCCGGGGTCGCCGCGCGGAGAAAATCTTCCGGAGTAGACCAAAAGTCGTGTTCATCCGGTTGTTCTTGCCGGTTGTAGCTAGTGCTGGCAGAAGGGTCTTCAGTTCCACTGGCCGCACAAAGCGTCTGCTTCTTCTGCTCCTGCGTGAAGTAGGGTACGGTTCCCGCGCAGGGGGCTTGATACAGGACGGTTTGACTGCCGGGACCTTCTTCTACCGCCGGTCTTCGGGAACTACAACTTGGTTCTTGAACAGCTTGATGCTGTCCTGTCGGCCGCTCGACCGGTTCGTACACGACAGGGGCGGCTGCTTTATTTTCACCCGGGTAGTCGTAGTTGTGTTCCACCTGGGGAAACAGCACGGCAATGTGGGATCTAGTGTCGCGAGGCATCGGGGCGGACGCGCAGAAAGTAGGGCGTGCATAACACGACGATCCATCCTGCGTCATTGGAGTGCTGCCTAGCACAAGTTGGTCCTTCTTTCCGCGCTGTCCCATAGTACCTCCACGGCGTATAGTTTTGGTGCCCCACTGCGGTGTCACATGCCTTCCACCCACCGCGTTGTCCCATACCTCCGTAGTTTTGGTGCGAAGATTTTTTTGTCCTGGTGTAGTACTTCTGTGCTGGCCGTTTTGCGGATCAGGTAGAAGTTCTTCAAATTCGATCGACTGCACTACAGCAGGAGGTTCTTGGCTGGCTTTTATCAAATGCAAATATGTCTGGGTCTGGAAGGATGAAAGGTTTAGCATGCCTGTCTGGCATGACTGAAAAGTCTGCGATGCGTGTCCAAGAAGAGACGCTTTTGCTTGTCATGCAAAAACGCAGTTTGTCATGCGGAAAGCGCAACACTATACCCCCGCAAATAAGTCTCATGCTTGGCTGTGCATTACAGAGCACTCACTATTCACAACTCAGCATTACAAGTTTCCAGACACAGACATGTTTGCATTTGATAGCTTTATTGTCGTAATACTCCTTGCAGAACTCCTCATACTCCAACCCCGGTCGCACTTTTTTCGCAGCCTTCCACGCATCGTGCTCAGTGAAAGTTCCAGGAGGTTTGCCGTACCCTTGCACCACTCTCTTCGCTATCTCCATCGGAGTTAATAAAGATGTTGGCCCGGTAGATTTCTTGGCACCGCTTTGTTCAGAAAGAACCTCCTCCTTCGCTCGGACTTCACGCTCCAGACAGTCGCTTAAACTGAGCTGGTATCAAATGTAAAAATGTCTGGGTCTGGAAGAATGGAAGGCTTGTCATGCTTGTCTGGCATGACCCATGGTGCTTGTAATGCATGACCCAGCATCACAGATTTTTGGAAAGCTTCCTGATGCCATTTCCGCATGACAAATGCCCTCCTCGCGTAGCACAAATGTGGCTCCTCTTGCTGGTCATGCAATACAGATCTTTTTAGAGTCCAAAGTTAGCATCACAAGTTGCAATCTTCCAGACCCAGACATTTTTACATTTGATAGCTGGATGCCTTTTGGTAAAAAAGCTTTTTTCGTCCCAAGATGACCCCCGGGGCTCGTCTTGTTATGATCCTCACCCTTCTTCACGAGCCTGGTGGTTCCACTGGCGTTCGTTACGACCTCCATTTCGGTCGGATCATCACGCGTCGTCCCGTGTCGTGCAGCGACGCGGGGAACGGGCAAGTGGGCTGGCAGAGCAGCAGGTTTAATATCCTCAGAAGATATAACTCCTGCTGACTTTTCGCTTTCAAGGTTCCCAATGTTGTCCACTTCCGCCTCATCGGACCCCGTTGCGGAGCCGGAGCTTGGATCTGCGATGATCACCGTCCTCTCGGATTCTAGATCCGAGGAATTATCATCTGATGGCCTGCTGTTGTCTGACAGCACAATCGGACTCGCCGTCCCGAGAATTGCTCGGGCACGCGCAGCTAGACTAGTACCCGAAGAAGAGCTGCTTCCGTTGCCCGATGATCCCAAAGAAACCCGTTCTTTCTCGTGGTCCAGTGTCTTGGTATTCTTGTTCATCTTGTTGTTCTCTGGCGCAACTACTTCTGGCGAAGCCGATGAAACAACACCACCGCTCCTCATGAGCTTCTGCAGCACAGCCTGCTGATTAGGAACTTCTACATCAGCATGATAAAAATATGGCTGCTCCTCCGGCGTCCGGGGAATAGAACCGTTGTCGGGCGTTGCTGGTATCGCGTCCCCTACTACTCTGGGTGAAATCTTTTCACCACTACTCGTACCCCCGGCCTGCAGCTGTTCTTTGTTCCTTTGCATCTTCGAAAATTCTGCTTGTTTCTGCATTTCGCATTCCATGAGCGCAATTTGTAACTTCCGCCGCTCCGCCCGCACCTTCTCGACGCATCTTTCCTCGATCAGTTCGCCGTGTCTACTATTTTGCAGAGTTTCGTGTTGATCCTGGTAAGCGTTCCGTACATTGTATTCTTTCATGGCGTCCCGACAAGCAGCTTCCATAATGCGGCGTTCGATGTCGAAATCGTGGGGGTCTTCGTCTGATCCCCCAGGCGATCGGAGTTGCGAGAGTTGTGATTGGAGAATAATATTTTCATCCTGCGAATTATCTTCCTGGAATTCCGGCGTGTGGGTAAAAGACTCAACAGGATCCTGGTCTATCCCGACGAAATTGGTGCATTTTTTCAAAACGAGCCTTTCGTTGTGCAGGACGGAGTCTGGGATGGTTGGGTCTGCTGCAGGAGCACCACCCGCGACGTTGTGGTGGCAGGAGCTGTTCGATGTCGTGGTCCCTTGCAGCGGACCGCCAGCAGCACTTGTAGCGGATGCGGACGAAGAGGATGGAAAATGATCTCTCCACCCGATATCAACATCACAAGCGCCGAAGAAAGGATCGTTAAGCCTTTCACGTAGGGAAGTAATGTGGTCTGGAATCTCGGTAGCTCCTGGCGGGCACATACAACCAAACATGTTGGGACGACGCCAAAATTCATCGTCAAAGTCTTCCGGCGTGGGGCAGTAGGTGCACAGCGGTTTTTCTGGTGATGCCTCTATGGATTGCAAACATGTCTGGGTCTGGAAGATTCCGAGACTTGTCATGCACGTTTTGCATGAGCCATGATCGATCTGTGATGCATGCCCTAGCATCACAGAGTTTTTGAGGGCTTCTTGATGCCTATTCCGCATGACAAATGCCCCTACTACCGCGTAGCAAAAAATGCGTTCCCTTTGATGCTGCTCATGCAATACAGATTTTTTTGGAATCCAAATGCAGCATCACAAGCTGCATTCTTCCAGACCCAGACACTTTTGCATTTCATAGCTTCTTCGGAATTATGACAGCTCTCCTCGGGGACGGTGGCGAGGTGGTTGCCTGTCGTTGTTGTCCAAGGGACATATCGATTTTGCTCCCGGACGAGATGATCTACTCCAGCTTGTTCGTCGTGTTCCTCTTCTTCAGAATCTGAGGAGGATGGGTCCGAAGAACTATCATCCTCGCTGAAAAGTCCTCCCGAAGAAGATCGCTTCTTCGCCGGCGCACTGTATCCTGAGTAAAAACGTACCCACACCAGAGTTGTAATGCAGATTTGCCAAGACAGGAAGACTTGTAATGCGCATCCCCATGAGAGCCATTTTCAGTCGTGTTTTGGAATTTGTGATGCTGTGAACAGGCTGAGCAGATGAATCTGTGATGCGGCTGCACTTGCTATCTGCACTACACTGCAGAGTGCAACTTGTCATGCGTGACTCACAAAACTCCTAGGTTTGTGTTGCAAAATCCCCATCCTGACTCTGGTGTGGGTACGTTTTTACTCAGGATACACTGGGCTCCAAATTCATCGCGAAGACGAGCGGAGAGCAGTGGTCGGTATTGTAGTGGTGACGCTGAGAATTCCCTTTTATCAAATGCAAAAATGTCTGGGTCCAGAGGAGCCATGCTGTTTTTGCATGACGCAGAAAGTCTGGCATGGAAGCTCTAGCATTACAAGTTTCGAGAAGCTTCCGCAATGCCGAATCGGCATGACAAATCCCCCATTTTGGTGAGAAAAAGTGGGCAGCTTTTGCTACCTATGCATGAGAGATTTTTCTGTGTTCTGAAATACGCATCACAAGTTTGTTCTATTCCAGACGCAGACATTTTTGCAATCCGTACCTTTCCCACCCCTACGAAGATTTCTTCTTCCTGCGACAAGCTCCCAGGGGGTTGGCACGCGGTCCTTTTGGCTTTGTGATTGTGGCGGAGGATACTGCTTGTTGAACTTCTCCAACAACGCCTGTTTCTTCTGGTCTTTACTTGTTTCCGCGTCTAAAGTTCTTGTGGGAATTGTAGAAGTTGTTTCCACCTGTGAGGGCGCCGTCGGGGCTTTAATTTCCTCTGCACGACCTGCTCCCTGTTCCATTTCATGCGCTTTCGCATCTTGAACTACAGCCTCCTGGACGTCGTCCACTTTACCGTCACAAGAACTTTCGTCCTCCGTGTCCGTTTCTAACCCCGAAGAGGAACTGCTGGACGAAGAACGGCTGCCTGCCTCTTTAGGTTTACACCTCTGCCCGAATATACTATCCGCCTCTTTACTTTTCTCGTACCTCGGCCTGTCTAGGCACAAGGCGTTAATCCTGTCAGATAGAAGACGCTTCGTCGGGACGTGATTTCGGTCGTATTCCGCGATCACACTCGCACTTGAGGCCGCACTTGAGGCCGCGGCGGAACTGGCGGCTGCTGTTGGTTCAACAACGTCCTTCACCGGCTGTCGTTGTTGATGTTCATTTCTGCTCATCTTGGGAGAGACCGAGCGCTGTTGACGACCCTTCATCTCGTTGTTGCGCTTGATGTTCATCTTCTTGTTCCTATTTTCATCACGAGATGACGATCTGGATCTAGAGCGGGCGGCCTTTCGAGTTGTTGTACAACTAGACGGCGCGCGGGAAGATGATCCTGCGTTGGAAGAGGCTGCCGTAGAAATTGTACTGCCCCTTCGTGATGTTCCTGGATGATGATACCGTGCTGCGGAGCTCGACGCCGTTGAAGAAGAAGCCGCACTGCTGTTGCTAAGCTGTGGCCCCATAGTTCTAGAAGAAGTACTTCGACCAGCTTGCTTCGCTTGCCTGGCCCTAGCGTCGTTGTGCCGCATCATCTCCCAGGAAGTAGATGGTCCCGGCGCCCTTGGCACTGAAGCTTGCTGATGCTGCGCCTCCGGCGCTACAACATTCTCGTCCATCTTTCCATACTGCTTCGATTCGTAGTATATCAAATGCAAAAATGTCTGGGTCTGGAAGATTGGTAGGTTTGTCATGCAGGTTTTCCATGACACACGCGGTCTGCCATGCACGGCCTAGCATGACAGGTTCTGTGAGATCTCTATCATGCCCTTCCTGCATGAGAAACTGCCTCTAAACTTGTTCAAAAGTGGATCTCTTTCGGTAATCATGCAACACAGATTTTTCCACGATCCAGATGTAGCATGACAAGTTACACTCTTCCAGGCCCAGACATATTTGCAATGCATATAGTACCCTTTCCACCGGGAACTCCCGTCCGCATTCCGCCTCACTGGCTGGTCAGACCCCCAGGTCTCGAGCTTCCCACTTTCCGTTCTCCCCGGTCGGGGGCAGAGGTGGCAGAAGTCGCAATCTTTTCCGTCCTTACACGACGGCCCGCCCGGTTTGTGCATGTACTTGCAGATCCGGGGGCAACGCTTGCCTTGGACGTGCTGTGCGAAGCCTTTCGAGACAGGCTCTGCACTCGCGACGCCCTTATCCGGGAGTGGAATTGCGTCTTTGCGAAACCACATCGGGCCGGTAAACCCAGAAGAGTTATTTTCTGTCGTGGGAGCGGGTGCCTCGGATGTATTTTTAATATTTCCTGCAGGTGCAGAGGTTGCGGTCCCACGACCAGTGCTCGCGACAGTCACCTCGGGAACACTCACCATAGAAGGAGCAGTCCTCTGGCTCTGTACTTCCCTCGGTAGCTGCCCGACCGGCAGAGGGTCAGGAAGTTTATTTTTTCCCGAGGCAATTCTCTCTGCTGCACGAGCCTGCCGCTCCATCGCGCGCCTGGAATATCGGTCTGACTTGACAGAGTGGTTATCGGAGGAGGAACAGGACGCCTGGGAATTTAGTGGCGTTGGTTTCGATTGAGAGTGTTCGCAGCTAGTCGTAGCACCACTGACAGGTGTTTTCGAATCTGCCCAATTGTGGTGGTTGCAGGGCTGGACGGAAGGTGGTTGCTGCTGGAACACATTCTGCTGTTGCTGCTGTGCCACATTTTTTCCATCATGGCTTTCCGTTGCCAAAAGAGTTGGCACAAGTACTGGCGGTGCGGGTGGTGGTGGGGGTGGATGTCGCATCGTAGTTGTTGTTCCGACGCCAGGAATGGCAACTCCCACGGCTGCTGGGGGGACAGTATTAGACTGCTGTTTCTGCTGCTGCTGCTGTTGTTGCTGCTGTTGCATCACAGGATGTTGAGCAGCCGCTGGAACCACTCCTGTCGCGGGAACAGGATTCAGTGCGCTGGTCCAACCGGTGAAATGTGTCAGAACGGTTTGCATGTTGCCCATCGGCACGGCAACACCAGGTTGCATTGGCACGACCGTCGGCACAGCAAGGACACCTTGCGGAGCTGCAGCTGGACCTACACCTGGGTGCGACTGCTGCATTTGTTGCGCCTGCTGCATCTGTTGCGACTGCTGCATCTGCTGCATGGGTGGTTGCACCGCCTGCACGAGAGCCTGTTGTGCCGCCAGTGGATGTTGGAACAGGTAGCCAGCATCGCCAGTGTCCGTCGCTCCAATAGCAGGCACCTGATTTTCACCGCCGCCGTGCTGGCCTTGCTGCTCTAGCGCTGCTGCAACCGAAACCACAACGGGGGGACGGTGCGGAACAGTATTTCCGGCTGCCGCAACCGCCGGGACGCCCTGCAGGAGGCCCTGTCGGTGTTCTGCAGAGGACCGATGCTCCTGCCCCTGTCGTCCACTCCCCTTTCCCTTCGGGCAGGTACCTTTCCCGGGGTGGTACCCCCCATCGTATCCCATCAACCTCGCAGTAGCTTCATCCGCGACAATGCCTTGCGTGCCGGGGATGAGAGCGGACGGAGGCAGTAGGGGACGAGAGGAGGACGAGGAGGAGCTGGAGCCACTGTTTGCGGCCCCTTTCGGGTGCTGGTGTCCTCTGCGACCACCTCTCCTCGTCTTACTCGAGCCGGGGCCGGTCGTCTCGTGACCTCCCCCGCTGCCGGAGCTCAAAGACGTTTGCACCACCGTGGCGGTAAAAAGGACTACGAGTTTGGAAAACATTTTTTCGATGAAATGAGATTAAGTAACACCAAGAAGTAGTAACCAACGATAATTCCAGGCTTTTACCAGATTTTTAGTGTATGATTTGTACAGGTAGTACAGCTATTTTCTTTTTACGAGAGGATGTCTGTGTTTCTACTGGTAAATGTGCACAAATGTATAGTTTCCTATTCGGTCTCAGGTTAGAACTACTCGAGTGGATTCGTACTATCCTTATGAATGTTTGTAAACTTGTACGACAATTTATTGACAGATTTAGCTCGTAGTTGGAAGAAAATTTCTAAACAACGCTTGTGTCTATTTCCGCCCTATCTGTAGTGTAAATACTATTAAGCGGGTGTTGACGCTACTACGTAATAATCGTGCTTTCCAGTAGAAGTGTTTGTGTTTGAAAGGCGTGTAAAAAAGTTGTGTGGAAAAACTATAAATGTTTTATCGAATCGCACTTGGTTTCTCGCGATGAAAGCTGCTGTAAGCGGAATTGAGTTGTATTATGTGTCAATTTCTAGATTTTTTGTCAGCACGAAGTGGTCAAGGATAAATTTGGGGGCTTTCTCAGAACTGCACCAAGACCTGTGCACAAGCATTATTTTCGGACACGACGATCGGATTTTTATTCTTTTTCACATTGATCAAATTTTCGAGAATAAAACCGACTTCTGAACTATGATCTCACGGATGAAGACCAAGACCGGCGATTTCTTCCCAAGATCTGTATTTGGAGGATTTCTCGCTTTTGATCCAAAGAACTGTTTGTTTATCATGTTCGAAATTATGCGTATCAGTAGTCCTTTCTTGCCCGCGGCTGTGTCGTATGATGAATAGTTGTCCTAGAACCGAAATAGTTGACTCACATAGATGCTCACTGCTCGCAGACACGATTTCCTTTTGTTGACAACTCAAGCACACCTTGCGAACAACAAACAGAAGTTCTTGCAGAGCAGCCGAGATACTAGAGCCGACAAACAGCCCCGAAGGTGGCGCTTTTTTTTGTTGTTCAAACATTCTGTGCAAGTGGTCTACCAGTACTGCTGCATTTATGGTCACCAAATCTAAAACGAAAAACTATCTCTGCAACTTTGTAAGTACGTTCATCTTGTTCAAAAGCGATAATTTACATGTTGTAGTCGAAAAAGAAGTGGACAAGGCGTATACATAATCAAGTTCTTCGTAACAAAACTGATATCGAAAGTTTAAGACAAAACCATAAGGTGTATGATGTTGAAATTGTTCCGTTGATAAAATTTAAATTTACGCGATTACTACTTAGCAGGCGATTGGAAGAAGAACCTCAGCCTCTTTCTGTCGTTGAAAATGCTACTACTGTCGGGAAGAATTGTGTCTGTGGCGGAAATAAAACGAACCTTTCTTCTATTACCACGCTGTCAAAGCGAAACTACATTGTACAGGCAGATCAAAAGTTGGATAATTTTTGGAAAATTCAGAGTGTGCTTGTGGAAATAGTAACCTGACTTCTAGTCGTGTTGTTTCAATTTCCGTATTACAAAAAGAAACCTTCGATAGTTTTTTGCTAAAACAGTACACATGTGTTTTTCTGAGAGTGAAACTCGAGTACCTCCGAACTGTACAAAAACTGTGCCTTGTGAAACGTGGAAGCAATTCTCGGTTTGTCCTTGGCTAAAATCTGAAAAGGTAATTTGCATCTGTCAAAAGTGAAACGGGATAGAATTTCTTCGAATATCTGTCAAGTAAGTTAAAATTGTCAAAAGTGTAGTAAGTCAGTATCTGCGAATAAAAAATTGTATGTGTATATTGAGATGAAAAATGCAATCTGTCTGTGGTACTAGCACGAAGTATCTTCAAAGGTTTAAAAACTTCTCAACCAGTTCACTTCTTGGAACCCGTTTTTGTCTTGGTTTTCGATTTGGCGGACGAAGCCGTTTTCGTCTTCGTCGTTTTCCCGGACTTGGATGTTCCACTTTTCGTCTTCGATTTAGTCGATTTGGTCGAAGACGCCACTGAGGACTCTTCCTCATTTGCAGATTTTTCTTGTTGACCCGCTTTCACTTTCTGCGCCGCGACCTGGTTCTTAATCCTCTTCTTTTTTTCCGCGGCGGTTTCAGCTGGAGCAGGGGCTTCGTACGCCGTCATGCCGTCGCTCAAACCTTATCGTACGAAAAAAGTGTTTCACTGTAAGCATTTTGCAAGTTTTGCATCACAAGTTTGCTCTACTACACGACAGGGAAAACTTACCATGCGAGGTTCATCCCAAGGGAAAACACAGCTAAAAATCGCCTGTCTTGCCTGTGACGCAAGACAAACACTTCTGAGATACACTTTCTGCATTACAAGTTTACAGTGAAACAGTTTTTTCTTGCGATAAACCTGCTCCCCCGTGCAGCCCCGACTGCAGCATGCAGGACTGCTATCCTGAGTAAAAACGTACCCACACCAGAGTTGTAATGCAGATTTGCAAAGACAGGAAGACTTGTAATGCGCATCTCCATGAGAGCCATTTCCAGTCGTGTTTTGGAATTTGTGATGCTGTGAACAGGATGAGCAGATAAATCTGTGACGCGGCTGCACTTGCTAAGCTGCACTACACTGCAGAGTGCAACTTGTCATGCGTGACTCACAAAACTCCTAGGTTTGTGTTGCAAAATCCCCATCCTGACTCTGGTGTGGGTACGTTTTTACTCAGGATAACTGCAAGATGCTCATCACGGTTCCTGCCTGCTTGTCGTGCTCGAAGGCGGCGAAGGAGGTGGGGGATAAAGACTTGACAAAGATCTCCGGTCTGCAGGAGATTAATTCAGTAGCTAAATCCTGGAGATTTTCTATCTTGATGTTCTTCTTTTTATTCCCCGCCACTTTTTGGAAGCCCTGCGTCGCGGTGATTATCTCCGCCTCGCCGAGTTCCATTTTGTCCACACCTAAGTCTTATGCATTGCAAACATGTCATCTGGGTCTGGAAGATTGATGGCAGGTTTGTCATGCATATTTCGCATGAGCCGTGGTGCCTGTAATGCGTGACCTAGCATCACAGATTTTTATAGGGCTTCCTGATGCCTATTCCGCATGAGAAATGCCCACTGCGCGTAGCACAAACTGGACTCCTCTTGCTGGTCATGCAAAAATACAGTTGTTTTTTGAATCCAGAGACAGCGTCACAAGTTTCACCTAACTCCAGACGCAGAAACATTTGCAGTGGATAAGTCGGCTCCAGTCGCCACCAGCTGCTTCGCAATCTTGGTCGCGGTGGCTTTCTGGAAGCCGATGGATTCTAGAGCTTGCCTGGCTTCGGCCTCAAACGCCTGGTGGAGCTGTTCGGCGGAAAGAGAAGCGGGCTGGGGGTCGGTGGTCCTACTGTCGGGCAGCGGCGCGGAGGATTGATCATCGAACATCTCGTCGTACATGTCGCTTACTCCTGCCGTCTTCTCTCCCGGGAGAGATGCAGCTTCGATGGTAACAACTTGTTCTGCCTCTTCTCCTACTGCCGCGTTGTCCGCTTCCTCATGAGCTGCACTTTTGTTCTCGGCACTTGCAGATGAATCCCCGATTTTTTTCTTCTTTTTCGGATGATCACCAGCAGCTTTTTTGTTTTTCTTCAAGAGTTTGTCCTTCTTCTTCTTTTTTTTCTCGACGCTGTTGTTGCTCCCCAGCAGTGGTTCGGCGGCCGAAGATTCGCCCCCTTCGCTGTCTACCGCAATTTCCACCGGCGCATCAGACTGTTCGCTTTCTTCCGCGCTGCTAAGGTCGCTTTCCCCCTCGTCGAAATCGTCTGCCTCTGCCTCCCCTTCAAAATCGTCTTGGAGATTGATCGTGAGCTTTTCTCGGACCTTGTCCATGGCTTTCTCGTGCATTTTCTTCTCCATGTCGTGCACCATCTTGGTTTTCTTCAGGAAATTTTTCTGCAACAATTTTTTGTCCTTTTCCGTCCAATTTCTGCCCTCCAAATCCTGCGCGGTTATTTTCAGCGGTTTCATCATGGTAAACCCCTGAATCACGTTCAATGTCTCCACTTTCCCGAAACTGGTCTCCCCCCCGATCGTTTCCGCGCCGAGGAGAGGTTGGGCGTCGGCGGCACCACTACTATCAAATGTAAAAATGTCTGGGTCTGGAATGTTGTCTGGTTTGTCATGCATATTTTGTATGGCCCAGGATGTCTGTAATGCACGACGTAGCCTCACAGATTTTTAGAGGGCTTCCTGATGCCTACTCCGCATGACAAAGGCCCGCCCCGCGTAGCACAAACTAGACTCCTCGTCTTGCTGGTCATGCAATACAGATTTTTTTAGAGTCCAGAGTTAGCATCACAAGTTATCCAACCTTCCAGACCCAGACATTTTTGCATTTGATAACTACCGGGGGACAATTCTGACTTTGTCGTCCCACTGCTTCCGGGCTGTTGCTCTGGAGATTTTTTCCCACCGGTTTGGTAAATGTGCATGTTCAGCTCGTCGTGGTCCCACAGGTCGTCAAAATCTGGCGCGAACATCTGACTCGTTCGTTGCGGCTGCCCGTCCTTTGTGGTCACCAACAAATCGGTGTTCATTTTCTGTTCCATCTTTTCCGCTATCTTCGCCTTTTTCACAAAATTCTTCGAGAAGCCGAGCTTCGTCACCAACGCGGTCTCGATATCTGCGCGGATGTTCTCGGGTGTCATTTGCAGTTTCTGCGTTTCGGGATCCAGGGTTGAGTACTTTTCTTTCAGCTCTTCCGCGATTAGGTTCCGCACTTCTGCAGGCTTTTCCTTGACAGACTGGTAAATGTGCATGTTCAGGTCGTCCTGATCATGATCCCACATGTCGTCAAAGTCGCTTGCGAGCATTTTACTCATCTTTTCCCCAGATTTTGTCACCAAATCCGTGTGGAGTTTCTGTTCCAGCTTCTCCGCTAAATTCGCTTTTTCCACGAAATTCTTGGAAAACCCGACTTTCGTCACCAACGCATCTGTATGAACTGCAAAAGTATCGTACTCGTATAAATGCATCACAAATTTCCTCAGCATGATAAATAAAATTTGTAATGCTGATTAAGGTTAAGAAAAAAATTTGTAATGCATGATTGCAATACGAGTACGATACTTTTGCACAGGATAGTCTGCAATGTCCGCACGGATATTTTCCGGGGTCATCTGTGACTTCTGCGTTATCCTGAGGAAAAACGTCCCCACACCAGAGTTGTCATGCAAATCTGCACGCTGAAAATGTTTCTCATGCGGAGCACCATGAGAAGCATTTTCTAGTCGTGTTTTGGAATTTGTCATGCTCCAATCAGCATGATGCATTAGATCTGTGATGCTGCTGAGCTAGCTCAAACAGCACTACACTACGAGTCAAAATTTGTCATGCAAAACATCCAAAACTTGCGGATTTGTCTAGCCGAGTGCCCATCTTGACTATGGGGTGGGGACGTTTTTACATAGGATATGCGTATCGGGATCCATAGCATTGTATTTCTCCCGCAGGTCCTGCGCGATCAGGGTGCGCACATCCGAGGGGTGCTGCTGGTGCTGACCACTGGCCGAAGAGTTCAATTTATTTTGCGCTGAGCTGTTCTTCGAGTCGAGCACCGGTGACGCGGTGCTAGTTCGTTCCATTATCATTTGTAAAAACGTCCCCACCCCAGAGTTGTAATGCAAATCTGCATGCTGGAAATGTTTCTCATGCGGAGACCCATGAGAAGCCGTTTCTGTTGGTGTTTTGCGATTTGTGATGCTCATATCCGCATGGTGTGCTACATCTGTGATGCTGCTTCACTAGCGAAACACGACTACTTACATTGCGAGCCCAAATTTCTGATGCGCAACTGCAAAAGCTGGTTGATTTGTGTAGCAGATTTGCCATCTTGACTCTGGGGCGCAGACGTTTTTTCTCACCATATCCATCGCCAGTTCTTCCTGCGCGTCGTCGAAAAGAAAGTGCTCTTCCAGCAGCTTGAAATTCGCTTCTAGAGTGTCGCGGTGCTCGGCCTCGACGCCGTCCTTCTGTTATTACAGTGAAAAGTGTCCCCCACCCCTGAAATTGCAAAAATTTGTGATGCGGAGTTTCCAAATGAAAACTTTTTGTCATGCATGAAAGGAGTATGAATCTTTCTGATGCAGAGTCTAGGGGTGTATCGCGTCGCTTGCATGACAAGCGCATCTCTTGCTGGGGACTTTTGCAATACAATTTTTTGCTATTTACGATTGGAAACCTGTGATGCTGATAGATGCAAGAGGGCGAATGTTTCATTTGGAAAGGTTTGCAATACAAATGCTCCCAAGTTCGGGGGTGGGGGCATTTTTCATTGTAATATCTGTGCCCACGAATTCCGGCCCGTCACCGCCTCGATCTGTTTCATTTCCGTTTTCGTCAAAAGCAAGATTTTATGCATTGCAAAAATGTCTGGGTCTGGAAACTTGTGATGCAAGAAAGGGAATAGTGAGCACACTGTAATGCGCTGCCGACCATGACAAGTTTTTTCGTGGTTCGGAGTTGCGTACTTCGCATGAGAAACTGCGTTTTTGCATGACAGACCAGAGGAGCTCTTCGCGGCCACGCAGCACAGAGTTCAGAGTCATGCCGAACTAGCATGAAAACTCTCGCAATGTCCCAGACCCAGACATGGTTGCAATTGATAGATTTCGTCCGATCTGTCCACCTTTCCCAAGTCGATGTTTTTTCCGATGGACACCGCGGAGTGGAGCAAGTCCTCTTTCGCTTTTTCCGCCAAGTGGTGCGCTACCGCGTCGGAAAACCCAGCGTCGGTGAAGACTTTCTCCATATCATGCTATGCATTGCAAAAGTTGTATCGTAACCGTATAAATGCATTAGCATTACAAATTTCCTCAGCATAAGAAATGAAATTTGTATTGCGGATTTAGCTTCAGAATAAAATTTGTAATGCATGATTGCAATACGAGTACGATAATTTTGCACAGGATACATGCAGCATCTCGTCGGTATTGCCATCGGAAATCTCCTTGTACTTCGACCCGAGCTTTTCCTCTAGGAAAAAAGCGAGTTTGTCACTCGCGCCCTCCAGCTGCCCGAAGCTTTCCGGATTTACGGTGTCGATTCCGAAGTTCTGCTCGAACAACGCCTTATCCTGGCCCTCTAATTGCAGACTCGCAATCTGTATGGATTGCAAAAATCCCTGGAAGAATGCAACTTGTGATGCTGCATTTGGATGTCTAAAAAATTTGTGTTGCATGACCAGCAAAAGGAAAATTCTCATTTTTGCTACGCGGCAGTAGGGGCATTTGTCAACATGCGGAAAAATAGGTATCGAGAATCCCTCAAAAAAACTGTGAAGTAGATGCTAGGGCATGCATCACAGACCACGTCATGGCTGCTCATGCAAATAAACGTGTATGACTATGACAAGTCTCAGAATTATCTTCCTGTCCCAGATCGATTTTTTCACATTCATAATCTCCGCAGGGGTGAAAAGCTATGAACTGCAAAAGTAGTATCCGATACTCTTGTATAAAAATGCATTACAAATTTCCTCAGCATGAGAGATAAAATTTGTGATGCGGATTTACCTTGCGAAAAAGATTTGTAATGCATAAATGCAATTACTACTAATACTTTTGCAAAGGATAAAAGCGGCGCGACGACGACTTCGTGCTCCCCGGCGACCGCACTATCAAGTGTAAAAATGTCTGGGTCTGGAAGAATGCAACTTGTCATGGTAAAACTGAAGCATGCAAAAATCTGTGTTGCATGAGTGCCAAAAGCTGTCCACTTTTGACCAAGTTGGAAGGGAGTTTGTCATGCAGGATAGGCATGGCAGAGACCTCGCAGAGTCTGTCATGCTAAGTCCCGCATTCCAGACCTCATGGATCATGGAAAATCTGCATGACAAGTTTACACTTTTCCAGACCCAGACATTTTTACTTTTGATACGCACCGGCCTCTTCCGGAACGCCCTCGGCCAAAGCGGCAGAAGACCTCGGCTTTTCTACCTTGTCCTTCTCCTTCACCACCATTTTTTCCTGAATAATCGGTATAACCTGCTCAGGTGTTACAATGATCTCAAACCTTACAATAGAATATCGAAATCTGTGAAGATGCAGGAGGTGCATTATGTAGTCAAGTCTCATCGGGTTGCGCATGACAAGTTCCGGAGTCCCAAACCGCACTGCAATCTGGCGAATAAATCTGTCTTGCAGAAAGTGGAATGCTGTCCGAGTCTGTCATGCTCGTCATGCAACACAAAATCCAAACTCTATTGTAACGTTTGAGATTGTAACGTTTGAGCAGGTCATAATCGGAGCGAGCTTTTTCGCTGTACCCGGACTGAACCCCTGGGAGAGGAGCATTTTTTCCATTGTATCAAATGCAAAAATGTCTGGGTCTGGAATGTTGCCGGGTTTGTGTTTGTCATGCATATTTTGCATGACCCAGGCTGTTTGTAATGCATGACCTAGCATCACGGATTTTTGGAGGGCTTCCTGCTGCCTCATCCGCATGACAAATGTATGCCCCTCCCCGCGTAGCACAAACTAGACTCCTCTTGCTGATCATGCAACACAGATTTTTTTAGAGTCCAGAGTTAGCATCACAAGCTCCAACCTTTCAGACCCAGACATTTTTGCAATTGATACATTGTTGCGACGTCTAATTTCTCTACCTTCTCCGTCGCTTCTAAGAGAAAATCCTGGCCGAGTTGCTCCTTCACTTTTTCCGCGAGGTAATGTTTCACCTCGGAAATAGTCGGCGTTTTGCTTATCTCCACCTCCTATCAAGTGTAAAAATGTCTGGGTCTGGAAGAATGCGCGATTTGTCATGCTGCTTTTCCATGACCCATGAGGTCTGGAATGCCGGAGCTAGCATGACAGATTCTGCGAGACCTTTCTAATGCCTATCCTTCATGAGAAACTGCCTCCCGACTTGGTCAAAACTGGACGACTTTTGGTAATCATGCAACACAGCTTTTTGTATGCTGCAGATTTAGCATGACAAGTTGCATTCTTCCAGACCCAGACACTTTTACATTCGATACCTCTTCTTCCCCGGCTTCTTCCGCGTCTTTGATCTTTTGTTTGTTGATCTTCTTGTGCAATTTTTTTAACAGTTTCCTATCCGCGTCGCTGTCCGGCTTACTTAATGTAGCATCTTTTGGTAGTTCGTCGGCTTTCGCGATCTGTTTCGCAGCCTTTTTGGCGTAGCCGGGGGAAATATCAACTGCAAAAATGTTTGGGTCTGGAACTTTGCTTGCCTTGTCATGCAGGTTTTCCATGACCCATATGATCTGTAATGGAGGACCTAGCATGAAAGGTTCCGTGAGATCACTATCATGCCTATCCCGCATGAGAAACTACCTCTCGACTTGATCAAGAGTGGGCAGCGTTTGGTAATCATGCAACACAGGTTTTTGCGTGATTCAGATTTAGCATGACAAGTTCCAACCTTGCAGACCCAGACATTTTTGCATTTGATAGGAAAAGCCCGCGGACAGAAGCGCTTTCTCTGGCACGGCGGTTTGTCCGGCGAGTAAAGATTCCGCCTGCAAATTGGCCGCCTTCTCCTGCCTTCCTGGTAGTCGCTTCTTGTTTTTCTTTTGAGCGTCTTGTCCGGAGGATCGCGGCGAAGCGTTTGATGGCGCAGCAGTTGGAGATGAAGACGATGGAAAGAAGAATTCCTTGAACATAAAGTAGACACCAGCGAGGGCGAGTAGCCCAATCACTAAAAGTGCGACGAGAATCAGCACCGGGTTTATCCTGTGTAAAAACGTCCCAGCCGCAACATAGTTGTCATGCAATTTTGCATGCCCAGAATGTTTCTCATGCGGAGCCCCATGACAAGCATTCCCTAGTCGCGTTTTGGAATTTGTGATGCTATAGTCAGCACGATATGCTAGATCTGTGCTGCTTCTTAACTACCTCAACAGGATGACAGACACTACAAGGCCAAACGCGTCATGCGCAACAACCAAAGCTGGCTGATTTGTCTAGCAGATTTCCAATCCCGACTATGAGGTGGGGACGTTTTAACACAGGATAGGGTTGCATTCGGTGTCATCGGCGTCGAGGGCCGTGTTTATCGCGAGGAAAAATCCCCCCTCCCCATATTGACCAGGTACGTGCATTTCGAAAATTTGTATAGCTGATTTGTGACCACAAATCGGCTCTGTGTTGCATGGCGGCAACTCTACAGGCTCCGCCGCATTCTACAGGCGGTTTGTCATGCTGTTGCTCCTACAGCGTAGACGTGCGTCATGCTAAGTGCCTAGGCCAAAACCTGTCTACTCAGGCTTCATCTGGGCCTGCAGTCCTCGCCAGCAAGACAAATCTGATTTGTGTACGCAAATCCAGCATGATAAACTTCATTTTGATATGAGGAGGGGGGATTTTTTCTTTTGATAGTGTTCGACTCATCTTCTGTGCCCTCTTCTTCACCGCCCTCTTCCAAGCCCCTGGTGTCGTATCAACTGCAAACATATCTGGGTCTGGAAACTTGTAATGCTGGGTTGGGAATAGTGAATGCTCTGTACTAATGCACAGCCAAGCATGAGAAATATCTGCGCTGCTTAGCGTTGCAGTTTCCGCATGACAATCTGCGTTATTTCTGCCTGACAAGAAAAAGGGTCTCTTCTTGGACACGCATCACAAACTCTTCAGTTATACCAGACAAGCATGACAAACCTCGCATCCTCCCAGACCCGGACATATTTCCATTTGATATGTCGTTGCTAAACACGATTTCCGACACTTGCTGCTGCTGGGCCTCCGGTCCTTTCGTCGCTGAATTAGACAGGGGAGTTTGAGATGTATTTGTACCGCCTGCATCATCATCTCCCCCCCCCGAAGTTGTTCCGTTAGTCTGGTCAGGCGTGGGGGAAATGGTGAGACCACCACCTCCGTCGACATCTGTTTCGCACTGGATCTCCGTGTTACAGGGGACGAGTTCTTCCAACCACACCGTCGAAGCAGCTGGATCGTCGCGGCGAGACATCAAAGCTTCCAGCTGTAGAAAAGATGGCGTCCATGTGAACGGCGCTGGCGTGTTAACCGGCGGGGGTCCTTCCGGCTGCGGAATCGGCGGGAACGTCGAAAGCGTCTCCACTGGCGTCCACGTGTTCGCCGGTGGCGTGGTTCGCACGGGGGGCGCTTCGGGCTGCGGAATTCCCCCGCCGGGTTATGACAGTGCACAACTCCCACTCCCCCTCATTTGTCATGCAAAGTACCAAATTCCTATCTTGCTCGTAAGCACTGCTAGCATGACAAATTTTGGAACGTCAAGAAGTACAACAATCCGCATGAAGATTTGTCATGCGAAAGCCCCTTTTCTGCTGTTGCTTGTGTTGCTGTTCATGCCATACAAATGAGGGGGAGGGGAGGTTGTGCACTGTCATACTGGTGCTTGCGTTGTAACAACGGGGAACGCGGGCGCCCACGTGAAGGGTGGTGGCGTGGTCTCGTGTGTAAAAACGTCCCCACCCAAGAGTCAAGATGGGATTCGTGCTACACAAGTTAGCAAGTTTTGGCTGTTGCGCATGACAAGTTTGGGTCTCTAGTGTAGTGGTGTTTATTGGCTAGTAAAGTCGCATCACAAATCCAGCTCCCTATCCTGACTAGCGCATGACAAAGTACCAGACAGTGTGAGAAAGTCGCGCTGCTCATGGGGTTGCGCATGAGAAACATTTTTAAAATGTTTTTAGGCATGCAGATTTGCATGACAACTCTAGGGTCGGGACGTTTTTACTCAGGATACGTGGTGACGGGCTGACCGGGAAAAAGGGTGCTGGCAGGTCCAGGAGTTGGGATTACCGGAAATCCGCCCCCACCCGGAGTCGGATTCGGAAATACTGGAATTCCGCCCCCACTCGGACTCGGACTCGGGGTCGGGAAAAGAGGGTTGCCGGTGGTACTACTACTTCCTCCAGGGCTCGGGGTCGGCACAACCACCTCCGCTGAAGTGGAACTAGTGGAGGTTGTCGTGGGGGCTACTTCCAAGCTATGCCTTGCAAAAGCACCGTACTAAGTATGAATCGAATATACAATTTTTTCCCAAACAAGACTATGAAATTTGTAATGCTGATCTGTCTAAGACGGGCGATTTGTCATGCATTTATTGCAATTAGTACGAGAGCGATCCTTTTGCAGTGCATATAAACACGTTTTCGCCAGTTCCCCCTGTGGCTGTACCAAAATTTCCCGCACCCGCCGATACCGCCCGGTGGGGCCGCAGGTCGCGGAACACACGGCATTTGGTTCGTCGTGCCAATTCGACAAGACGCAATCGATTGGACAGGTGGGCTATCAAATGCAAAAATGTCTGGGTCTGGAAGAGTGCTAGGCTTGTCATGCAGGGTTTCCATGACCCACGCGGTCTGGCATGCACGGCCTAGCATGACAGGTTCTGTCAGATCTCTATCATGCCTTTCCTGCATGAGAACCTGCCCCTAAACTTGTTCAAAAGTGGACCTCTTTTGGTAATCATGCAACACAAATTTTTCCACGATCCAGATATAGCATGACAAGTTAGACTCTTCCAGACCCAGACATATTTGCAATGCATATGGGCAAGTGGTCCAAGTCGCAGTCCACAATTCTCTCCCGTTCTTCCGAATCCGCGGCCGGGCATATGGATTGTAAAAATGTCTGGGTCTGGAAACTTGTGATGCTGGGTGGCGTATCATGAAGAGGCCACAAGTGCTGGCTCAGCATGACAAGCTTTTGAGCTTCTTGGTGTTGCCTATTCTGCATGACAAACTGCGTTTCTGCATGACAGCAAAATGGGGCTCTTGGGTAACGTCGTGCATGACAGATTTAAGAGTCGTGCCAGACTAGCATGACACAGCTCGCATTCTTCCAGACCCAGACACTTTGGCATTTGATAGGACACTCGACCCCGCCAAACTGCCCGTTGACTTTGATGGCGCGGTGCTGGTGCTTCGTCAGTTGGGAGGAAGAGGATGTGCTGTTTGTGCTGTTTTCACCCGCTGTTCGCGCTTCCTGCTCCGCCGCCGTCCAGCAGGTCTTTTGGTCACAAGTGTGGTAAATGTCATCCGCCCATTCGTGCAACACACAGTCTATTGGACAGGGTAAGTTGTATGGAATCACGTCGTTTGTTTCCGGATCTGTTTGCTTATCAAATGTAAAAATGTCTGGGTCTGGAAGATTCTGACACTTGTCATGCACGTTTTGCATGAGCCATGATGTCTGTGATGCATACCCTAGCAATACAGATTTTTGGAGGGCTTCTTGATGCCTATTCCGCATGACAAATGCCTTCTCAGCGTAGCAGAAATTGCATTCCCTTTGGTACTCATGCAATGCAGATTTTTTTGGAATCCAAATGCAGCATCACAAGTTCGGATTCTTGCAGACCCAGACATTTTTACATTTGATATTGCTCCGGTAGTAACGAATTCGGACTGTTGCACTTGTATGAGAGTGCACAACTCCCCCTCCCCCTCATTTGTATGGCATGAACAGCAATACAAACACCAGCACAGGTGGGGCCGGTGCATGACAAGTTCACGTGCCTAGTGTAGTACTGGTTGGGCTTCGGGAATTTGTCATGCAAACAGTGCCACAAGGCAGCAATTGGATTCGGTACTTTGCATGACAAATAAGGGGGACGAGGGGGAGTTGTACACTCTCATAACTTCACACTTCGCTTCAAGTCCTCCTCCGCTGGGCATTCTAATGCATTCTCGAATTGCGGGGCAACGAGCGTTTTCCTCTCCTGTTCGACAACGCCGTCGGCTATTGACAGAAAAAATTCTCCCGTACACGACGTTCACGTACAAAGATAAATGCAGCTTCTGCATGACAAAACGTTCCCTCAATCGTGTTCAGCATGACAAGTGGCATATGGTCTAGCTAGGCGAGATTTGTGATGCATTTTGTACGTCGTGCACGGGAAAGTTGTATTGCATATCGGCACCACAAGTGGTCGAGCAGGTAGCGCTTGGATCCACCAGTGTCCACTGATCCGCGACTACGCAGTCGATCGGACAGGGCGGAACGTCGGTGTCTTTCTGACAGATTTCGGTCTCTTCATACTGGTCCATCTCACTCACAGTGCTCGGACAAGAATTTCCTCCAAACGCCGCGCGGACCTTCACGGGTCTGGTGCGCGTCCGGACAGAATCCCAGTTCGCTGTCAACTCTTGTTGGTCTAGTTCGCTGTCGTAGCAAGTTTCCGAACAGTCCCCAAATTGTCCCCATTCGCCTAGTTCACAGTCGATCGGACAGGGGCTTTCCTGGCAAGGGGCTGTGTCGGTGAGAGAGCCGCAGTCGGCGGGATCGGTACCTGGTGAAGCTGATAGTAAACTTCTACTCCTGGTAAACGTGTTTCCGTCACCACAACTACCGCTGCAACCTTGAGTCGCATCTCCACTCCACTCCGTGAAGGAACAGTCTGGGTTACAAGCAGAATTGGTACACTCTTCCGTTTCCATCAAATTCTCACAAGCCCTGCCCCCGTGGTCTGGATTGTGTACAATTGTCCTGGTTCGTTTTCTGTATCCCCCATCGCAAGTTTTCGTACAGGGTTCCCAGGAATTCCACTCGGACAAAACACAGTCCACCGGACACTCGTGCTGGGCTGGACAAGCCGCCGGGCGCGTTTGCGGTATGAACTGCAAAAGTATCGCACTCGTAGAAATGCATGACAAATTTCCTCAGCATGTGAAATAAAATTTGTCATGCGGATTTACCTTGAGATAAAAATTTGTTTTGCATGATCGCAATTACTACGAGTACGATACTTTTGCACAGGATATGCGGGGTCGCACATTGATTTCCGCCGTTCCGGGGGTGGCGAAGGATTTCCCTTATCAAATGCAAAAATGTCTGGGTCTGGAATATTGCCGGGTTTGTCATGCATATTGTGCATGACCCAGGATGTCTGTATTATGCATGACCTAGCATCACAGATCTTTAGAGGGCTCCCTGATGCCTATTCCGCGTGACAAATGCCCTCCCCGCGTAGCATAAACGAGACTTGTCCTGCTGGTCATGCAATACAGATTTTTTTAGAGTCCAAGGTTAGCATCACAAGCTCCAACCTTCCAGACCCAGACATTTTTGCATTTGATATCCCTTTTCTCCGTGATCTCCCCACTGCCCCCGCACGCGACGGAGCAGGAGGCATCCGACCCAATCGCCCACTCCGCAAGCACGCAGTCCACGGGGCAAAAATTCAGCGGCGGTTGGCAGCCGGGAATAGTTTTTTCCAGTTCGAACGAAGAACATTCCGTTCCCCCGTATTTCGCCTCGTTCAGGATCGCGCGAACTTTCGTTCTATGCATTGCAAAAGCATCGTACTAGTAGAAATCGCATTACAAATTCGGTCAGCATGACAAATGGAATTTGTCGTGCTGTTTTACCTTGGGATGGAAATTTGTAATGCATGATTACGATTACTACGAGTACGATGCTTTTGCACAGGATACCTTCTCTCCCCCTGAAAAGTCATGTCCAGGGGCACTCCCGTTTCCAAATCCACCGGCACACAGTCAGCCGAACACCCATTCCCGTCGTCCTGCCAGTCGGTTAATTCACATTCTTTCGGACAGCCCTTGTCGTTGTTGCAGTTCTCGATTGTTTCCGACAATTTAGGGCACGCTTGCCCGCCGTTTGCCGCCTCTTGCTGGACTGTGCGCTCCTTGACCAGGAAACCACCCGAGTCGCCGTTTGAGTCGATGTTTTCGTTACAAATCACGGAACAGGTTTTCGTCACCGTCCACTCGGAAACTTGGCAATCGACCGGACAAGGATCTGTTTCGCAAACTGCGTTGTGCTCGAGACTATACACCAGTCCCGCCGTTGTTCCGTCCGTCGTGTCTTGATGCACTTCCTCGCAGGTTTTCCCGCCATGCAACGCTATTTGCGTCACCTCTCTTTTCTATCAAAATGAAAAATCCCCCCACCCCATACTCAAACTAGAAATTTGTGACGCAGATTTGTGGCCACAAATTTGTCACGCTAGAGGGGAAAAGATTCGGACTGTAGTGCTGGTTGGCGTGGGAAAGCCTTGCATCTTCAGCATGACAGGGGGCAGCTGGAAGTGGGAAACAGCATGACAAATTGCCTGCAAACGAGGCCACAGCTGCGTCTCTTGGTCTTGCGCATTACAAGTCGATTTGTGTACTCAAATAAGTACAGCATCACAAATTTCGTTTTCGATATGGGGAAGGGGGATTTTTCCTTTTGATATTTTCCTTGGTTTCACCCCGCCACCGCAGGTTTTGTCGCACGGGCCGTTATCCTCCCATTCAGACAACTCGCAGTCTACCGGACAGGGCTTTTCCCCGCAAGGCTGCAAGTGCACCAACCAGGGGTCAACGCTGTTCGGCTGTTCCGGGTCGGTTTCGCACGGGATACCACCGTGCAAGGGAGCCGTCGTGATCATCCGCTCCCGGCGAAGAGTTCCGCCGCCGCACGTTGCTGTGCAGCCGTCAGTGTCCGACACCCACTGGGAAAGTTCGCAGTGCACCGGGCAGGGCTGGGAGTCCTCGGGCTTGCACGCGAATGATTCTTCGAGCGGCTCGTCCTTGCAAGTCTCATCCCCACCGTGTTTCCCCTGCACAGCAACCGACCGGGTGCGAATTCGAACCCCGGCACTCCCGCAGGAATGGCTGCACGGCGCGTCGTTGATATCCGCCGGAACCCAGGCCGATAATTTGCAGTCGATGGGGCAGGGGATGTGGCGATTGCATTCTGACTCCATCTCCAACTCATCAGGTCGGGGACACGCCGTTCCCCCGTGCGCGGCTTGCCGCGTAATTTGCCTGGTTTGCTTGAAAACCCCGTCTGGTCCGCAGCTTTTGGTGCATGCTGTGTCGATTTCGGAATCCGCAGGCGTCCAGTCCGTAACCACGCAATTGATCGGACAGGGCTTGGCTAAATTGCAAGGGACAAATTCCGTTAAAGTGCCGTTTTTGTCGCAAGCGGCTCCATTGAATTCCGGACCCTCGATGTGTTCCCTCCTCCGCTTCTGCAAGGGGGTGACATCCGGGTTGTCTGTGTCGTGACAAGTTTCTGAACAAGTCCCGTCATCAACCCACTCTGACATTTTGCAATCGATAGGACAGTTAATGTCGGTGTTGCATATCCTAAGCAAAAACGTCCCCACCCCAGAGTCAAGATGGGGATTTTGCAACACAAACCTCGGATTTTTGGGAGTCATGCATGACAAGTTGCAGTCCGTAAGGTAGTGCAAGTTAGCAAGGAAAGCCGCATCACAAATCGATCTGCGTATCCTGTTTACAGCATTACAAGTTCCCGAACACGATTGAAAATGCCTGTTGTGGGGTTGCGCGTCACAAATGTTTCTGTCATGGCAAATCTGCATGACAACTCTGGGGTGGGGACGTTTCTACAAGGGATATTGCAGCTGATTTCCTTACTCGTGATCCCGTTTTCATCACAAGTATGGAAGTGTCAGAATCGAAATTGATAAAGTAGAAAAATTTGCGATGCACAAAATTGATGTCAGTTGGAGCCTCAGTTTCCAAGTGGCGCATGACAAATTTCGAGAGCACCCAAATACAGTCTGTCATGCTGTTTGAGCAAAGGAGACTGCTCCTGTCATGCTACTCTGGCAGCACATTGTATACCCATAAACAGGCTCATAATCGGTCTCATTTGCCTGCTCCCCAATACAAGCTTTCAGTGCCCTACATTTCATGCATCACAAGTTCTTCGATTTGGTCGATTTCAATCCTGACACATCCATAGCAAGCCGCACCGCCGTGCAGAGCCGGCTGCGTCTTCCTTCGCACCTGCTTCAACAAACCGTCTGGGCCGCATATGAATTGCAAAAGTATCGTCCTCGTATAAATGCAGTACAAATTTTGACTCAGCATGAGAAATAAAATCTGTAATGCGGATTTACCGTAAGAACAAGATTTGTATATGCATGTTTGCAATTAGTACGAGTACGATACCTTTGCACAGGATACCGCAGGTTTTCGAACAGTCTGGGTTGTTCTCGTCATCTTCCCACTTCTATGCACTGCAAAACTGTCTGGGTCTGGAAACTTGTGATGCTAGGTGGCGTCTCATGATGAGGCCACAAGTGCTGGCGCAGCATGACAAGTTTATGAGCTTCTAGGTGTTCTTGCCTATTCTGGATGACAAACTGCGTTTCTGCATCACAGAAAAATGGAGCTTTTGGGTAAGGTGCATGACAGATTTAAGAGTCATGCCAGACAAGCATGACAAACATGCATTCTTCCAGACCCAGAGATTTTTGCAGTTGATAACTCCGACATCACACAGGCAATGGGACAAAACTTATCCGCGTTGCACTCCACCGTCCGCGCCACAGCGCCGCACGCGCTCGTGTCTTTTCCGTCACTGTTGGTAACTGTTCTGGTCTGTTGCTTCGTTGGAGCCGGGGGGAGCGGGTTTTGCTGGGAATCGATACAACTCGCCGAGCAGCCGTTGGCGTCGTCAACCCATGGGGAGAACACGCAGTCATCTTTGCATAAAACGTCCTCGTTACAATCCTCCTCCTTTGTCAATTGCGGGCACGCTTTGCCGTTGAAAAACATTTCTTGCGTTACATTTCGCGTTAACGTTTTCCGACCACCGCCACAACTCACCGAACAACTGCCATTATCAACCCATTCGGACACTTCACAATTCACCGGGCACTCGAATTCGTTACACGGGATTTCCTGGGTCTCGTCTCCACACTCGTTACCCCCATGCTTGGCCCCGCCGTTGGTTTTGAATCTCGTTTGGGTTTGCGTGCCGGGGTCGCCGAGAACCGGAAGTAGGCTTGACGTGCCGTTGGGGTCGATTTCGAAACCGGTGATAGGAATGCAGTCTTTCGAACATTCTATCCTGAGCAAAAACGTCCCCAACCCAGAGTTGTCATGCAGATTTGCATCTACAGAAACATTTGTAATGCGGGTCCCCATGATGAGAAGCATTTCTAGTCGTGTTTTGGGATTTGTAATGCTGGAAACAGGACGAGCTGATGGATTTGTGCCGCGGCTGTCCTTACGAACCTGCACTACACTACGGACTGCGACTTGTCATGCGTAGCTCCCAAAACTTCCAGATTTGTGTTGCTAAGTTCCCAACTCGACTATTGGGTGGGGACGTTTTTACATGGGATACATTCCCCCTCATTTTTCCAATCCGACATCTCGCAGTCGATCGGACAGGGCTTTGTGCCGCACGCTTCCGTTTTGTGCAGCTCTCCGCACTCTTTTCCGCCAAAGTCCGGTGCTATTGTGATGTTCCGCTTGAAGTGCTTTTCCGCCCCCCCACACGTCACCGGGCACTTGATAGCAAGATACCAGTCGGTCACGACGCAGTCGATGGGGCAATTCGTGCCCGTGTTGCAGGATACTTCTCGAGAAAGCGAAGCTACTATGCCATTCGCTTGATCCGCCCCCTCACATTCCGCCCCGCCGTGCTGCGGCGCGGTTTCCACCGACCGGATTTGGCCCTGCTTCCCCGTCGGCCCGCAGGTTTCGCTACAAGGATTACTGTCATTGGTCCACTCACTCAAGACGCAATCAATAGGGCAGGGGTCCGTGTTGCAGGCTTCGTTTCTGGTCAAGGCTTCATCGCATTTTTTCCCGTTGTGCTCAGGGTGGACTTCTATTGTTCTCGTGAAGGTTTTTGTCCCCGTCCCGCAGGTTTTTGTACACTCCGTTCCGCTATCCCAGGCAGATAATTTACAGTCAATCGGGCAGTGCTGCGTGTTGCACGCGACGTTCTGCTTTAACACGACGTCTGTCTGGGTTCCCCACCCGTACTTCGCGGGGTCATCTAAAGCTGCGATTAATTCGTCTTGCAGTTCCAGGCAGGATTTCCCAGCATTCTCCATCGGCTGGGTTATCATTCTCGTCCGCTCATACGTGCCGCCACCACAAGGTTTACTGCAGCTGCCGTCCCCGGTATTCACCCAGTTGGACAAAACACAGTCCACCGGACAGCCGATGTGTCTGTTGCACTCCACCGATTTTTGCAATTGCACAACCATGTTCCCGGAATTCAAGGGTACTTCCGTTTTCTCGCACTCCTTCCCATTGTGATTCGGCGATTGGTCGATCCTCCGGACCATTTTCTGCAGGCCCTGACCTATTGTAGGAAAAAGTACAACTTCTATCGCACTTGTACTACCAATTGCAGTGTAACATGACAGATCTACTCACTTACCCCTTTCCGCATCACAACTTCCATTTTTTCTTTTGAGTAAATTTGTCATGCAGACTTGATACTAGTGCGATGGTACTGGTGTTGCAACGCGTAGCATCACCGCAGGTCTTCGAGCAGGTTGGATTATCCGGGTCGTTTTCCCAGGGGGACAACACACAGTCGATCGGACACGGATCTTCTTTGCATTTCACGTTGGTCTCTTCCAACTCTGGACACGGAGCCGCGTTTTCAAACTGCGGCTGCACAGTGACACTCCTCGCTCGGTTCTTCACCCCCCCGCCACCACAACTTAACGAACACTCCGACCAAGTACCCCAGGTAGAGACTTCGCAGTCAATGGGGCAATATTTATCCTTATTACAGCCAATTTCGGTTTTCTCCAAAGCCTCACAAGCTTTTCCGTACTCGTTTGGCTGGATATCAATCCCCCGGGTGTACTTCATGGTGCCCCCCGTGGCAAGCGCGGTGTGACTTGGGTTATCCGGGTCGAAGTCGACATTTAACCCGAGTTGGGTCGTATCCGTGCAGGGAATGCTGCACTCGCTGGCCTGCTGCCAGTCGAGTAGCTTGCAGTCGATCGGGCAGTCCTGCTGCTTGCAACCGATGGTTTCGGAGAGAACGCCTAATGACTCGCAGGTAATGCCACCGTGGGCATCTTGCACCTTCTATCAAAAGGAAAAATCCCCCTCCCCATATCGACAACGAAATTTGTGATGCTGTATTTGAGTACACAAATCGACTTGTATTGCTAGAAGGCAAAGAGGCGCAGTCGTGGCCTCGCTTGCAGGCAATTTGTCATGCTGTTTCCCACTTCCAGCTGCCTCCTGTGATGCTGAAGATGCAAAGCTTTCACCCCACGCATTCCAGCACTAGAGTCCGCATCTTTTCCCTTCTAGCATGACAAAGCTGATTTGTGACCACAAATCTGCATCACAGATTTCCGTTTTTATATGGGGAGGGGGGATTTTTATTCTTGATACCTTCACGGATCGGGTTCGGATCAACGTGCCTCTATCCTGAGTAAAAACGTACCCACACCAGAGTCAAGATGGGGATTTTGCAACACAAGCCTAGGAGTTTTAGGAGTCACGCATGACAAGTTTCAGTCCGTAAGGTAGTGCCAGTTAGCAAGGAAAGCCGCATCACAAATCGATCTACTGATCCTGTTTACAGCATTACAAGTTCCCAAACAAGATTGGAAATGCCTGTCATGGGGTTGCGCATCACAAATGTTCCTGTCATGGCAAATCTGCATGACAACTCTGGTGTGGGTACGTTTTTACTCAGGATACCCTCCGCCGCAGCTCTTCGTACAGGTATCTGTTTGATTTTGATAGATGAAGATACATGGTTGTAGAATTCGCATTAGTTACTCGCATTCATCTGTCATGCGGGTTTTGCAAGAACGAAAAAAGGAGACTGCCGGGCTAGTTCTTAGTTTGGGGATCGTCCTGGAGGTACTTTGTGGGGCCGATCCGGAGTGCGAGCTCGAGGAAAGCACTAGCTGTCATGTGTTTCCCGCATGACAGACCTCATCTGTTATGCGGGTTTTGCAATACAAAAAAAGGAGACTGGCGGGCTAGTTCTTAGTATTTGGGGATCGTCCTGGAGGTACTTTTTGGGGCCGATCCGGAGGGCGCCCGAGGAAAGCGAATGCTCAACACTCGTCTAACATCCCTTCACCAGCCTCATTGAGAGTATAAAGAAATTTGTAATGCAGGGTAGCCAGAATAGCCTTGCTAAAAACACCACTTCGGGAGAAAATGGTAAAATTTCGCTTCTACTTTTCATGCCGGACGAATGGCTACTTTGACCAAGAGAGGTTAGTGAGTAGGCCAGTCTGCATGAGAGCAGCGATGCAGCTGCAGGTAGGTGTTTCTGCATGACAATAAAAGATGAATCAAAATAATTTATACCGATGTCAAACACCCATGCGGTGAGGACGCAGTCGATCGGACAGGGCTGCTGGTTGCACGGGTACACTTCATCGACGGTCTCCCCGCATGCCTTCCCCCCGTGGTCAGCAGGCACCTTGACGGCCCGGGTCCGCTTTCGCACGCCGCCGCCGCAGGTTGCAGTGCAATTTACCGTGGGATCCACCACCCAGTCGTCCAACACGCAGTCTACCGGACAATTCACATCCGTCTTGCAGGACCGCATCTCGGACATGGGTTGATCCTTGCACGAGTCATCCCCGTTGTGGCTGCCCGAGCGTGTGACGCTCCGCACCCACTCCTCCAACCCATCCGGACCGCAGGTGTGGGTGCATGTGGCACCCTCCGCCAAAGCCCAATCCGACAAAGTGCAGTCGATTGGGCAGGGATCCTGGTTACAGGCGCGGAACTGGCTCAAGTCTCCGCACTTCTCGCCGGAATCGTTCCCGCTTTCGAGAATGGTCCGCACGTACTCGATTTGCCCTACGGGACCGTTTTCCGCTTTGCAGGACTGGGAGCAAGAGACCTCGTTTCCAGACGCATCTTTTTTGATGGTCCAGTTGGACGTCTTACAGTCCCGCGCGCACTCGAAGTCGTTGCAGGGGACAAAATCTTCCTTCTTGTCACACGCCTTACCCCCGTTCGCCGGACTGACGGTCTCATTCCGCACCAATTTTCGTTGTCCGCCCCCGCATATCAAATGTAAAAATGTCTGGGTCTGGAAAAGTGTAGACTTGTCATGCAGATTTTCCATGACCCATGAGGTCTAGAGTGCGGCACTTAGCATGACAGACTCTGCGAGGTCTCTGCCATGCCTATCCTGCATGAGAAACTCCCCTCCAACTTGGTCAAAAGGGTACAGCTTTTGGCACTCATGCAACACAGATTTTTGCATGATTCAGATTTACCATGACAAGTTCCACCAACCTTCCAGACCCAGACATTTTTGCAATCCATACCGCACGTCACGCTACAATTGCCCGCGTTCTGCCAGTGGGAAAGCACGCAGTCGATCGGACACGGTTTCCGGTTGCAGGGGCGGAAATCCACGGTGGCATTGCACGCAGCGCCCCCGAAATCAGCCTCGACAGTCGTGTTGCGCGACCACTTTTGCAGCCCGGAGTCGCCGCAGGTTTCGGAACAACTTTCTCCCGGCGCCTTTTCCCACGCGGTTTGCACACAGTCAATCGGGCAATTGATCCCCCGGTTGCAGGGAACGGTCTGCGTTAGGGCGCCACAGGCTTTTCCGCCGTGATCGGCTTTGATTTCGATTTCTATCAACTGTAAAAATGTCTGGGTCTGGAAGATTCTAGACTTGTCATGCACGTGTTGCATGAGCCATGATGTCTGTGATGCATGCCCTAGCATCACAGATTTTTTGAGGGCTTCTTGATGCATAAAAGGCATGACAAATGCCCTCTCCGCGTAGCAAAAAATGCGTTCCCTTTGCTGCTCCTGCAATACATATTTTTTTGGAATCCAAATGCAGCATCACAAGCTGCATTCTTCCAGACCCAGACATTTTTACATTTGATAATTTCCCGGGTTTGCTGTTTCTCCCCTAATTCTCCGCAAGAGTGGGAGCAGGACGTACTGTCTTCCCACTCTTTCAGCACGCAGTCGATGGGACACGATTGCTCGTTACAGGGAATTTCGTCGCTCTTCTTGTCGCACTGCTTGCCCCCGTGGTCCGCTATTGAGAGGAAAAATCCCCCCTCCCCATATCGAAACGAAGTTTCTGATTCTGGATTCCCGTACACAAATCAGATTTGTCTTGCAGTAGAGGATTGCAGGCATATGTCAAGCCTCGGTCGAGAGGTTTTGACGTGGGCGCCTAGCATGGCAAACGTGTATGCTCTAAGCCCAACAGCATCACAAACCGCCTGCAAAATGCGAAGCGCTTTCTGGACTTGGCTTCTTGCAAGACAGACAGGATTTGAGGTCACAAATGCGCATCACAAATTTTCAGACGGATACGTTTTCGATATGGGGAGGGGGGATTTTTCCTTACGATATCCGCAGCTGTCAAAACATCCCGCTTCCGGCGCTGCGTTCCGCCGCCGCAGCTTTTACTGCATTGTCCGTCGTTTGCCCACTGAGATAAGACGCAGTCCACCGGGCAGGGATCCGGCTTACAGGGTTCGAGCTTCTCCATTTCCGACTCTTCGGGACATTCCTCCCCGCCGTGCTTCGCGCCCCCGTTGGTCACTTCTCGCGTGATATGCAATGCAAAAGCATCGCACTACCTACACATAGTATAAATTGCATTACAAATTGGCCCAGCATTACAAACATAATCTGTATCGCGGATTTACCTTGAGAAAGGGATTTGTATTCCATAAATGCAATTACAACTACGAGTACGATACTTTTGCACAGGATACGTGAATTTCAGTTGCCCGCCGCCGCAGGTCCGGCTACATTGATTGTCCCCCGACGTCCAATCGGAGACTTCGCAGTCGATCTCGCAGAAAGGTAACCCGTCGCCGCCCTCGGCCACTGGTTTGGTACTACAGGATACAATCTTCTCCACATCACTCGGACAGGCATTCCCGTACTGGTTCGGAGGCACTTTCACGGTGCGTTTCATAGTTTTCGTGATCATCGCTTGCTGATCCGGG